GGCGCGGTGGAGGCGCATATACGCGGAGTTTCAAATCGAAAACGGTCGGGGAAGGAGAACGACGCGGCCCGAAGGTGGAGGGGGCCGCGGGCAGGGTGGCATCCCCCGGGACTGAGAAATCCGTTTCTGGGCAAACTGTCTTGCGAGTAGTTCGCCGGATAGTTTCGGATCCAGATTCCCGGGAGTTAAGCCAAACCGCCTTCTCAAGCGAGACGACGCGAGGATCGTCCCTCCCTACCCCTCTTCTTCTCCCCCCGTCGCCTCTGATCTTCTCTTTCTCTCCTTTGGTAACGCGACAGTGCGGTCCCGATGGCTGAAATGAGATCCGTTTGCTACTCCTAGTTACGGGAATAACGCACCGAGGCCGGATTTATGACGGCCGGGGTCAAATAAATCGCGGATTATACGACTTGACGAGCACTTTGAGAAGCTTTCCCTCCGGTCCCCTCTCTCTCTCCCGACGACTTCTTGGAATTTATCGCCATTTAACCCATTTAACCCTTTCGGGGACAGTCTATCCGTTATGCGAAATATTTGCATCTTTTACGAGGTATTCCTATACGCAATTGCAGACGGACTGGAATTTTTTTAAACTGTGAACCGCCGGGGTGAAGCTTTCATTTACGTGGTACTCCCTTATTTGAAATGAAATGAACACCGACGGACTTGCTAATTAAAGAACTTTTAGATTGTGTGTATATTACTAAACTGACAGACGCTTCGGTTTTAGACCGTTTTTTTATTTTTTTTATTTTTTTATTACTTTTCAAACCTTGAAGATCAAATAGATAGTAAAAGGGGTTTTGTAGAACGAGAAAATAGAATAGTTAATTATATTTACTTCTTGATAATTTGAATGAAAAATAAAACAAAATCGAAGAATTTCAAATTAAGTTTACTGCAATAATCATCCTCGGGATGGAGAAACTCCTGGGGTTAATATACGCTGAATATACAAGGTCTTGTTTCCTAGTTTCACGCTAATATTCTAGCGGGACATTTTGCCAAACGTTTTTCGCCGTGGGAACGATTTCGAAAATCGACTGGCGAGCGCGAGCGCAGAAGTACTTATCCTACTCTAATACCACCGTTCGCGTTATCGCCAAGTGAAGGATACAGGAGCAACCGCGCTCTCTTTTTCCCCTCTGTCTCCCTCCCTCTTTCTTTCACTCTTTTTCCCTCTTTCTGCGAGCTCGAATTACCCTCCTGTCCACCGACAAACCCCGCTGGAAAACTTGGCATAGTTCGGGCGCCACTATCTATTCAATTTTCGCCAAGTTGGCGGAGTCGTTGCCAGGAAAGCCGACCGACCAACCGGACGTTTTGTCTTTTCTCGCCTCTCGCGAAAGAAAGATGATGGAAGTCGCTTACGGAAAGAGGGGTGCAAAGGAAAAAAGAATGAGAGAGAAAGAGAGAGAAATGCGCGCTTCTCGCGCGAACCTACTTCCCGGAGTTACTTATGACGCGAGATAGCGGGAAAACGCGTTTCTGTCCGCAAGAGTGATTTTTCATTTCGCTATATTAAAGCGCGTCTCTTATTGATTTATTTTCTCCGATGCAAATTTTATTTTTGTATCTCGATATATGCATTAATTCTTATCCGTATACAAAAATACTTTCGGATCCGTCCGCGTAAAATAAAACAGAGATAGATAATCTATGTCACAGCATTTAACAAGAGTAAAAATAAATGTAACTATAATATAAGCAATTTTGCTTTAGCTAAGAAAGCGTCCTGTGAATCAACACAATAAGATAGAAATAATCGGAAGGAGAAACAATCAATGTTTATTGCATTAGAATATTTTCTATATTTTCGAGATATTAGATAATATTTATTCATAAATATATCATATGGTGTCAATTCATAGATTTGCAATTTAACAGTCTAAAATGGGATTGATAATCTTACGATGCACCGGGAAAAGGATCCGCTCTGTTCTTGCGTAGAAGAAATTTGATCTTTCTGTCCATGTCTTCGTTGTAGATCGACTTGCACGTCTCGAAGTTGATTCTACGCCTGACTTGAGTCGGTTTCTCGTAGTATCTCGTGCGTCTGTACTGGCCGAAAATGTCCTCTTTGGACAATATGCGGTTTAACATGCGACATGCCTTCTCCACGTCATTGTTCTGAACAAAGATCGTACGGCTGATAAATTGAAGGTGCCGTGGGAGACCCATCTGAAAAGTAACGTGAAGAGCCACTACATTTCTGTATTTTTTTTTCCTCGCAAATGTTTCATGTTGAAAAAGTTGAAAAGTTTTCAGAGAAAAATTCCTTGTCTTTATCTGTTTGGAAGCGCGAGACGTAACAGAGAGCAAGTACATAATTAATACTCTAAAAACGTATCTACTAAAATTAACACAACGCTCGAAAAAACGTTAGAACTTCTCTCGTTAGATATGATTCACGAGATCAAGACTATTGATAAATACTTACCGTAGCTCCGATTTTAGGTTAGGTTAGAAGGTGTCAGTCAATCCTCGCGCACTCCTCGTTGATTTCAATAACTGGAAATACTTCTCGCGTATCCACTAAGATTAATTATGTTTCTCATAAAAATATGCCGCGAGAGATCGTTAATTCACTTCCAAATTGATAGTCCTCCGCTGCCGAGACTAATTGATGCGACAACTTTCGGCGCCCGGCGGGATGGTAGATGTGTGGCACCATCTAGCGACCGCCGGGCAAACTGCATGTCCACCGTGCCGAAGATCAGTTACCGACCGTTTCCGGCGGGTAATTGTAAAACAATTGTATATGCCCCAGGAATATGACGTTCAATAACGTGATAACGATGAAATAGATTACCAGACAATGGGCGATCTGCAAAATAAAGATGCACGTGAGAGGATATCTGGCGGAAAATCGTGAGATGTACTCGCGCGTTAGAATTAGCTGGGCTTCAAGCTTTATTATCTTATTTCTAATTATCTTATTTTTATTCCCGGGACAAAATTTTTTCATATAAAAACATATATAAAAATATATAATTATATATAATTATATGCAAAAATATATCCATATATATCCATATATGTTTCTTTAATTTCTTTGTAAAATTATTCTGTAATCCAAATAAATGATATAATAAATGATAATATAATAAGAAGGAAACATAAAAAAATAATTAAAAGAATAATTTTTACATTGTTTTTTTTACAAAAAGATCAAGTTTGAAGAAATGAACAAAAATTGTTCATATATAATTATACATATATGTATATTTTTAATTATTTATATATAATTATATATATGAGTAATTTTTTCTTATTTCTTAAAACTTGATTTTTTGTTAAAAAAAACAATGCAAAAATTATTTTTTAAATTATTTTTTTATGTTTTCTTTTTATTGTTATCATTTTTCTTGTATCAAACAATAATTTTACAAAAAAAAAGAAACATGGATCATATGTATGAACATGTTTCGCATATAATTATGTATAATTATATATAATTATAAATTTTTCTATGTATTTATATACATTTATATATGTTTTTATATGAAAAATTTTTTCCCGAGTTTTATTTATATTTTATTGACGTTATAATATTGTATAACTGACGGAAGCGCGTTTCAGATGGCGAATTCAGCTTTGGATCTGAACTTAAATCGGATATCCGAATTACCCGAATAATCCACGGAGAGAATTTTATTTAAAAATTTACTCTGAAAATCATATATGTTAATGGTAGAACAACATAGTATATTTCGATGAATTTTATATAATTTTTTAAAATATATACTACACTACTTTTTTAAAATATATACTACAACAAATTTATTGTAGTGCACAGTAAAATTTATTGTAGTGTACAGTGAAATTTGTTGAAATACTATGTTGTCCCACGATTAAAGGAAATTCTCTTCGTGTCCGAATAATCCGATTTTCGAATCTAAACCGATCTCGGATATCCGAATTAATATCTGGATATCCAAACTTAGAAGCCCTATATAGTTAATTATATAATTACTTCTCGGTCTTTCAAATTGTAGCCGAATCCCCATCGGCAGACGCATAGCCAGGCGCACAACGAGAGCATGAATAGAATAAGGGCGAACGGAGAGGCGTATATATGCACGACGAACATTTGTTCATGTTGTCACCGATCGGTCCCTCCTCGTATCTCTCCTCCTCTAACTCCTACTCATTATATCTTGGCGAAGATCGCCGTGTCGCTTATTTCACCGAGCTCGAATTATTGTACGACGCGATTTCGCTCGTCTCCATCCCGCAAATCTTCTTCCCGGCGAAACGGATCGATTTCGTGTGGTCGGATAAATCTCGCGAAGAGTATATTTATTATTTTATAAATAAATCTCGCGAAGAGTATATTTATTATTTTATAAATCCCTCCGCAGTCACATGGATATGCACATTGTCGATAATTCACGTGACATTTTCACGAGCGACAATGAATGCTCTCGCGATGACTCCTTGAAAATATAACTGAAAATTTTATAAATATGATATCTGCCAAATAGACACGACGTATTCGAAAGGGATTTACTTCAGATGCCTCACCGCATTATCGCAAAAGCTATCACTGATATCTCGTTTCTGTTTTTTTCACGATAAGCGAGAAAATTTCGTTATTTTTGACAAGACTGCGAAATTGGCAGTAATTGTTTGATCGATAGTTCGCTGTAGCGACAGGGGGATAGTCAGAGCTTCGAGCTAAAAGACGAATATTTTCTGATGAGAAAAAGTTTCTTTTCTTCTTTCGGTATTCCTCTGAGAGAGAATTGACCACGAACTTAATGCTCGCCGTAAAAGATGCCTCCGAGAAAGAGGAAAGAGAGCGTGCCGAAGAAAGAGGCTGTGCTAGAGGAGTTGGAACGTACTGAGTAAGCAAACGGACACGAATTCACGTGGAGACGAATATTTTATAGTTACGTTTTCGTTACTGTTGATTTTATTCCATAGTAATCAATTATATACAACGTAATAATTTGTAGATAATTAAGTAATTTTTAGATCGCTTATATTAGTTCTTTATGTATTTTTTATATATTGTTTTTTTTTCGGAGAAGTAAAATGAGATTGGCATCTTTTCAAAAAATAAATAAAAAATGTAGGACTAAGAAATATTAAATCCGTTTCCGTAGACCAGAGCCGGAAATTGTGGAGACCCCCGAGCCGGAGCCTCCGAAGCAGGTGTCCTTGCTCACCGGCGAACCCTATGGACCTCGAATTCGTCTTGTCAGTGAGAAAGCCGAGGAGGAGAGCTCGGACGACGAGCCGGAGTCCGACGCCGAGGACGAGGCCAGATATCTTCAGGAAGAACATCGGGAAGTGCCTTCCGAATTCTGGCACATACAGAAGCTCATCAAGTATATGAAGGCCGGCAACCAGACCGCCACTATGGTATCCTTGTGTTTGTTGAAGGATTACAATCTCACCGACAAGGTTCGTTATATTTCTGTTAAAAGATTTATTACTTTATCGTATGAAGCCGCCAAAATTATTTATATAACGAAATCAGTAACTCTATATATGTAGACTCATTTTCCGCTTTTTTTATTTTGTTACATTCTTTCTCATTCATATATTTTTTAATTCGTCAATTTAAAGTAATCTCTTTGTTTCGCATCCACTCCACATGATCGAATTTATTTGTGATAGTGCAGATTATACAGAAGGCCATTCAAGAAATGGGCGGTCTCGAAGTTCTAGTGAATCTTCTCGAAACGACCGACATCAAGTGTCAGAACGGTTCGTTGTCGGTTCTATTGCAAATCGCGATTTCTACGGAGATGAAACGATATTTAATCGACTTGGACATTGTGACGCCATTAATCGAAATGCTGAAGCATCCCGCCAGAGATATCCAGGTCGTTCGTTCACCTTTGTCACAATAACTCCTTTGATTTTATCGACTAGCTTTTTTTATCCGCCACGCTTCATTTAAAATCCGATTGGTTTATTAGTCGACAAAAATTTCCGTCAAGCTAAAAATGTTGAAACCCGAAAAATCTTTAATGTTTTTACTTATTATTATTATTATTATTATTACGTATAACTTTGTTTTAAATCATATTATATAATATTAATTCTAACAATTAATTTTTAATTCTCAGATTTTAGCAGCCGAATTAATGGCCATTATAGCTCGTATTCGAAAAGCCAGAAAACAGATCAGAATTCGCGGCGGAATATCGCTCATAGTAAGTTATATTGATTGTCGAATAACAGAAAATAAATGAGTTGTCTCGAGATTATTTCAAAATTGTTACATATACATAATGTATACGATGTTTAAATATCGAAACACATATTTTTTCAATGTGGCCAGCATGACGATCTGTTGACTCTTAAATTTTTATTTAACAGTTAGACGTAATGGATGTGCCAGATGAAGTTCTTCGCCGGTCGTATGACGAATTGAGCGAGGTCAACAAAGAACTCGTGGCCGTCGCCATAGGTTGCGCCAAGGTTTTAGATTCCTTGGGCAGCAGCCCGAAGATCAAGGAGGAGCTTCGCAAATACGGTGTCGTTCGTTTGATGTCGCGTTTTCTGAGATCGAAACACACTCAACTGATCGTACCCACGATGGGCATCGTGCAGCAGTGCGCTGATCTGGTTTATTGAATTTTGTTCTCTATAATTAAACAGTATTAATTACGATAATGTAATCGTCTGTCGTTTTAATTGATTTGAAAAATGTATAGAGATGATGAAAATAGATTGTGGAAAACATGATTATACATTTATACAAAAAACAAAGAAAAATCGCGAGAATTAAATATCAACTTCATTTAAACATCGATATCGCGGATTATCTATTATTCGAAATCTATTGTCGCATTTATACGGTCGTAATGAAAAATCGGTTAAACAACTTATTTCCACTGGAATTATTTCCGCGTAGCTGTAATGTCGTATACTTACTGATCGCGTATCTGCAGAATGTTTTTAGAGAGATGTTCGAGCGAGTGGGCATCATCAACGACTTGGTGCGACATTTGAAGAACGAGAACGTGAAACTGAAGGAGAACTCCGCCCTGGCCATCTTCAAATGCGCCTCGAATCGGGAAACTCGGACGATGGTGCGTCGAGCCGGCGGTCTGGACCCACTTTGCAAACTCGTGCAGAGCGACGAGGTGCACGCCAACAAGCGCCTGCTGGCCGCGGTCACCGGCGGCGTCTGGAAGTGTGCCATCAGTCCGGAGAACATTGTCAGATTCAATCAGAACGGTTTGGTAGCGTCGCTGGTGCCCCTGCTCGAGGAAAACGAGGATGAACGGGTGTTGGCCAACGTCGTGGGCGCCCTCGCCGAATGCTGTAAGGATCCCGCTAACAGGGACGTCTTGAGGACCAACGAGGGTCTACCGAAACTGGTAAAGACCGTTCAAAGTCCGGAGTACACTTCTGTCCTTAATTTTCTTCTCTCTCTCTCTCTCTCTCTCTCTGGACCAAACTTTGCTTGTCTGCGTCTCGAACTCTGCATGCTTGTACATTCGGATTTATAGATAACGGAATGCATACACATTGATGATCTCAAAGACGTAACGCAATGAAGAATCAATTTTTGTTTCCATATAAAAGCTAATTTTTTATGTAAAAATGCTTGGATACTAAATCGCATTTAATCGTGTCATGTGTTCTAATGATTAGAATATTGTATCGTAAAAAAAAAGAATTATTTAAAAGATTCGATGTAGAGATAGAAGAGTAGAATACCTCCGGTATTCAGAATAAATATTCAAATCGACATAACGAAACCGATACTCGTGAGTCTTTTAACGATCCTCAACGAGCAATTGTTAAATAAATTCTCATCGTATATGTTAACAATTTAATAAAGATTATCAATCTTGTTACTGCAATATCGCTGCGTTGTCCCATTTTACGCGTAATTGTCCCACTGGAGTTTATACGAGAGATAATTTCCAAATGAGGCGAAAATTGGATGCGCAATTGGAAGGTTCGCGAGTACCGCAACCGATGATTAATTGAGTTAACGTGCGCCACGCCGTTTCCGCGACGATCGATGTTTCCTCGTTACTCCCTGTTGTATTGGCGATACCGCAGGATGAGTGCTTCAGGGACCCTTGCAGATTAGACTGTTGAGCGCCACGTACGAGCCATTACTGGAGAACGTGCCGCTGGTGCTGAAAGAGTGCGCCGTCGATGAGAGATGCATGGACATTATCAACGACTCGGAGCACCGGCTGGACGGCGTGCGACTGGTCTGGTCCCTGCTGAAGCACTCCAGCGACGTGGTCAAGCGTAACGCCTGTCTCGCCCTGGTACCCTGCATCCGACACGCCAAGGACTCGCCGGAGATGGTGCGCGCCTTCGTGGGCGGCTTGGAGCTCACGGTCAGTCTGCTGGAGAGCAAGGACACGGAGGTGCTCAGCGCGGTCTGCGCCATGATCGCGGAGATCGCTACCGATCCTGAGAACCTGGGCATCCTGACGGATCACGGCGTCGTGAACAAATTGGCCGCTCTTGTGCAAACTGTTAGTTCAGCACTGCTCGTGACAATAATTTCTTTTTTTTTTATTTATTTAATGCGGCTGCTTCGTGGGGAAAAAAGACAAATCGTTAATATATTCGCGAGAATGCGATGACTTTTTGTTTTTACAGACATTACAGAATAAGTCAGCGAACAATTTATATATAATTTTTTTGGCGAATATAATAAAATATATGGAATAAAATATGATGCGCGCGTGTATGTCAGTGTGTTCCTTATATAATCGTTTATATCTTTGCTGTCAGAAAGTCAAGTGTCGTAATTAATGATTTAATTAGGACACTTAAAAAACTTATTGTTTTTAATAGCAGAGAAGCAGTCGCATTTAAATATTTTATTAATTATTAAACCATTTAATCAAAATATTGCGCAATAACCGGATGACTTTTTTTTTAAGGACAATGAGAATTTGCGCGCTAATCTGACATTGGCGATAGCTTATTGCTGCGATTGGGATCGGAATAGTTACGAATTTGGTAAACTAAATGCCGTTGCGCCGCTCGTTAATTACATGACCAGCAAGAACAAGAACGTGTTGAAGGGTGTTTGCATTGCCGTGTACCATTTGAGCAAGGAGCCCTTAAATTGCGTGACCATGCACACCTGCGGCGTTATCAAGGTATAATTAAGCTCATATGCTTCTTGCATATACGTGACATTAATTGCTCGATGTTAAAAGGCCGTAACTCTACGAAATCAAATTTTCAAAATTAAAAAAGAATGGCTTATTTAAAAAATGGACATTTTCTCACAAATATAAACACATTTTATAGCCATCGGCTATAAATTAAATCATTGTAAATGTTTATAACAGTCTACGAATCGATAGAGATATTTTTATAAATATTTTATAAATAGAACGCTCAATGAAAAACATAGAAGTCCATATATTTGGAATTATGTCTTTTTAACTCAATTTGATTAATTATCGCCTCAATGATAAACGATAAATTACGGAAATCCTAATAAAGTGTATAAAAACGTCAAAATTTTCAAACAGCACGTATTGCGTTTGGTGGGCTCGGACGATCCAGAGGTACAGATCGCAGCTGCATCCACTATTCGTCACATAAGAAAACTCGCGTTGACAGCAGAGAAATTCCACTTCAAAGAAATGTAATTCTTTTATACCTTATGAACTTGAATTCTAAAGAGCACAACTCAGAAATCCAATTTAAATTGAAATTAATCAATATTTATTTTCTTATTTGTAATTATAAATATCGGCAAATAATTTTTATTTATATTGGATAAAATATTTCTGAAACGGATATTCGTTTCGTCCATAAATTTATTTACGGAAACTTAATACTGTGCGCTTATATATGTATAATATATCTATTTGTGCTCTTCAGGATTAAATTATTTTAATTGTTTTGATTTTACTACTTAATGAAACTGCTGCACGTAATCATTTGGGTTTTCCGCAGGAGCTCGTTACAGGAAATCGATTTCCGTTTGTGAATAACATGAGTTATCAGCGAAAGAGAGAAAATGAGGTAGGAAGAAGAGGAAGTGATATAAAATAAACACAGATTTATTGCAGTGCGTGTATAGTGGTTTATAATTTTTGTCAATATTTCTAAATTTACAATTTTGTTTAAAACCCGTAATATCCTCCTCTCAATAACAATCGGTAACACTGTATTATTATGAAGAACTGTAAGAGTGACGGAAGATACAGAAAAAATTATTTTTAGACTTTCATAAGATTCACAAATGGAACACCGACTTGGTCGGACATGTGGTTATTAACTATTAAATTGTATAAGACAATGGCTTAATTTGAGCAATATACATGTATCCTAAGCTTGTTTCTCTCTATATCTCAAAATTGAAGCTATTTGAGGATGTTGATAGAGAATATACTATATAAACGTAAAACGACAATCGCATGCAAGTTACAATCTTACATATATAATGTACAAATTTAAGCTATTTTGTGCGCGTCGTTTTATTGACGACTCGTGAATTAACTAGAAGGCATAATTCCTGATTCTCAGAGAAGTTTCGCCTTATCGCGGTATAACAATTGGATGGCAACATTTGTCATCAAAAATTTTAAATTTTTAGTTAAATTAGATTTATCGACGTATCTTTACGTATCTGAACATATCATATATTGTTTCCGATTGGACCTTGGGGGCACCTTTTATATTTTTAAATATTTAAATCATCCTTACCAGCTTCTTATCAACAATACCTGATAAACAACTTACCTAGTAGTAAAACATACCTAGTAAAAGCCAGTTTCACCAACATTGATTTTATCTATTTCAATTTGTGAGACACCGTAAATATTTTAAGATAAAAAATTGTTGAAACATTATCAACATATAATCAGTGATATATTTGAGTGAACGGTTATTTTGAAAAAAAAAAAAAAAAATAATAATAATAATAAAGACAAATAAATCAGATCATCAGTTTGATGTTGGTGAAACTTTCCTCTAAAAGTAAAGTATTTTAACACACGTATATATCATCATTGATTATGGAAATGGCAAAAATATGTGGACCAGACCTATCCTATTATACAAAAACACTCCAAGTTTTATTTTCAATTGGCTCGAAATCACTATAAATGATAAACCGAGCTTATCTGAAAATAAAACACCTATGCTAAAATCTTTCCATGTTGAAACCTCTTTTTAATCACATTACTTTTGAAAACAGGCTATTATACTGTAAATGGTTTATTTTCAGAGGGAGGCTTTTTTTTATTCGTGCATATCCTTCCGTATTTACTATCTATTCACAATTTTGGACAACTTTGGTTTTCCCTGATTCACTTGACAGTTGCTTATTGTACCTAGGATAATCAAAATTTCTATCTGTTTGGCATTTTTCTTCATTCTTGTAGTCGTTAATGTAACAACTCGATAATATTCGGTAAAGCACAAAATTCACGCTCTCTCTTTGCTAGGAATGAGTAAAAAGGGGAAAGACACAAATGGACTTTCTATTTGTTTGATTTACAGCTTTATTCTTGCTTGGTGGTCAACGCTTCCGCTGCACTCTTGACTACTGCAAGAATAATATAATCTTTATATTCCTGCTTCGATTTGTATCTCAAATATTCCTCTGGCGTATCAGTCCACATTTTTCGGGAAGCCCGATTAAGGCCCGCTCTACAATATGTCGTATGTTGAGTCATAAGCCGTAAGAACTGACCAATCACAATCGAATATTCTTACATTCAGCTGCGATATGTCAATTCTTACAGTTTGTCACTTATGACATACAACGTATCGTAGAACAAGCCAAAAGCCTTAAACACAATGAAAAGAAATGGGAACAGGGAACAGAGAATAAGAATTTCAACCTATCTGAAACTGTATACTGCAGAATACACAGTTTCTGATAGACTGACATTCTTATTCTCTATTCCCTTTTCCTATTCCTTTTCATTGTGTTTAAAAGCTTTGCATTTGATAAAAGGTAAAGGTCACTTACCTGTGTCACGTGCATTGGACAAAAGTCTGTCTAATCCAGGCTGATACTGAATGAACTTTGGACGGATGATACGGCGATATAGAATCAAGGAACCATTGTACTCAGCGATTGGCGCCATCAACCATACATAGAATATACACTGCGTAACAAATTCATAATTTATAAATGTTTGTTCTCGAACGGGATCTGCCTTTGCGAGACAAATGCCTTTAAGGTTATTACCTTGAATAGCCAATAGACTGGGAACCAGCAGACGATATACTCGGAAAAGAATTCTACGATGGTAAATACAGCAAAGACCACCCAATAAGTGAGCCATTTCGTGTCGTCCTCTTTCTTGGGGCTTTCCAACGCTTTCATAGATTGGTATGCAGGATAAACAAAACCGACTATATTACATACTAGCTGTTGTCCTAATCCAAATACCAAGTATACAGCCAGGAGTATCAATGATCCTACCAAAATAAACAAATAACAAAAATAATAATAATAACGTAATTTCTCTGAAATTTTCCTTTAAATTTAAATTCATCGTGTCGCCGTTCGCGGAAATTTTAGCGCAACGAGGCGGAAAATTACGGGACATTCCATTATACGATTGACCCGAGCAACGATCAACAGGTTGCGGATTTTCGGGCAGGGTCTCGAAAATGTTATTTATCGAACAGAGAAACGAGACGTGTCTCGCGCGGAAAGGAAAAGGGGAAAAAAAAGAGACGTGGAGCCCGTCATTGCGTAACGAGCGCGCGATAACGAGCCGCGAGAAGCTATACGAGATCCGCATTAACATGCGGATGAATAATTATATCTAAATGCGCACTGCCGGAGCCGGCCAATCAATAGGAATGACTGGGGAATCCGCGTGAACGCGTTACACCGCCGCCGGGCGGACTCACCGACAAAAATGTACAGGCGATCAACGCCGGTCTTCTCCTCCGCGTGGACGAACAACTTCGTCCACGGCTTGCTCTCGTCCCTCAACGTTTTCTCGAGGTATTCCTTCACGGCGACGATTCGGGCCATTTTTTTTTCCTTCTCGCGGATTAAACTTGTCCTTCGACGAAACCCGTGCGCGCGTGCAGCGTTGGTTAACCCGTACACCTGTTCGCCCCACTAGAGAGAGATATGGCCGACGTGTGCGACATATCGACCGATCGAGGCACGTTCGATGCTTCTTTCTTTCTCGACCGTACCTTATTCGACTCATCTGACTCCGCAGCTCGGGAATCGCGACTCTCAATCGGAGAGAGACCTGACTTACCTGACAATGAGAAAGAACATGACGGCGCGGCCTTTTACCTGGTACGGTGTGTTACCCAAAAAGATTATTTACCTCAAAAGCCTCAAAATGCCGCCCTAAAGGCCAAAGGGCCATGTCCTCTCTCAGATTTCTCTCTGCTCTCAATGTAGCTGCATTCCCGTTTTTCACGCATGACGTACCATTTTATCTTTGTTCAACATTTGGTGAACAAGAATAAAATGATGCTATTCAAAAATATGTCACTTAACAGAATTTATTCTCATTTCTTTTCTTCATAACCATTCCATTTGTTTTTATAACAAAGAAATTTATTTTCATATTTATTTTTTGTATTTTTTTTATTTTTTACAGATTTTTTATTTTTATTAACACTAACAAACAGCTCAGAGCTTATGCGCACGTCGTATCCTGTAAAAGATCCTGTGTTTTCGTGGTTTACTCCTATCGGAAGTATGCATATAAATTATAGATTAGGTAAATAAATTCAATTCTCCAGATTGTCAATTAAAAATGTGTGGATCTTTAACACGTCACAAGTCGTGTTTGACTGTAAATATTACGCGCGCATTGTGGAGCATTATAAGATTAACGTCGGTGCGCGCAATGCGCTCGAATTAATCTGCTTTAGCAATATCATCAGTTCTCCTTTGACGAAATAATATGATACATCCTCGAATTAAAGAATCGTGTGCGGCTTCTATACAACTAGTGTTTGTAGGTCTATGAACATTGTGGACGTGGCACGTGACTGTAAAATGTACAAGATTTCAGGAATCTTTGAGCAGTTTCAAGCGTTTACGGCTGGCCCTAATCTGGCGTGCGACAAAGGACTGAAGGGTGTCGTGTTGCGGATCTCCTTCTCCAGACACTGCGTGTAAATGTCGGCGGTGAGCTCGTTCAGCGGAATCTCCTTGTCGTTCTTGGCGGCTTTCATGGCGTCGTCCACCTCTTTCCTGATTGCGCCCTCTATTGCCTGCAGGAACGGAAAAAGAGATATCGCGTATATGTAGATCGTTTCGGATAACAATGACATAAATCACTAATACGTTTATCGCAAAATATTTATCGCGAAATCTAAACAGACGTCGACTGACTTTGATCTCGTCCGCAGTGGCGAGATTGGAATTCAGGATTCTCTCCTTGAAGCTGGTCAGGGGATCCCGGGTCTGCCGGACCTCCTGCACCTCCTCCCGCGTACGGTAGCTGGTTCCGGGATCCGACATACTGTGCCCGCTGTACCTGTACGTCACGGTCTCCATGATCATCGGCCCCTTGCCGGACGTGCAGTGCTCGATCGCGAATCTCGTGGCTTCCCTCACGGCTAACACATCCATTCCGTCCACCTGTAATACGATTTTACCGTAAATATCCAAATTCAACTAAAGGTGCCATTCCATTTGAGCAACGCAACGAGCATTACTCGTCCTTGTTTAACATTTAACAAACAACAAGGATGAAATGACTCCAAGAGCGTTGCGAGCGTTAAATGGAACGCACCACCCCTAATAAATAGAAACACGAATCTTTTACGAGACGGGAGATAACGTACCCATATCCCGGGAATATAATCGCCTCTGGTGTAATACTCCGTGCTCGCCGCGGCACGCTCCACGCTGGTGCCCATCCCGTATCCGTTGTTCTCGCAGACGAAGATGCAGGGCACGTCCCACAGCTTAGCCATATTGTACACCTCGAACACCTGTCCCTGATTGGCCGCGCCGTCGCCGTACAATGTCAGACAAACCCCGCCGTTGTTCAAGTACTTCTGCGCGAAGGCGATCCCAACTCCCAGCGGCACCTAATTGCAGCGGAAAACAGCGTTGAGATATTTTCAACGGATTTTAACATTAAAGCGATATCAAGTCGAATTTTAGGATTAACGCGAACCTGGGCGCCGACGATGCCGTTTCCACCGTAAAAGTTCTTAGCGTACATGTGCATGGAGCCACCCTTGCCCTTGGCATTGCCGCCCTGTCTGCCCGTGAGTTCCGCAAAGACGCCGAACGCATCTATGCCCATCAAATAAGTCCATCCGTGCGCGCGGTAAGCCGTGATCACGGCGTCCTGCGGTCTCATCGCGGCTTTCATGCCGACCGCGCAAGCTTCCTGCCGAGGAAATGCCACAAAAATTGAGGTAAATTTTGCGTCAATTAAATAAATATCTAAAGAAAGATATGCAAAAAAAAAATGTCTTTACTTGTCCAGAATACAAGTGACAGAAACCCCGAACGATCTTCTCTTTGTACAAGTTGCCAGCGGCCGTTTCCATACGACGTATCGTGTGTAGCTGCTTGAACAGTTGGATAGCGTCATCCCGGGTCACCGTAACCTGGGTGGACGGGCCGTGCTCCAGTTTGTGCAGGCGAAAAGGCTTGGTCTCGAAGGAGGCCTCGGTGGCATAGCTATTTTTCTTGCTCAAGAAAAACGAGGCCACCTAGAAACGTGTCGGCATCCAATTAGCGTACCCGTCTGATGCAAATTGGCGATGCAAAAATATATATATATAATGTGACTGAAACACGTGCGTCAGCGTGTAGTTTACGTTATCTCGTGAATCAGTGGTGTTCATTCACTAGTGAAAAGCTCAAAGTTCTGAGCGTTTTGCGTTAACATCAATCGAGTCGAGAAGTAAAGCAAACACAAAAACGGCGGGCGTTTTATGCGAGCCGACCGCGCGAATCGCGGCTGATAATTACCTCGTTCCAGCTTCCAAACTGGCGAGTATGCGGGATATCGAGAGAAGAAGAAGACTCATGAAATATGTCAGTACGGTGTCGCAAGTAAGAGAGATGTCTGGGATTCGTAACGAGGCCCTGACACGGAAAAAAACGCGATCGACGCGGCGTGTTTTAGAGGTCACACGCGTCGCCCGATCATCGGTGGGCACTTACGTTTCGTCGTGACGACCGCGCGGCGACGTTCCTGAGGCAGCTCGGTATCATTTCTTAACAACGGGGGGGAAGAGGTCAACAATGGAAGCAGGTCTCGTTTATCGCCTCCGCGCGGGTCTATAATACAGAAGCAGAAGTAGTGCGCCGTGAAACCACCTTCACCTGACACGAGTCGACACGGACCAGATGGTGGCACGAACGGAGATGCTCCGCCGAAGTGCACACACGTGCAGCTCCGCTCCAGGAACGGCTCTAGTCGGGGCACTCGGGGCGCGAAGGACACGAATTTTGCCAGACGCATCCCTTCCGGTCCTTTCACCCTCGTTTCTCATTTCACGTTGTAATTACGTCGTGACATATCACGATGAGAAAAAAAGTTAAATGTTATTAACGCCACGTTCGCGGGTTTCCCATTCGCGCTTACGCAAGCTAAAGTTCCGACACTGTTCCCTCTTCCCTCTCATGGGCGCCGCAATACCCAATCGTGACCGATCGTTGGCCTCGTCAGCTGATCTCGTTATCGGAATGGGGTGACATTTGACTGCACTTCCTACACTTCGTGGCGCAACGGCGGGGAGCGATCAGGAGCGATCATATGTTTCTTTCAAAACACGGGTGTTTCCATACACACACACGCGGAAAACAATGAAAGGCAATAGTACGCTCCTTCAAACATTCTTTTCTTTCGTAGTCATCACTAACAGTGATGTCCGCGATTTTATTGCACGAACGTGATTAGGAAAAATCGTGATTAGAAAAAATTAGAAACAATTAAGTTCTAACCTGAAAGGAATGGAAGTCGACGATTCGCGCGAATACGACCGGAAAATTGTCTCCTTCAGAGACCTCGGTAGATTTAAATTAGCGGAGAGAAGATACGACGATGATTCTCTCAATATATACACAGCGAGGCTGAATGATTTGCGGGAGGATACATTGCGGAGAGCGAAACAGAAATGGAGTAGGTAAAAACTCGTTTGTAACGTCCAGAATCTTGCGTTTATCCACGTTATTCCATTTCACGTATGTTTGCAGCCGACCATCCACACGTCGAGGTTTCACGTCTGACCCTGGAAAGCCCGGGAAAGCCTTACATTTTGGTAGGAGTGCTCTACAAGGATCAGAAGCTGAAACCTTCCTTGCTGCGCGACCTCAGCAAGGAGCTGCAGCTGGAGGCTCAGCCGAGCAACAATTACGCGTCCGTCGACGACAAATTATTTCTGGAGGATGAAACGTTGCGCATAAGATTGGTAGGGAATCACGTGGATACGCGGGAAGTGGTCACGGGCCTCGTCTGCGCGGTACTCGGCCGTGAATTGGACAACGGCACATTTTGGGTATATACACGCGTAATTGGTCTACAGGCGGGATTTCAATTTGCTGATATTCGACTTTGCTCCTAGGTGGAGGATTGGTGTTTTCCAGGGTACTGCCCGAAGCCTTCCGGCTCGAGCGGTAGAACGTTGGTGGAACACGGGAAAATCCTGCTAGTATCTGGATTAGATTTGGTTAACAACACGGATGGGCTTAGCTTGGATTTACTCTCGGAATGGATAACCGGAATGGCGGGATGTTCCAATGCGCAAAAAGAGGAAGCGGTAATTACGAGAGTCATTATCGCTGGTACGAACATCGAAAATGTTCATGTTTCCCGACTTACCGACGTGTTGCAGTTCATGTATAAATAATTGCGCAGGAAACGCCGTTCGCGGTTCTGCGAAAATATTCAACCATAAAGGCTATCACGAGATCAAGTCGCACGATCAGCTCAAGATCAAGGAAGACTTAATGGCGATGCACAAGCTCGACGCTTTCCTCAGCGATATCCTCAACTGCTGCTGCGTCGTCCTGATGCCGGGGGAGTTTGATCCCACTTGCAACAGCAGCATGCCCCAGCAACCCTTCCATCCGTGCACTTTACAGAAGTCGGCCAGGTAACGGCGGATACGCTTTTAAGCCTCGCTCGTCGAACTTACTTTGCGTAATGCAGTTTAGTTGTAATGCAGGTTTAAAAGCATGCACGGCGCGACTAATCCTTGGATCGCAAATATCGGAGGTCGTGTCGTAGCCGGCTCTTGCGGCGGGCCAATCGTGGATATCATGAAAATCGCTGGATTATCCGAGCTGTCGCCGTTGGAATGGTTGGGGCGTACCTTGATCTGGAGGCATTACGCTCCAACCGGTCCCGACACGCTGCCGATTTATCCGTTCTTCAAAAACGATCCGTTCGTTATGAACGAACTGCCGGACATATATTTCGCTGGAAATATGGATGAATACGATACAAAATTAGTCACAGGTAGTAATTTTTTTTTTTAATCTGATCGACTATCGACTATCAACTTTTTTTGTGACGAAATAATTCATGTGTACAGCTGACGAGGGGCATGCGGTGCGATTAATATGCGTTCCGAAGTTCTCGGAAACAAAAACAGCGGTGCTAGTCAATTTACAAGACCTGACGACACAGCTTATTTCATTCGGCGATGGTCTGACATAATTAATTGTATTATATAGAAAGTAAAATAATTGTTTACAATTGTGCATAATAATTGTATCATTTGTCATTGCAATGAAGCATTCGAATAATTCAATGTCTCCACATAAGGAGTCTAGAAGATTAATCTAAAACTTTGATTCAAGTCTTTTAAATATATAATTAAATTTATTTATCTGAATATATGTTATAACATATACTTTATATATATATATGTATAATAAATATATATTTATTTATTACAATTACGTAGCCCGTTTATCATTGTATATATTTTAATGACACATCACAATGAACTTATAATAAAGAATAAAAATGTAAAAGAATATATAAAATTCTTGTAAAGTAATTTATAATAAATAAATAAGATTTTATAATTTCATAACTCATTCGCAAAAGCTATTTCATAACTATTTGCAAAAGTATATGAAAGTTTATGCAATGTTTAAAATTTCACACACATACATGAACATTTATATATATATATTAATATAATATTTCTCTAAATAATTCTTTCTTTACATTGTTATCGAAAAATAATTTAATAATGTTCCATATGAAACAAAATACGGTAACATTATTATTATTAATATCTATATAATACTCTCTTTTATTCGTTTCTGCGATGAATACTATCTTTCTTTGGCACATACAATTAGTAGTTTTCTTAGATTAATATATCAGTCATAAAGATACATCGTTAATTTCAATAAGACTTGCACAAGTGCGTTGGATATTGGAACTTTTTAGAAGACGTAAACGCATGCACGATTAAAGAAGGGAAGACTAGTCGAAATGCCGTTTGAAGAGATCTCAGTTCGTCCTTCGTCTCGATATCAGTTAGCGCCGTTTCAACTTTTCAGAGGCCTGTAACGTTACCCTGGTCTTTCTCCCACCGCGAGCGAGTGTTCTGATAAAAATTCTGAGTCTCCGATCCGTAGGATCTGGAGGCAACGGGAATGTTGACGCGAATAGTGGTCGATTCCAATCGCTGCTCGCCGTTCGACGAATCTTGACGTTCAGAGCCGCTCGTCTGCTGATCCTCCGATCCTCGGTCCTCGCTTCTCATGGCGCATATCACGTCCGTAAGGGCCACTATATAATTTTTAGCCAGCGTTAACGTCTCGATTTTCGAGAGCCGTCTCTCTTTGATTACGTGCGGGATCACTTCGCGCAGGGACTAGAAAGAAGAGAGAATTCACTGAATGTGTCTTATAAAATGAATAAAACGTTGTACGTGTAATGTGAAAAAGAGCTTTTCGGAAAATATATCAGAGAGACAAATATTTGTTATTACAGATATTTCTTCACATAACAATCTTCCTTATTATTTTGTCAGTTTTTAGATGATGATATGTAATAATAGCTTTAAGCACCTGAAACGCATCGTTCAAACTGTGCATCCGCATACGCTCGCGTTCGTTGCTTTCCAGCCTCCTGAGAGTTCTCTCCCGTGCCGAGTGTCCTCTCGAGGGTTTTGACAATCTCAACCCCGAAGATTCCGTTTTTTTCGTCGTTCGCCGCAGGCTCCTACCGCTCTGCGACGATTCCGTAGTCCATTTTGTCTCCCAGGTATTTTCATTCGTCACCTTAGACCGCATAGTATATTCCTTTCGTCTAGTGAAACAATATAACTAAATCTCACTGATCACGATTTTAAAATAGAATTTTTAACGTCTTTCTAAATCTCTTAATATGTTTTTATTTATTGTACTCGAAATCGTAAGCAAAGAGAATTGGATTAAGAATTTATTAAAAAATCGAAAATATAAAATTGAGACGCTTGACGTGTTCTATGGACTTACTTTTTACCAATGTTGACGCTCAGATTGTTGACTGGTTGACGGAATTCGACGATTCACGATCTTACTCACACAATTCGTGCCGTACTCGTCGATTTAATGCATTTTAGCAGCGAACAATTGTATGACAAGTCACGTCAAGATTTTCCAAAATTTGAAACCGTGGAAACTGGGCGCCGCGTGTACTTGTTGAGCCACGCTGGAACGACGACTGACGTCGCGACGCCGGGGTGCGGCCGGCGCCGCCTTCCACCCCCGGCATTTCGTCATGTACTCTGTGGTCCTCTCCTTCGCCCGCATCGGTCGTTTTATCATACGTTCATCGATATATCGTGTATTCATCGTTTTTCGTTTTCGTACAATATATTCTTTAATAACAAAGAATAACAAATACATCGATATTCAAAGCAATACTTTCCGATTAAGAAATTGATTTGTACAAATCAATTATAACCCGCGGTGATTATTCCATCTATTATTTCTACAAAACTCTTTACACGCTCGTCGATATGTATTGTAAACAAATTGGAATAATATTCCAGCTAAATGTGTTTAATTTACATTTTAACATTCTTTCTCCCGTAGAAAGAAGCGAGTGGAAAAAGCGCGTAACGGGCGTTACGCTTCGCACACCCCATAGATACGGTATTCCCGTGTCTATGTGTGAGCGGGCTACAGGTGGGCGTATGACGTAATTCGCGCCCACGCGGACCCTCCTATCTGCCCATTATCGCTCCGCTAGCAACAACTTAGGGATGACGGGGGGTTTAATATGGACAGCTCTCGAATGCACCTGCTCGAATTTACATCGCGTCTGATGGAAAACTTATTAAAAAAGACGGAACTATGAGCAACCGTGGTGGAAAAAACGGGAGGAGAGATTTTGCATTCGACTTAACGGGTCGACGATTTCAAACATGACGAATTCGAACATTACGCATTCAATTCCTTTATTTGTCCATTTTACATTTACCGCAGCAGGCATCGGGTTTTTCTAATTCAGACTCCTTGTGATTAGCGGTCCACGGCCCGAGGCTGATCGTAGAGTAGAAATCCATCGGGTACGGCCGATCCTTGTCGAAATTCGCCATCCTGAGAGCGACGGCGCCTTCGTAAGGCGTGAGAAATGGTTTCTCGAACGCGACACCCCAGTCAATACTCAATCGTGGACACGCGATCTTGAATAAAGTACACCGACATTAATTCAATTTGACACAAATTTTCTCAGCTACATATTAAGTTATATTAACTCGATCGAACACTTTCCCTTTTTCTCTCGTAGTTCTTTTTGAAGTAATGCATTTCTCTCAAATATATTTACGATTTTTAATTCAAAAATTCTTCCTACAATAATTTTTCTTATAAATTAAATATGATGATACTAATAAAGAGAGAAGGAAAATGAGTAAATTTTTTTTTTTTAACAATTTGATACGTTTTTCTCGCGAGAGATCGTACTTGTATAAAAGCGTCAACGTCTTTGAACAGCTTGATTTTGTCCGGGAATATCTCCGACAGCAATATCACGACGTTTTCTTTTCCCAACGCCTCGATTCTATTTTGCAGGGTTCTCAGTACACGAGGACTGCCCTGCCTGCCCAGGGTGCTAAGCACCAAAGCATATTTGTCGGTTTCTACAGCACGTTGTATCGCCTCGTGCCTGGTCCTCAACATTCTCTCGTGATCGTAAAACTCCTCGGTCAATTTCTTGGCGTACGGATCGTACTTGAACGCCCTCAGCTTAGGATTGGCAATCATGGCGGCTTCCAAGTGGAAACGGCCGTCCCCTATGTACATCACCGCATCGGCGCAGCGGACTTGTGGTGCCGTACATCCTAAAATCTTTGAAAGCCATTGCTCAATATCATATTTTATTGATTAAGAGAATGAAAAATAATTACAACACATAAAAAAATAATGTATTGTACCTCTCCAGGGCTAAGTGGCTTGCTCTGCGGCACCGAGATCTCGTAACCTTCTCTCCTCAGCTCCGCTGCTACCGCTTGCACCATTGTGGCAAACTGTATTGTACTGACTAGCGCTATCTTCGTGGTAACCGGTAGAGTCACTTTCAAGCAATCCACGCAATGCGAAATGTCAATCTTTATGTTAACAAACACGTAAAGCACTTTGATACCAACGGTCTGATCCACGGGTATGAGACACGAGTGTCCGTAGTGGATCAGGAAGTCCGCGTCCAACGCTCGCGTCGTATAATCATCCACGCAGCAGGCTCCTGCAACAGGCAACGCTATAGGACACTGAAAGCGTAGGGATCACTTATTTATTTATTACCGTATGTGACATCGGCCATAATAACGGTCTCCGCTTCAGTGAAGTCCTCGATGATATCAGCTATGGTTGTCGCATACATCAGAAGACCCTCCGGCATCTGGAGAACCACTCGCTTCGCCTTGGCCTCTTTGATTCTCCATACCGTCTTGTGTATCTCGAAATTGTAATTCGTGGGTAGAGCCGCTATCGCCGAGTTCAATAGAGGATCGTTCAAGAGCTCCTCGGGAATCTTGCTGGCTCTCGTGGGGGCCTTGAAGACCTTGCGAACAGGCTTCGCCTTGATGACCACCACGGAATCGCTTTGCTCGGCCATCCCCTCGACCTTCGCGGTCGATCGAAATCGCGAAAAATATCTCGGCACGTGGTCCACGTAAACGTTATGTCATGTTGCCTTTAAATTAGTGCTAACTCGCAAATAAATAGAAACTGCAAGGTTAAGATTGAGGTTAAGATTAGGTTATGGGCAGAGTGAACATGTGGAATTGTAAAACGCATCGCGATATATCGATGGAACTTACCGCGCGTGCGAGTTGTAGATTTCAATGCAAGTACATTTATCTTTGTTGAGCAAAAAAATATAGGAGGAATTATGAAAATAATAAAAAAAACAAAATTTCTGTCAGGTCCCACCGAGATTTGAACTCGGATCGCTGGATTCAAAGTCCAGAGTGCTAACCATTACACCATGGGACCTTCGCTGACAGAGCTCCTCTATATTACCGTCTTTACGTAAAGATATTGAAAATACAACCACGAAGAGGATCGTTTTTTTATAAAAAGAATTTATCAAATACGTCTCGTACGAGACCTCATTTTCGAAAAAAAATAATCTCAGTATCACAGAATTAATAACATGCTCGTACTTTCTGCCCGTTCGAGTGGAATACAAATATCGACAATCTTCAAATATAAACTCTTCTGCCATCTTTCTTTCGTCTTCCTTATCGACTCGACCTTTTACCCATCGCTTTACGTTATTAGCTTCTCGTCGGTTCCTGCAGATGTCTCTTATTCGCCAGTCCTCTCTTACCTACCAATTTCTAGTATCAAACATAACCTCCGCTACTCATTTAAATACCTCGTTTCGCGAGTTCGCGCACGTGTTCGGATGATTTGATTCTATAAATCATTTCTATTTATTAGCATTATGGATGCATACGATCTTTTCAAGAAACTCGCAGTCGGCGTGAAATTCGATACGAAACGCTTCCGACGAGATGCGGAAAGATTTCAGGTAACAAATTGTTTATTCTCTTGGAGGTTAGTTTCTTTATTTGCCTGTTTTGTATTACGCTATGTTAATTAATTAAAATTTATTTATAGATGACGAGAGCAAATAAAAATGACGTAAACGATACGGTGGCGAAAATAAAAGACGAAGTATTAGAGCCCACGGAAGACAATGCGAAAAGAAAACGTGAAGATGAAAACGAAGATATTGATGAAATAACACTGCTGGATGGACTATCGGTGCCGAAAGACGGAAGTGTTCCGGCTAAGAAGCGTAAAAAGATCGCGACTCCTGACAAACTGTTAAAACTGGAACAAGAGAAGGTTTGTGATTTACATAATGATACGCTAATGCAAATACATAGAGAGTCTTTTTTCGTAAAATCTGATAAAAATATCTTAAATGTTTTTTCAGATAAACCATCTGAGGAACATGAATCGTATTTCAGTCACAGGCAGTCATGTGCCTAAGTTACTATTAGAATTTAATGAATTAAAAACAAACTACCAAGTGTCAGAAAATCTGTTGAATAATATGAAAGACAGTGGCTATGTGTATCCAACGCCAATACAGATGCAAGCAATGCCAATTATGTTGGAAGTAAGTAAATTTCTATAACTAGCTGCTCAGTTAAAATACTTTTAGCAAGTGTTTTATTCTCCTTTTTTTCTCTTGTCGACAGAGCCGACAGATATTGGCTTGCGCTCCAACAGGATCGGGGAAGACCGCAGCGTTTTTGTTGCCCATCATTCACAGCTTACGGGGACCGCAAAAGAAAGGTTTTCGCGCTGTCATTTTAAGTCCCACGAGGGAGTTGGCCAAACAGACGTACAGGGAATGCCTGAGGCTGAGCGACGGCTGTGACTTTAGAATTCATATAATCAGTAAAGCAAATCAGGCTCTTACCAAATACGGACCCTCAAGCTCGCAAAAGTTTGGTGAGTGTAATAGGCCCAGTTTCATGATATATGGTTAACGAAAAAGTAAGGTTAATTAAAACTTGAAAGTTTACTAGAACACACTTTCATAAGCTTATAGTCCAATAAAGGTTACATGTACATCAGTTGAGTTGACATCAAGTTAACATGATTCAGTCCTAGTCAAACGTTATTAAACTTGGTAATTTTTAACCTTTTTTTAGTTAACCATACATCGTGAAAATGGGCCATAGTATGTGAAAATTTTAATAGAACTTAACAGAAATGATCTTTCTAAAACTTATTTGTGTTTCAGATATTTTAATTACTACGCCAAAGCGATTGGTCTTTCTTCTGAATCAAGATCCTCCAGCCATTTCGTTAAATAAGTAAATTTTTCACAATTTCACCGGTTAATAATCAGATTTGGGCACAATAATATTTTCCTTCTCCTGTTTTTGCAGCGTCGAATGGTTGATTGTGGACGAAGCCGATAAACTTTTCGAGGAAGGAATACGCGGCTTTAGGGAGCAATTAGATGAGATTACGAGGGCTTGCGTTAATACAAATTTACGTCGCGGTATGTTCAGCGCGACAAACACTCCGGCGGTGTCGAAGTGGTGCCGTCGTAACATGAAGGGTCTTATAACAGTGACAGTTGGGCAAAGGTACGTATTTATGTCTTGATAAATTTTATGGAAAACATGAAAATTTAGCCATAATTATTGAATGTTTCCTCTTTGTTGCAGAAATGCAGCTGCAGATTTGGTAGATCAGAAACTTCTCTTTGTTGGCAGCGAAAGGGGCAAATTGGTGGAGTTTAGGAACATTATTCAGAAGGTAGGATAATTTAATTGCAATGTCTTATTACTCTTTAAATTATTTACGGCTATTTACACGTTTCTAATTTATCAATAAAGGGCATATCGCCACCGGTCTTGGTATTTGTGCAAAGCAAGGAGAGGGCTCAAGAACTTTTCAACGAGCTTATTTACGACGGGATTAACGTGGACGTTATTCACGCCGATAGAACAATGACACAGGTACGGTAAAATGAAACGAGATTTTCTCGCGCGACCCGTCCTAATTGTCCGTTAATCCATTATATTTCCGTAGCGGGATAATACCGTGCGTTGCTTCAGAGAGGGAAAGATCTGGGTTTTGATCTGCACAGAATTAATGGGCAGAGGTATAGACTTCAAAGGCGTAAATCTCGTTATAAATTACGACTTTCCACCATCCGCCATCTCTTACATCCACAGAATAGGTACGTATCGGTCTTATCGGTAAACCCTCAAGATAGAGCTGTTCTGTTTCTCTGATGACGCAGAGTATCACACGTTTCTAGTTTTCTCTTTCTCCCCCCCCTCCTTCCCTCTCTTATTGTCAACAGTATTCTCAGCTCGAAGCAGCTTTTCTTCTCTTTCGGTATTGTGTTAAGCTATTGTGTGTGCGTGCTGCTAACAATAGAAAGGGGGTCGTGCTCTCGTGCAGAATGAAGATAAATATATAAAGAATAATATTACCATTTGTATTAAGACCGCTATAGTGGTGGCAGTATTTTTATATATCCCAAGAGTACGTACAGAGAAACAAGACGGCGCTGATCCGCGCGGAGCTGTCAGCTTTCTTACTCGAACATTTTCCGAAACAGGTCGTACCGGTCGCGCCGGTCACAAGGGAAAGGCGATTACATTTTTCACTCAACAGGATACAGTGAATTTACGGAGGTGCGCATTGACTCTTCTTTCGTATATATTTGTTATATGTCGCATATAAATAATATTGAAAAACGTTCTTTCCTTTCTTAGTATCGCGGCGGTTATGCGAGCATCCGGATGCGACGTACCGAATTACATGCTGGCCATGAAGAAGCACAGTAAGAAGGAACGACGTAAGCTCGAGCGCACGGCACCCACGCGTGAAAAGATATTAACCGTGCCTACGTATAAACGAAGTAAACGGAAGTCACGCATGGAAAAGACGTTGGAAGTGGAGAAGAGAACACAAGTGTAAGTAACGATACTCATACGTTTTCACGATGTGAAACAAGTGTAATAGGCTCTTTCTGTGAAAGATTTTGTATTTAAAAGGATACACACAAAAGATCTATTTGTAGTATAAAAGACTTGGCTATCGACTGAAACTTTGTAAATAATTTACTTGTAATAACACACTTACATATAAAATTATATATATAAATCTATAATTGTTTATAAAATTACGTTTCTCGACAACCATACACATGCTCTCTGAACAGTAATATATAACTTTTACAAAATATTTGTCATGGACATATACGACGGAGATTACTTTGAAAAATTCTGGAAGAGCTAGATTAAAACATTAACGTCCGTAGTTATCGAAACAGAATATCCTGACGCATTATGAAGGCACGTTTTTACATCCTAAGGCACTGCAATATGACTATCATATTGCATATCGTTTCATTGTACGCTGGGAATACTTCTTATCATGCGCGACCTACGTTTCGAACAGCCAGTCGCATGGCAACTTTGGCATTTTATTCGCCGGCCACGGAAGATATCCTGCCGTCTTGAACACCCAGTAGTCGTAAGACACTTTGGCTATCAAACCTATTAAAAGTATCACCTCGGTGGCGATAATATAATATATATAGTCCGTCCAGTCTCCCGGATACACGCACATCTTCGACGGTTCTAAATCTAAAACTTTTTCCTTCACATTTTCGCACATTACTTCGTCGGAGTCCAATATCCGCGTTTGTAACCACGCCTAAAATGAAAGAAAAAAATTTTTTTTTTAAATATTGTACTTATTTTTTTTATAAACTTCATATTATTACTAACGTTAAACGTCATACTGTACCTTTAGATGTTTGGCAGTATTACAATCACATTGCAACTTGTTGCCTCCTAGCCTCACCAGGTTTCTCGAACTCATGTAGTTCTTATTGTGTGCGCTTGGACTCAATATGTACGTCGGCAGCTAAACATATTATTATACTTAAAACAAATGCGAATGCATTTTGATATCATCAAAGAGAGAATCAATTGTATTTCTTTACTCACTGATTTAATTTTATTGTATCGTAAACTCAAGATGGCATAATTATCCAGAAACTTAGAACCCTCCAGCTTGTTTATCGAGGAGATATTATTGTAATCCGCATAAAACTCTCGTAGATCCTCGTAACACGGGTTAGTACTGAGATCATCTAGAACTGTGATCTGAAAGAAAAAAAATTCGGAGCGTCGCGTTGTAGAAGAAAGTACAGTTCGCACACGCGATAAATAATATAAAACTTTACTAACATCTCGAAACGTACATTATTAAAGGAGACGTTGAGGGCTATAGTGTTTTGCGGCAATTTCTCGGGTAATTCCGTCAGCTGCATTCCGCTGCAATCTACATTCATAGCGTGTGTGGGTGGCTTGCCCTCGATGATGTCTAGTCTCTTGATATCGCACTGGCATTGCCAGGTGTCGCCCTTTGGACATTCTGTTTGCAGCTAAAAGATTAATTCCGATTATATTGTATACAATAATGTCGTATCGCGATATGTATATTAAAGCATACCTGACTGAGATAAAGAACCTGCGAGAGAGGCACCTGTTCAGTGGTGTTGAACCAAGTCCACGTCGCATTGGAGAAGCACACCGTCTCGTTCTCGCGATTAAATGTAATTTGCCTGTCGCCCGTTTTATTGACATAATGATACACGTCGTGGCACGAAAGTTTATTTGTTCCTGCAGAAAGGAGTGATATGTTAATAAGCCGTATGTTTGATCGGGAGATAACGAGAGCGGCTGACTGAAAAACGGCAGCTTTATTTACCCGAGATGTCCAACCAGAATTCTCGGTTGTTCCTCGTATTTAAAGCTGGAAGGTAAGTGAGTTTATTATAAGACAGATCCAACGTGGTGAGCATCCGCAAACGCGTCAGCGAATTGTTCTCTACCTCGCGCAGCTCATTATTCGAGAGATTCAGACATTGCACGGGCGTCATTATGAGAAACTGCCCCCGCAGCCGATCAATCTTGCCGTCGGTTATCGCCAGAGATTCCAGCATCCTCCAGCGAACTTCGCTTGCGTTAAATACATCCAGCGTCGCGTTACGTATGTGCATGTGGCTTATGTTCGAATGTTGAAATCCTAAGACGGAGCGAGATCGATTTAGCGTGAAACAATATATATGCACTATATATACCATCGGACGAATTGAAAGTGAAAATGATGTTTCTCGCCTAATCCTCACCTATGCAAGAGAGACCGTTCTCCAGACCCTGTCGATCTGTATTACAGCAGAGTGCGGCGTTGCCCTCGGCGATCCTCTTGCAGGGGCATCTGCTCGAGTCCGCGGTCGGACAGTCCGTCGGGTGTCTGTAGAAGCACCGCTCCGGTAGGGAGTTCGCGACTCCGCCCGCGCCGCTCGACGTCTGCTGGTCCTCCTCGGTGCGCGCGCTCGCCACTCCGGCGTAGAGGCAAATTATCAGCGCTAGCCACTGCATCTGCATACGACAATAATAAATCGTGGTAACACGCGCGTATAGCCGTCGACGCAAATATTTATACTCGAGAGCAGTAGTTGTTTACCTTCAACGTCAATTGCGCCCAAGTCTAATCTGCGCCCAAGCAATATTGTTATTCTTTCAACACGTTGCGTGTGTTACTACTTGCGACTCTCCCTCTCTCTCTCTCTCTCTCCGTGGAAGAGCGTTGTGCCCTGGCTCGATGGCAATTAGCGCGATGCAACGGCGTGTTCTCTCGGTTCCCGGACTAATTCAATGAGCGCATACTTGATTGCTCGCGCGGGGCCTCTCTCTCTCTCTCGCTTTGTCGCGCGGCGGCGCGGGTGGCACAAATGAATTAATCCGTTTAACCGCGCGGCCAACAACTCCCCGGGTCGCTCGGGTCGACCTGTTGATGAGTCGCGATTGCTCGCCACCGAGGCGGCTCCTCGACGGGGGAGGCCGCGTTCGTTACACTCTCGCTCGCGGGCGCGTGTGCGCTAATTAAAACGATAAACGGGGAAAAACGCACCGCACTCGTATGTGTCGTTATCAGCTTATATCGAGTAATCGTAATTGCGAGTCATTATTTGCTTATATACGCGCGATCCGCGTTTACGAGGAAGACGTGTCGACAATAATTATACATATATCGCGACCGCATCTTCTACGCATCTCACGTAATTCGTATCGCGGTCTCTTCAACCATCCACGGCTGTTTGTTGGCTCTTTTTTCTCTTCTGTAAAAATAGATACACTCATTATGTATATATGTAAATCGGAGATGATAAGGTGAGTTGCATTTCATCATCTCGATCGAGAGCGAATCGTGATGATTCCATCACGGACGGCACGGATAAGTGAAAACTCTATTGCCGAACGTACGTAATTCTAGTAGGGATCACGCAATTTCATCGGCTGGAGGTAACTCAAGTCGATTCCAGAATTTTTGTAAAAGAAACGTATTTATATGTTTTTTTATTATAAACGTTACTATCTATCTGTTTAATCAACATTATTTGCACACCCGCAAAAGTTATGTAAATAATTACGTTGACGATCTTTTCGAGCTAAATATACGGTCGTGACTTCTATCGGCCACTCGCGAAACGTCTCGCCTCTCGAGTTCTCGACACGCCCGGTATATAGAGGTCTGGTGCTTCGCCCCGATTCGCTCCGAGCGTGGAACGTCGTGTCACTCGTGTCGAGGGATGACAATCGGAAAGATGCAGTGACAATTATACGTCCCGACGTGTATCGCGAGGAGATTCGGCCTATCGACGTCCGGCCGGCGGTCGGGTATGGATACGCGCTCGTGTGTCACGTATCGGCGACGTGACGAACGGCCGGCTCGTCTAACCTGAAAACGTAAATTTGCACGTACGTTGATCACGTTACTAACTGTTCGCACGTCAACAATCGTTCGCCTCTTCCCCAGATGCGATAGATCGACAGCGGGGCGCGCGGTATGCTAGAAACGCAGGCCCAGGATGGACGACACGTACGAGCTGAACCTGAGGAATCTGGCCGGCTGGGTCGCGTCCGGGGCGATGATCTTCGGCGCGGTTGTGCCCTACGTACCCCAGTACAAGGAGATCAAGAGGAAGGAGGACGCCGAAGGGTTCTCCCTCTACGTCTGCCTCACCCTCCTGATCGCCAACACGCTCCGTATACTGTTCTGGTCTGTACCTGCGAGAGAGGCACAATTTGTCAAACGTGCCTTGTCCTTTTCTAACGCGTTCTCAGTGTCACACACTTTTTTTTAACACACCTTAATATTCTTGTACACAATACTCTAACAATGCTCCTAATAATACTCTAATATTCTGTACATCTTACATGGCTTAGCATATCTTTTTTATATCAAACGTGTCTTGCTCTCTTCTGACACACTCAGTGTCACACACTTTTTTTTAATACACCTTAATATTCTTGTACACAATACTCTAACAATGCTCGTAATAATACTCTAATATTCTGTACATCTTACATGGCTTAGCATATCTTTTTTTTTTATGTCAAACGTGTCTTGCCCTCTTCTAACACACTCAGCATCATGTACTTTTTTTAATATATGTTACGTGGCTTAGCATATATTTTTTATATTAAACATGTCTTGTTCTCTTCTGACACACTCAGTGTCACACACTTTTTTTAAATACACCTTAATATTCTTGTACATAATATTTTAACAATGCTTCTAATAATACTTTAATATTCTGTACATCTTGCGTGCTTTAGTATATTTTTTTTATATTAAATGTGTCTTGTCCTCTTCTTTTTTTAATTTAATATTTTTGTACATAATCTAATAATGCTTCCAATAATACTTTAATATTCTGTACATCTTACATGAATTAGTGTATCTTTTTTATATTAAACATGTCTTTTTTGTTTCCTTTTAATACACTCAGTGTCACACACTTTTTTAATACAGCTTAATATTTTTGTACATAATATTCTAATAGTGCTTTTAATAATACTCTAATATTCTGTACATTTTACATAGTTTAATACTTTAGAGTTTAGTATATCTTTTTTATGTTAAATGTGTTCTTTTCTAACACACTTTGCATCACACATCTTGTAATTCATCTTGACATTCTTGTGTATAATATTCTAGTAATGCTTTTAATAATGCTTCAAAATATTTGGTACACCTTACACATGTCAATATTCGTTATATGACTGAAATAAGGATGTTAAATGTGACTCCAAGTACTGACATTGCGCATTCTTATTGCAGGTTTGGCAAACACTATGAGCTTCCTCTTTTATTACAAAGTATACTTATGATCATGGCGATGTTCGTTATGATTAAGCTTTGCATTAATGTACAAAACAGAACGCAGATAATCAAAACGAAAGAGCGTGTACTTACAGGTGAATACAATAAATTTCATTACTGCAAATATATTACGCAAATACCAATATACGCCCTACACTTATAAATGGCAGAATTTTTATATTTTGCAGATTTGGATGCTAGATTCTTTTGGAAGTGGACAGACTTCAAGTCCTATTTGGGTTTCATGATTCTGTTCGCCAGCGCAGGTGGTGTGATAACATATTTATTTCTAGACGTACCGGTTTTTATTGAAATTGTTGGATTCTTAGCGGTATTGATAGAAGCTATGCTAGGAGTCCCGCAATTCCTCCGCAATTCGACGAACAAGTCGACTGTAGGAATGAGGTGAGATTTAGATATGGAAAGAAAAGAAAATATACAAGCTGTACATATACGTATACGCATATGCATATGGGAATTGAATTAATGCCTCATTTCGATTTCAGCATAGCCATGGTGCTGATGTGGACCGTGGGCGACGTATTCAAAACGTGCTACTTCGTTTTGAGGGATACCCCAGTGCAGTTTCAGGTGTGCGGTGCCGTGCAAGTCACGATCGACATTGCCATTTTAGCCCAAGTGTACCTCTACAAGACTAATAATAATGTACATACAAGAGCCCCAACGAGATCGGATTGAAGAATCATTTCTGGCGTGCCCAACTGAGATATCCACCGAAAGCAAAACTTCCCGAACAACTATATTTCGCCTAGGTCTAAATATACAGATTTTTAACGTTTTAATGGTGATTTTTTTAATGGTGATCAAATGGAATAAGAAAGAAGCTATATTTTTATACTGATCATTGCATCGCAAAAGGACACGTTTGTATGTATTTAGGTTTCCTAATATTTACCAAACAAAGTGCAGTTAGTATTTTGATATACGAATGAACGATTTTAGCGTCTATCCATATTTAATATATAAAAATGCAATATATGTGTTATTCTTTTATAAAATTCATATCACATTCATTACATTATTCGACGCGCAATCTATGCCAAATGTAATCATTTGTTCCTCATTTTACGTTTAAATATAATATTTATATCTTATTGAATTAAACTAATTGTATGTACATACAACCATGTGTGCGCAGTCCCGTGTTTTTAATGAGTACCGGACAAATGGCGGGAGTTTAGCACGTGCCCGTTGCTTAGTGACAGACCGTCAACAAAACTTTGTGAATAAGCAGTGGCAGAGACCATGGCATAGCTCCCATCTAAAGGGAGAATGGCAAATTTTTAATGTCACCGAATCGCTCTACATTGTTCAAAATTTTTTAAGAGAACTTTCTTTCGCCCAATAACTTTTTACTACTGTAATTATCGAGAATCGTAATCGTTTGGATTTTTCGTCAGAAATGACAAGATGTATAAGGAAAGAGGTTAATCTAAAGAGCAGCGGTGAGTATTCAACACACACGCCAACAATTAAGAATATACCGACTCATGACTGTAATATATAAAAATTCTGTAAAAATTCTAGTTTACAATCAAACGGGACAGAACTATTATGAGCAATTGACGGCGTATAATTCGATGAGATCGCATCTGCGGCGGGTTTTGTTGGCGAAGAGCGTAATCGATACAAGCAATCAGAATTACTTGAAAAGAAATCAGCGGTGCAAAGTGCAAACAACTAGCGATAGCGAGATCTATTTGCGTCTAGTAGCGACGGACGATGTAATCGATACGTTGGCCTATGATACTCGACATCATCCTATGGTAAAGTTCATTATAGCTAGCACATTTGAAATTATAACTCGGAATAAATGGATAATAAACCGATAAATAATTCCACAAAAGCTGATTCATGATTATGAAGATTAAAAAATTTGAATCTTTCTTTTAAAAATTAACAAAGTGGTTTTTTAAATTCGTGCTTTTAAATTTTTATGCAGGATATGTTAAGAATATGTTTAAATGCGAAGCATTTGGACTGTTGCGACTGTTGCAATTGTAATTTAGATCATCAACTGAGAGCTTGCAGTAGTCAAACGTATTACGAGGAAACAGATCGAATGGATCGACGGCAAGGCTCGACATCGAAGCATCAAAGAATGATGTCCCCAACGATGGCACGTTCGCCGAAACGTAAAAAAATTGCAAGAAAATTAAATTGCAATAAAGAGCCGAAATCTGCGCGAGATATCCCTTACGTGGTCGGCCCGTCGACATGCTTTTCGCGACAGCGGTGAGCTCGCATTAAAGTTTCAAGTTATTAATTTTTTTACGTCTCTCAAAAATTGTTGCAATAAATTAAAATTGATACTTTTTTATAATTATTCTCCATCGCCTGTGCTTAAAATTGCACTATTCACATATCTCATTCATTACATTATTCGACGCGCACTCTATGCCAAATGTAATTATTTGGTGTTCATTTTACGTTTAAATATAATATTTATATCTTATTGAATTTTATATTAATTAAGAAATTAATTTCCTTTTTTTATTTTTACAGAAAGTGTAGATACGGAAAGTGCGGATCAAAGTGCTTAGGTTCTTGCGCGGCTATCAGATTTGATTCAACGATGTTTAAATCAAGATCTCAATCCCCAAGGCAAAAAAGGATCGATTATTACTCGATGTCTTCGAGCGCCTCGCAGTGTTACGATTTCGATTGCGAGGAGAAATCTACCGAGGCGCTCGGTAGATACACGAGACAAAAAGAAGAAGAGAAGAAATACATTAAATTCGTTTACGATATCACCAGAGAAATAATGCAGAGAGGTCTTTACACCGATAAAGAGCTACGGGACGTATTTAAGAAGCATATCAACCGATATAAAGGGATATTAAACATGGTAAATAATAAAATTATCATGAAAGAGCAATATCTTAATATACAAATTCTTCAAATATTATCGACGTCTCATTTGTCGCAATGTATTTTATTTTTACTACGGACCTTCTCTTTATTTCAGAATAAAATGCTATACGAGATCTATCAGTTAAAGATCTCCTTAAACGTAGCGGATTCGGAAACTGACGAAGAGCTGGAAGATCTGATCCACGCGCAAAAATTATTAAGAGTATCCGAGATCAGGCCGCCCACGCCGCCGAAGGTTCTGAACGAGAATAAGGTGATGGAGAAACTGGAGTCTTATCAGAAGATGGATGAAAGATCTTCGAAAATTAACACGAAATCGGTGATGCTGATCGATGCGAACCCCGAGATACTCGTGACCGAAAGAGATGTGCTGATGTCGCTGGTGGAAGCGGGCGTAGATCAGGAACAAGTTCAATATATTTGTAAGAATCTACGTTACAAGAGCAGAGACACCGATCTCACCGAGGCGGTAAGACAATTCAACGTTCTTCCGGTTGTTCCGGAAATAAATAATAATCTCCATTTTATTTAGGCGCAAATAGAAACTTTGGAAACTTCGTATTCCCCGGACTTGAAAGTGGACCAATTAGTACTGGAATATAAACGGGTTTCTGCCAAAACTAAAATTGTCGAGAGTGTCCGTGATATTTCTACTGCGGATGATACAGTCAAATTTTCCAAGAAACAGGAAGCGACTTCTTCGATGTCGAATCTCGTAAGTGTAGAAGACAAACTGATTTCTGTCGGAACTAACCATTTGGAACTAGAAGATAAAGGGGTTTCCGCCGAAACTAACCATTTGGAACTAGAAGATAAAGGGGTTTCCGCCGAAACTAACCATTTGGAACTAGAAGATAAGGGGGTTTTTTGCAAAACTGAAACTACCGCAAGCGCTAGTGATAATTCTGTCGAGTTTTCCGAGAAACAAAATGCGAGTTCTTCGACATCGAATCTCGTAAGCACGCAAGACGAGACGGTGGAAACGACAGAGAAGACGGAATCCAAGACCACACAATCCGAACATAATAAGCGGAATCGTAAATTGAGTTAATGAATTTATTTTGTGTTCCTTTGTTATGAAACGTTCGCTTTCAATGCATTGCTCGTCGTATTATTGTTCTCTATACACATTTATATATCAACCTCGATCTTGTATTTAGCAACGAAATAAACATTGAATATGCAATATTTTTTAATTCACGCAGATTCATTTATCACTTGACGATACGTTAGTGTTAACAGTTGCAGCAGGGAAGTAAATTACAGCACTGAATTTCTTACATACATATTCCTTTTTTATTCATACACAACTGTTCTCTTATCATCAGGTTTCGCAATACGTCTGTATGAGGATCTGTGGTCTGTAGAATGTCCAACAAGCTGAATTCTCAACAGAGATAAAATATACATATGAAAAAATAGATACCATGCACATTTGTAATCGTTATATACAACCGTTCCGTGCACATCTATGTACAGATACACAAATGTTACGCGTTTGTACAACAGGAAATCCATATAATATTATTATGCGGATATCTTAAATACAATATATTACAGCGCGGTTCTTTTTTTTAAAGTCATACAATATAATAGTTGTGTGTATATATATATATAGTTGCCATGTTCTCATTTTGTTCGTTTACCTACAACTACTGGCTCTGTTTGCGCATTTTGTTTTGTACATTGAGTTCCGTCTCCCTCTTTACTCGGTACACTACGGTTATTTTAACTTCGAGAAGGTAACTTCGAAAAGGTAACTGAAAAATATCTCACTTGGCATCTATCTGCGACATTAATTCGGTAAGTTGTTAAATAACTACAAATATAACATGCGGTGGTTCTCTCGTCATCTAAAACAACTTTTTTTGTATAAAATATTAATATTATCAAAATAACTAAATTTGTTTTAAACTGCTTTTTCGTATTCAATCGTACGAAATATAGAGATAAACTTTATATGTAGCGTATAGATTATAGCAATATTCTATGAAAGTTTCGTATATGTTTGAAGAGTGTATTAAAGTTATAAAAAACTTTAAAAAAATAATATTTTTAAATGTAACTCAATATATTAAAATCTACTTTCTCCTCTGAGAATAGTGCTATTGTATACGTCAAACATATACAATAGAAAAAAAAAACAACGCTAACACAAATAATATAACAAAAAAATCTGAGAAACCTTGCTTAATAAGACATTAAAGGCTTATAAGCATCGAGCCTTTAGAAACAAAAAAATATATCAATATAACATCCAGCTCCTCATTAGCTGCCATCGGATCCATTTGAAGAGCAGTCTTCAAGTTCCGGCGCGTTTGGACCTCTCTCCAATATGCGGAGAAGTTCCGTTACGTGTCTTATTATAAAATCTGGTTTAGGATCGTCTCCCGAGAGACGAGGCTTATCCGTGGTAGGTAGCCACACTGTTCCGGACAGGCCAGCCTCGATTCCACCTATACGATAATATTTTACATCTCATTTATATAATGTGTTTTGAAGCAAACGTTTCCAGACGATTTCTAAGAGATTTATTATAAAGTCGTTAAACGTTAAGTTCTCTACCTAAAATATCGGTCTCCAGCTTGTCGCCGACCATGATGCACCCCTCGGGTCTCACGTTAAGATAACGGCAAGCCTTCTGGAATATCTCCGCCTCCGGCTTCTCCCACGGCAGATCACCGGACACCAGGATAATATCGAAGTACTGCTCCAGCGACAGTTTGTGTATCTTCTCCCACTGGGCGTTCGACGGACCGTTGGTGATCAGACCCAGCAGATACTTGTTCCTGAATTGACGCAGCATCGAGACCGTGCTCGGCGCCGGAGTCATGTAGTGATATCTTAAATAGAGCCATCTTTCGTAAACTTTTTTCGCGAGATGCGAGTACTTGTGGCCCAGCGCTTTGTTCCACAGGATGGTACGCCAAGCATCCAACGTGAGCGTCGCGTTGTCCGGGCATTTTCTAAATTGCTTCAGATACGTGGCCGTTATCTTGGCGGACGCATCTTCCGGAATGCCGTATTCCCGTGTCAATTCCTCAGCCAGCTGTAGGTAAACGTTACAATGAGAGCTCTCTTTCATTATACGTTTTTTTTTGTGATAAAGAATGACGAGTAAAGAACTGAAAAGAGGGTGAAAGCAATTTCCACACTCAATAAAAAAATCGTAGATGACCATCTTACTCGTATTGCGAGAGTATAATGTTTCTCCTCGTTAGGGAAAAAGAGATTAGAATTGTTAGCAAAGCGATTTCTTGATAGATGAGATATAAAAAGTAAATGAAGAAAACAAATATTGAATGTGGAGTTCGTTAATCAACGAAGGTCTCGGGGACGACAGGATACAGCGGTCAGTTAAGGATTTTTAGGAAACTTAATTCATTATTAATGATTACCTAGAAAATGCATTGATTCATTGAAATACTCGAGCCGATTAGTGGACACTCGAAGTGGCACCCGCGGACGTTGCTGTAATCACAACAAAATGAGTTGTGCCAACAACAACAACATCATATGTTATTTTCAAAGCCTATAAGTTGTAGCTGAAAGATTTCTGGATATTAAAGCATGTAAATTTATATTTGACAAAAGAACGCGTACGCAACACTCGGCAATTGATTCTCTCAAAATGAATGTCTCTGCTGTATCCAGTAATCTTTCTTTAATACCTTTGTTAAAAATAACTTTATTAAGAACGTTAGGCACATAAAGTGATAGAGTGGAGTGATGGTGATGAAATCAACCGAACGCTCTTACAAAACTCTTCCGTTTAATAGGAAAGTAATTTCTATTGTTACAAAATTTTTTTTTCTTAAGTTAAATCATCTTAGGACTGCAACATCAATACAACAATCTCCGCTTTCGCAATGTGGCGAAGTAAAAAGGAGCACACACCTGTGATAATAATTCACGTACAAACGAAATATACATATTAAAGTCTCACGTAAAAGCATGTACCTCCGTATACATGATTTACGAAAAGTTTCTCGGAGCGATATACGTTTTCTCAGCTTTCTTGCTTGCCAGCAAACTATTTCCAGACGTGATGCCATCTAAATATACACTGGACTACGCGCACTACGCATTTCGAATATCGTATATGCAGGAGACGCGTAAAATAATAAATTCAAGTCGCGAGATACTAAAGGAAACCACGAAGATTCTGATCTCTTTATACAAAAGTTCGATTAATTAATCTTGCCTTAATAAAATTCTTCGCTATCTCTACAATTCTGCATGACTTTTTTTACATCGCTCGTACAATACAAAAAAAACCCCCGAAAAGCTTATACAATAATATTCTCAGGGCTCAATTTTAATCTCCAAAGAGACGCTTTCCAAGCTCCATCATGCGATGATTTCGACAGACGGTTAACGCGCCGCATTTTTTCAACACCGACGCGACGCTATCGTCGGCCTTGACCAAATGGCACAGCAGATCCTCGAAGGCGGACTTGACATTCGGCTCCAGACCGCCGATCTTCACTCGTTTCAGCGTCTCGATGATCTCCTCCGCCCAGCCGGACTCTATCGTGAATTGCGACAGCCAGGGTATCACTTGCAGCACGCCGGCCATCGTTTGCATCCCCAGGAACCAGAGCTCCATCAGCTCCATCCAGTGCTCCTTGTAAGACATGGAGACCACCAGCTCGGTGGGATCGTTGCTCTCGTCGATGATGTACGCGTCCCACAGAAATCTTATGGTGGCCTGGATGTAACGGCATATCGAGAAGTCGGTCTTCTTGATGCGCTTTGCCTGCTGCTTCATCAGCAACAGGCCCAGGACCGCGAGATGGCCGTGCAGCACCAGGTTCTCCGGGATTTGCTTCAGCTCCGGCAGATTATTGTAGATGAACTTGAGCAGCGAAATGAACGTCGGCGACTCCTCCACCAGCTTCGACTCGAGCACGGTGATGTTCATCAGGACGTTGCAGAGGGACACCATCGCGGTCCTGGAATCCTTCATCTCCTCGAGAATATGCCGATCCAGCTCCTCCGTGCGATTGCCGTCCTGCAGTAGTTTCAGACGCTCCGATCTCGGCACCGGCGGCTTCTTGTAGTGCACGATGGTCCAATGGTAGGAGAGACACTCGAACAGAATCTCGTCCTGCTTGTGCTGAAGAAGAATCTTCCTGGCGGGCTCCTCCACGGCCAAGTAGCACAGGGCGGGCAGCAGTAGTCTCAATATGTCGGTCTCGCTTAGCGGATCGTGAACGGTCGGTTCAGCGGACGACGTTCCTTCGTCCGCTTTAGCTTTGCATTTGACCTTCTCGGCCAGTTTCCTGTTTCGATGCGCGTAAAACGTATCGTTGGCCACCGTCAGCACGTACGGTAGCACGGCGTAAACCTGCGGGCGCATCGCACTCGTCTCCTGCGCCATCCAAGCGGTGAGCACCCTGACGACGGCGCACACGAACATCTTCTCCCTCACGTTCGTCAGCGTTTTCATCTTCGACACGGAACTCAGCAGGCCGATAACAGCCGCGAAGGCGCCCTTCAGGGCCGTGTACAGAGACTGCTTCTCCTTCTGCTCTAATTCCAGCTGATCCGTAACGATGTAGCCGATCGAGACCTCGAGGATGATAAAGCAAGCCGTGATCAGGTCGGCGTTCTCGAGTACAGTTTTAAGCTGCTTGTCCTCCAGCTGCATCCTGACCTCGATCGCCGCCAATTGAATGAGCAAGAGGAAATATATCTTTGGCTTATCCTTGTCGCACATGGCCCAATCCGCGCCCAACAGATCTATCATCACGGACGCGAGTTTCAAGGCTGGATCCCGTTGCTTCTTGCCTATCTTCGATCCCAGAATATCGCTCAGACCCTTGTGAATGCTCAGAGGCCACGATTCCTCCTTCGCACTTGCGGATATCACCTCCTTCCTGCAGGACTGCAACAGAGCCTGCAGAATGGTGCATAGCTCGAATTTTCTCTCCGTATGATCAGTCTCGAAGTCCAGGGCTATCTTGTTGATTATAGCGTGGAACGGAGCGGTGTCCGTCGGATCCCAAGCTTCCGGTCCAAACGTACTGACCAGCGTGACTAGAATATTCAAGGCCTCGTCCGTCTGAAAGCTCTTCTCCGCGTAAATGTCGCACATCTTCGGGATCGCCTTCTGCTCGAGCAACGCTCTCTGCCCGGGGGGATGCTGCGCGATGCACTGCAGGCAAGTGTAAGCCTCGCTGACGATGATGAGCATGTCGTCCGGCGCGTCCTCGTCGGCCTGAGACACTATCTCCAGAAGCGCCGGGATGTGTCCCACCATGTCGGGATGAGAGGCCAACTCGGGCTCTGTGCAGAACGCGGAGAGGACGGACAACGCCACCGATTTGTACACCTGCGGCGGACAGTCCACGGGGACGCTCGTGCTGGACAGCAGCTTCTTGAGGAATTTCGCCCCGATCGCTTCGAAGAGCATCCTCTTGGCGGCCGAGTCGCAATCCTTGCCGTTCACCAGCTTGGTGACCATGAACAGCGCGGCGAACTTCTCCGAGTCCGTGTCCACCGCCTTTAGTATCGCCACGCACTTCGCGACACCCTCCGGGATACTCATGGTGCTGTTTCGAAGGAGGCAGAGAGGAAAGAAAAGGAGAAGAAAAGTAGAACGTTCTCTCTCTCTCTACAGAAGTCGAAGACTGGTGATGCGCGTTTCGATACCACTGGCTCCAGTAGCTCCGATGTCGTCCGATGTGCCCACGCCGGACGGGAAGGCAATTTTCCGGAAAACCGTTGCGACTTTAGGAGACGTCGGACCGGCTGTCGTCGCGCAGCATAGTCGAGAGCCAACTGGCAGAGCTCCCAGACCGCCGCTCCGTCCCGCCGCCGCCTAGCCTTGCCCTTTGACACACTCACGGGAAGTGGCCGAAAATAACCTGCGGACGATGCGTACGTACGCGGAACACGTGCGCGTGTCTGCCGCTGGCAGCTGCCCCGATCATTAAAAGTATCTCTCTCGCAGCGTATCGGGAATTCCGTCCCGATGCGCGTCGGTAACCTTAACGCTATACCTTCGTTAATAATACAATTACGTTAGAACGATTTACATTAGATGCGATCAGAAATACATTAGACGTCAATCATCGGTCAGCTGGAATATCTCCTGAATCACCTCCGCGCGCAACAATAACAAACAATATCATCTCGTGACCGCGAGAAATCTCTCGTTGGAAAAATTTATTGGTTAGAGATACTTTTCTCGATCTCGAACGGGCCGTATCTCGACCGACCCGACTCGTCTCGCGACCAACTTCCACCGCCGCGGACTTTGCGCTCGACGAGTCGAAGGTCCGTCCACGTTCCAAGCTGCACCTTCCCGCCTGCACTTTTCCGCGCCCAGCCAAGGTTTATTTGTGCGCACTGCGCGCAGAGGTGGGAGGGAGGGGAGGAAAAGCGCGCAAGCGAGGAAAGCACAACTAAAATCCTCCGCAAAGAGTCTAACGCGAGAATCACCGCGCGAGGGTGCGAAATGCGACGCCGAGAATAGGCCACCGCGCGCCGCAAAGAAAGCGCTCTATATCGGGGAGTCGGCTCGTATTACATTTACGGGGGGGGAGGAAGGGAGGAAGGCATGAGCGACTTCTATTCTTGCGACGCGAGTGGGCAAACGTCGCGCGTCGGTCGCGAGAGACTGCTGCGACTGTCGCGGAGGAGCGACCACGCTCGGGGTCGGGGGGGGGGCAGGCAGGCCTGCTCCTCGGGAAAGTGGAATGAATGTATCGCGGGGGACGTCAGATCAGATCGGGGGGGTTGGCGGGGGGAAGAGAGAGGGTATACTTCTTAGGTTAAGACGCGGTTAGGGCGCCTCCCGTACCTTGCGGCAAGCCTGACCGTCGGCTCTCCTGGTCTCCACGAGGGTATTGTCCAGGTCGAAGAAAACTGCGCTCAGGGCCGTGCCGGACCGTGACGTGAGGGACCGTGAATTACGTCGTTCGCGGAACGCAGCTTCCATCGCCATTCCCTGTCTGCTGACGGCGGCGCCGATCGGGTGCACAGAGAGCGCGGCGCACGATCGCGCTCGCTCCCTCGTCATCAATTATGCATATCGGCAGTCCACGAACTGAGGAGCGTAACTTGATTGGCTCGCTCGACGTGACATAAATTATGACGTCGTTGTAGAGGGGGGGGGGAGGGCACTTCATGAACGGGCATGAAGTGTGTCATAAAAACGAGCTTAAGACAGCCATGTTGGACGCCCTGTGTATTCGCTGCGCGAAAAAAGGACGAATCACGAAACGCAGATGTATCGTGGCATTTCCAACCAAACGGGCCGGTTGCAATTAATTCGGGAAACAAATTTCGACAATTATTCAGGTGTAAACGAGATTCACATAGATGTACAAATTCGGGCGAAATTGTACAAGCTGTGCATATACATGTGAAAATTAACCGCGATTATGTTTAATTAACATAAGAATATCGTATTGCTTACGTTGTTCAAACTAAATGTGTGATTTGTTGATTTTTCAGTGCATTAACATTATTCAGCTACGCAAGCATAATGAACAGGCCCTAAAGCGTGCGGACCAATCGGCGCTCAGCACTCGTTTGATCTAGATTGCAGAAGAGCTCTTCAATTGTTCAGTGCGCCTGTCGCAACGACGATACGTAAACACTTGACGTTTTGGCGCAATAGCACGTTCGAATTTGAAGTAACGTCGTTATAACCTCAACCCGGGGGTGTTGTTTCGGCGCCCGACGACGGAATCGCCGAAATGGAAGCGACTGGCGCGACTGGATCGACAGTGAGTGTCAACGCGGTCGAGGATCTGGACGAGTACACGCCGGCGAAGCTGGTCAAATCATTGGCGGTGAGTCACGCGAATTTACCGGTCAGGACGTGTCCAACGGGATGTCTCGCGTGTTCGAGCACGTTCCTTTCATTGTCCGTCGACTCACCGGAGTCGGGTGCCGTTATTTATTCGGAATCGAAGTCGGAGTCACGTTTGTTTCATCCCTTGTTGTACCCTTGTCGCGTAGAAAAATGGCATTACCGAGGGGGACGTCAAGAAGCTCCAGGATGCCGGTTACTACACCGTCGAGTCGGTGGCCTACGCGACCAAGAAGGAGCTCGTGGCGATCAAGGGTATCAGCGAGATCAAGGTGGACAAGTTGCAGCAGGAGGCCTCCAAGATGGTCATGATGGGCTTCAAGAGCGCCACGGAGATACATCAGACGCGGGCGAATATCGTCTACATCACCACCGGTTCCAAGGAGTTGGACAAGCTGTTGGGCGGTGGGATAGAGACCGGCTCCATCACGGAGATCTTCGGGGAGTTCCGTTCGGGAAAGTCTCAGCTGTGTCACACGCTCGCCGTCAACTGCCAGTTACCCATCAGCATGGGTGGCGCGGAGGGAAAGTGTCTCTACATAGACACGGAGAATACCTTCAGACCGGAGAGATTGATAGCGGTGGCCGAGAAGTACGGCATCAACGGACAGTCCGTCCTCGACAACGTCGCTTGCGCGAGGGCGTTCAACAGCGATCACCAAACCAAGTTGTTACTTTTAGCCAGTGCCATGATGACGGAGGCGAGATACGCCCTGCTGATAGTCGACAGTGCGACCGGTTTGTACAGAACAGATTACACCGGCAGGGGTGAATTGGGAGCCAGGCAGAATCACCTGGGCAGATTCCTCAGGATGCTGCTGCGACTGGCGGATGAGCACGGAATCGCCGTTGTCATAACGAATCAGGTAGTTGCGCAAGTCGACGGTGCCGCTAGTATGTTCGGGGGCGATCAGAAAAAACCGATCGGCGGTCATATTTTGGCACATGCGAGCACAACGAGATTGTATTTGCGTAAGGGCAGGGGAGAAACTAGAATATGCAAGATATACGATTCACCGTGTTTGCCAGAGAGCGAGGCGACGTTCGCCATAAATCCCGATGGCATAGGCGACGTAAAGGACTAAAGAGTTAGAGTAAAAAAAGATATATACGAATTATTATATGAAGTGTTTTTTAAAACTTGACAATTGAATAATGAAGTTAATCAATGGAACAAATATCTCGCGTGTTGGATAACGTAAATTTACATATCTTGAAATAATCGAAGAATTAAAAAAAGGACAATAAAAAGAAAAAGAATTCTATCAAAGTTAATCGTTAAGTTAATTAAAAAGTAGGTTATGTGTACAGTATATTTTTCTTAAGGTTTTTCTTGATATATCTTTCTTAAATTTTATATGATATTGTATTTCAAGGCTTTAATAAATATAGAACATAATAATAAATGATTTTTCTCCAAGTATTTATCTATAATATATAAAATTCGAAAACATATTTTTTGATAAAAAATCGCAAGTTACAATCAGTTTTAATACAAAAATATTCGATATTTTATTTTGATATTTAATTTATGTCATACAAATGTCTATGTTTAAATATGGATATAATGGTTATTTATATATAACTGTAAATCAAAATAATATTTTAAATTGTCTAAAATGTCGTAAAAAGATAATATTGAGTTGCATCATTGAGCATATTTCATCTCGCGTTAATTTTATTTTCATATAAATGATTTATTATGGCATGTTATTCCATAATTCGTCACATTATCGATAATTAACATCCCTGTTAATTAATTGTAGATTTTCACAGCATCATTGATTTTTAACTATGATTGTATGACGTTTCTATTCGTCACACTAGTCGACAAGTTTGCAGTAACAGAATAATTCAATTTACATAAGCGTTTGTTAGACGAGATCAGACTTTTTAGTATACTATGATTTAAAAAACTATAAAATTGTAAACTATAAAATATTAAGCTATCATTTCTTTTAATCGACACTATGCACATATTTATACAATTTTGTTCGGAGTCGCGATTTATAGAAGAAAGTATCACTTATCGATCACTTTGGGGGGAGGGGGGGGAGGCACTAAGTGGCTTATAATTCAATCGGCTTTAATCGGTCATGGATCCATAAGATTCACTGCAGAAGGCCGCAGATTTAATTGATATTCCCCAAAGACCATAGCCGCTAACCATCTATACTGCTCGTCCTTGGACGTGCCCGCTAAAATATTCCCGAAATATGGACTGTCCTTACATCTGGAATTAAAACATTACTCGATGAAGGATATAATTGAACATTTGTAAATATTCATCATTAAATTATAATGCAAATGACAAATTTATATCTGTTATTATGTCTGTTGATAGAAATTAGTGATATTTTTACCTCGTTGGTTTCTTGTTCTTTGTGATAAATGTGATGGACCAGCTGCGAAAAAAAGCACATCCAGTAAATATTTTTTAAACAATCCATGAAAATTGTAACTTGTATAGTGTGTGCTATATTTACCCCATTTGTGGATTGCGTTTAGGCTCGTGTCCCAAGTACCAAATGATATCTTCTATCTTCCACTCGTGAACTTTCACGGAGCACACCTTATCCTTGTAACAGTAGAGCTTCGCCTGGCTGAACTCGAAAAGGTAAGTCTTCAGGTTCTTTGTCTTGGTGTCCGCAAATTTAAGTTCGCCGGAGATCGTCATAGGCGGCTTTACCTACACAGAGGGGAGTAGAGAGTGAGACAGAGAGAGAGGGAGGGAGAAGAAACATAATTAATTTCAATTAGACCATATCCTGTTTTTGTAGCACATGCGGGACGCGTCTTTCTTTTCGCCTCTGGAATCACGCAATTTGATCCGCATAAAAGCTCACGCGCGCTTTGAACGGCCTTGAACCCGCTCCGCTATTATATAAATTTAGATCGTGGGAATTCGTAAGATTAATTTTTGCGTATGTATACGTGGAAGCTGTGCTAAATTTTACCGCGACACATCAAGAGTTTTATGCGAATTTTGTCTATTTTATTTTTAGCATACGCACCAGAGGTATGATATCCTTGTATAATCGGTCTTTTCTGAGAATGAGGGTATTATCCTTCCTATCATCCGAGTCCCAGTATCCCCATCTCGCCACTGCTTCCAAGACACGTTCGTTGTGATGCAACGGCCGTTCCAGCGCACCGGACAGAGTATACTCTTCTAAGCATAGCTCGTGAGACGGTAAGTTGGTTTTCTCGGCGAGTTCTCGGCAAACGTCGAACGCAGTCTTTTGAGGCCCGATCTAATTAATCAGTTATTTAATTAACAATAAATAAATGAAAAATTAATATTGCAACTATATTTTAAACGTAAGAATTTTGAATAACAAATTGGCGATAGTTGTCGGCGGTTTTGAACTTTATTCTACGAAGAATATTGCACGATGCAGAATTGTTTGTCGTTTAAAAAATCAGGAAAAGATCCTTACGGTGACGTTCACGCACTCTCCGTTCGGCGACAAAATGTATATCCAGACCTTGAGGTCTCCCGACGGCGCACCTCGCGGTCCATTGTTGGACACATGATGTTTTTCCAGAATCTCCAACATCTTCGCTTCCTTGGCCAGGTCGGCCGACGACAATTGATAAAGTTTCGGATACAGCTTGATGAGATCACCGACGACCTTGATCTCCGTCCGGTTCCACTCCTCGGCGCTATTCTCACCGGCGTGCATCAGAGTCGGGCCCCAGACCGCCGAAAGATTTTCGACGGTCATCAGGTTTCTGGCGCTCTGCTGACTGAGACCGTGAAGATGCGCTAGGATCCGGCGGAGCGTCGCCGACGTTATGGGATTCAGGGTGGACAATAATTTCCGATAAGTCGCCACTCGATTTTCCTCGCTGGTCGATTCTATGGAAAGATAGATTTTTAAATATTTTTTGCAACGTTGATTCTTCAAAATTTCGTCAATTAATATCGTAGAAATTTTCACGTCTATTTTGTTAGATTGTTTATTTCGGATGGATCGTTTGGTACCTGAAGCAAGACAGAGTCGGTCGTGTATATTAGGAGGGAACAATGGGTCCGGTAAATCCCGGAGAAATCTTCTAAGAACCGTGGCGACGTCGTGTTCCGTGTACAAATTTCGCGTTATTTGCGTAGCCCATGCATCTCGTCTGAAAGCCTCTAATAACTTTACTACGGCACTGCTCGATCCGCTGCGACGATAAATACCCTCAGTCATCATACCTGAAAGATAAGAACTTATGAGACATTCAGTGGAATATTACAATATCGCTACAGTATATATCGTTCATAGACGCGTTTAATGCAACCAAAATTCTCTGGCGGAATTTAATTATCATACAGGATGTTACTGTCATTAATTCTAATAATAGCGGTAATGCAAATTTAAATTTCATTGCGGTGCATTATACAGGATGTCCTGTAATTAATGATATAAGAGAGAGAAAGAGAGAGATAATAATAATGTGACATAAAAAAAGTAAGCTGGAAATTGTTTTCAAAGAAATTTTTTTATTTATATTTTTGGAAAATTGATCTTGAAAATTAAACTTGGGAAATTAATTATCGCCAGTTACGGGACATCATGGGACACGCGTATGATTCTACGAAATTATTTTTGTTCGACTATACATGATGACTCATTAATCACCATGGGCATAGATAAAGTTGACGCATTTGTCCAAGATGACGGGCACATTGTCCTGCGTAATCTGCTGTTGGTCTAAAGCAGGGCCGCAGTTCGTAGCCGCTTGATAAAGCGCGTGTCGCCATGCGGTCGCCTCGTGGGCTCCCGACGTGGCGATGTGCAGGGCGCCGCTAGCCCCGGCATCCACAACTACCACTGGAACAACCCCGCATCCGGCAATCGGCCCTTCTTGATCTCGCAACACTGCGGTGCCACAATGTTGTAATTTCAACAAACAGTAATACAATAATACTAATAATGATGGGATACCTTATTATGCGACAATAAATTTCAACAAGGACTCTTCATCGATCTCTTTTTAAACGAAAATGAATTTGAAACAACATTCTTATTGATTGATATTTAATATCAATGTAATATTATAAAGATTAATAATATTCGCGTAAAACAGGACACATATCTGTGGATATGACTAAGATGTATGACTATGTAAGATGCGTTGCATTTTTAATCGAGCAGCTCGCGTATCGCATTTAGTCATTGATAAGACGACAATCGAATTCGTTTATTATAATTAGGTCACGTCTTTCGCGTTTCAGCTATAAGATTAATTGGGTTATGATAATTTTAACGATGACTCAAGAGAGAGACTACAATTAAAGCAAATTAATTGATATTGCTCACATATGAATGAATACTGATAAAGATGTAACTAGAATAAACTGATTTAACAACGTAACATTAATTATCGTTAAAATAAATTAAATAAATTTTCTTTTTCATCTATTTTACGTCAATCTCATATTTTTATGTTTTACACGATGACAGTTTAATTCTATATTTATAATTGTTTGAAACATTTTCCAAGTTTTAGTTAGCAACTTACCGATGCAGCGCGCTTTCCGCAGGTCCACGTGTTCAAAATTCACGGCAAAATTCGCAGATTCTAAGATTTTCGTGTAAGTCAATGTTCTTTGTTGCAAGAGAAGCCAAGCCGAGAACCACGTACCTGTTACACTTTCCTGAAGGGATATGAAAAATATGTCATAATAGAAGAAAAACAGAAGATATGTTCTATATATTTTTTTAATTCTATCAAAGGAAATTTATAACCGTTCACAGTGAAACGTGAAATATTCAGAACGTTCACGAAGCTGTAGAAGAGGAATTTGCATGTCAAAGCATATGGGTTTCCGCTTTCGCAAGCGCGAACGTTTTAGTGCAAACACAAGGATTTCGTCATATGCCATTATTATCATGATATTTTCAAATGAACGTTGCACAAACTTTTACGTTAAAATAACCATATTTTTAAATAATTTTTTAATTATTATCCGCAATTACAAATAAATTAAAAAAAGTGCTAATACATTACACAAAGAAATATTGTGCCCAAATTTAAACGTACCTTAAAATGCGACTGTGGTAGGCTTGCAAATTTATTATGATAAATTAATATAAAATTGTTGTGCGGCACATATAATAAATACGATCAACTTTTAATGATTAATTACGCATAGAAATTTTTGTATGCTATTCTTTTAACATTTATTATTTTATTAATTTGTCGTTCTTCCGTTCAAATCGATCTTATTATACATTGCTTTTTTTTATATATACCTTCAAGTAAGCCCAACCTGCTCGGGTGAATTCAGCGGTGTACTTCGTGGAGAAGATCGGCGTGCTCGCCTCGAGGATTCTCTGGGCCCAGATACGTCTCTCGGCGACACCTTTCGCGTAGAAAACGTGCACACTCGGTCTGCCCGCGCCGCTAATCGCTATGCAATGCACAGTCTCGCCGTCCATGGTCCTGCACACATTTCGTAATTATCTCTTCATCAAATGATAGCGAGTGACTGGCGACTGATGAGATAGCTACATATGTGTCAATCGTATACGTATGATGAGTCAAAGGGAAGCGTAGATACGTATAGCGTTAAATACAGATTATAGATGCGTTGACATGTGAGGCGAAGAAAACTGCGCATTTACGAGGGTCACGCTGTTGGGAGTTGAGACGATTTCTTAGGAAAAGGTTGAACTGATCAATGCTTATTATATAGTATATAATTGCAATATATATTATATACAGCTATATATATTATTTTCTTTCGCGTGATATACTTTAAAATATCTAAAATATCTATTTAATAATTAAATTATATATCATATATGTAATAAATAATTTAATTATTATTAGACTACGTTCGAGAAACAATCCTCTCTCGTGAGATTCTTTTCTTCTCGTTTAACAAAGAGGACCTTGAGAGACTTCTCTTGTAGAGCGAGAGAGAGAAAGCATTGTAAGCCTGGGGGAACGTCTGCCCGGCGTTAACACTCGCGAGTTGGATCGACGTAAATATATACCAAACGAATGAGTCATTTTATTATTCAAATGATGCTACTGAATTAAACTTAAGATTATATTTTTTCATTCATAACCGAGAAAAAACGTAAGAGTAAGATATAGATTATATCTTATAATAAGTAAGATATTAATTATATCTTACAATAAATAGATTCTTGACTGTTGATAAATAATTTTGTCTTGATAAATCGGGACAAAGGTAATTTTGAATAATAATTGAACAAAAGCAATTTTGGTGGAAGGATCGTAAGGAAATGTTTAAAATCGTGGCAATCATTACGTGATATATGTATATATTTACTGATAAATGACTACTGATAAATAATTGTATCTTGATAAATCGGATAAAGATAATTTTAAATAATAATTTAATAAAAGCGAATTTTGTGGAAGAATCGTAAAGAAATGTTTAAAATCGTGGCGATTATTACAAGATACATGTATATTTACGTTTACGCAGTAAAATAACAGACTCACTTAACATCCTGAAGCAGATGAATACTGTGTACTGTCTCTAATTCCACGACCTCTTTCAGCGTAGACATGCTCTTGTCAGCGTAGAACGATAATTTCCGATCGAGCAACAGTGCCGCTCTCGGTACGAGGTCCTTGGCCCTCTCGATACCCATTCCAGGCCTCCACGGGAAATAACGTATTTCTAATTAATACTCTAATCAATGCGGTCACTCAGTTCAAACGAAAAATTAAACGTCAAAATTAATCGCGATCGATCGTTAAAAGGAATCTTTGAAATCTTTCTTTTTTATATAACAATTTTTATTTTTTTAAATAAATAATATGTTTCTTTTAAGCGTTTCTCAAAAATTTTTAATCATAATAAATTTTAACATAATTTTTTTAATTTGTAAATCACGAAATTTTCATTGAATTATTAGAAACAAATTATTATATTTATATATTAATATCAATGATTTAACCGTTCAATTTGTTAGCTTTGTAAATAAAAAAATTTCAGGATTGAAGACCCGTGAAATATATTTTTCGCGCAAGTTCACATTGCCTCGTACCTGTACACTGTTCCCCTGTGTGTGACCGGATTGTGCGGAACATTCACCTTCGGCCTCTCCATTCGCAGCGACCTCGAGCCGGACTCACCGATGTGTTCGCGAGTCCTGGATAACAGTTTACTACCACTCTTAACGAAACTGATCACATTAGGCTTGATGCCGTGCACGGTGGACTCTTGTCGCAGTTTCTTTAACTTTTGTATCACGCTCACTTTACGATTGTCCTCGGCGAGCTTCGGCGTCCCCGAAGAAGAATTGCTAACACCCTCCTCGTCGTTACTGGCAAGCGTCGTCGTTGTCATTGCCACCGCGGTTGTACTCGCATTCGGCTGAGGAAGCGGAGGACCCTTCATGGAAGGCTTCCTCGGAGGAACAGCGGGCTGCTTTTTGGTCACCAAATGCGCGAGCTTCGGCAAGAGAGGCGGATTCTTGCTAGAGGCTTGGACCTTGTCGGGCTGCTCCACACCTTCCGCCACGTCGTACTCGTTCTTAGGAAGGGAGTCAAATCTCTTGGGTGGTTCCGGGGGTGTCAAATTGATTCCGGGATGCGTCAAGTCTTCGTCCTCCTGCTCCTCCTCGGCGCTCTCGCGAAATTCCAGCGTGCTATCGGTGCTACTGGGCAAGTCGTTGGTAGCCAGCAAGGTCTCGAGCAACATCAGATCGTTGTTCTCGTAATTGCTATAAACGTTCTCGTCCTCGGATGTCCTCGCGAACGGGTCGAACTCAAAGAGTACAGACTTGCTGCTCTGTACTCTAGTGTCCGAGGGAATCACCGTCGGTTGTTGCCGACTGTCGACCTTTGGTGACAGATTCTCGTAGAGGGAATTTTGGATGGAAGCCTGGCTCTCGAAGGACGCGCAAGAGGTTCGATCTATTGGTGAAATTTTCTTCTCGAAAGATTTCTCCAAACTTTCTTCTTCCACGTTAGATATCCTGTCCACTTCGTCGACGCTGTCAGCTCTCGTGCTTGGTGTGGTGTCGTAAAAGGTCCAAGAGTCTGATCTCGACAGTCTTTTGGCAGATATTTCAGACTTGTCGAGTGATGAGCTTACATTGGCGTCGGACAAGTTTAGACTTTGATCGGAATCGCTAGTCTGTTTGAATAAGAAAAAGATTTAAGAAAAATAAGATTTATTTATTTATCTATAAAATGGGACAATTGTAACTTTCACATGCATCTTAATTTTACCAGTGCTTTTAAAAACAAAATCGATTCACTATAGTAATATCAAGAACATCGGAATGACAATAGTAAGAATAGAAACATCAGAATGACAATAGAAATATTTTATTGCAGAGTCATAAAAGAAGAGAGCGCGAGAGGCAATTGAGTTCAGTTTTTACCTGATTCCGCGCGAAGCCGTGGTTGAAGTCGGGAAAATCTCGCTCGATCTTGTCGGACACCGTAGAACTGAGCGTGTCGTATCGGCCGCTGCTTCCCGACGTAACGGACTGCAATTCGTCATAGATAGATTCGTCCGGAAGCGGGGGTGGCGGATAAACCGGAGGTGGCGGGCTGTGCCTGCCGCCAGTGGATAGATCCTCCTCGTTCTTCACACTCTTGAGGTTGCCGCTCAGAGGACTGTAGAACGAGATGCTGCTGAAGATGTTGTCGGCCGGCATAGACACGCATCTGTCCTCCTCGGCCGGATCTTTGAGCTTTTTCTGGACGCCGCCCTGGCCGACCACGTCGTCCTGGTTCAAGGACGACAGCCGCCGGGTCAGCAGATTCTTCACCGACTTCTCCAGCCGAATGCTGGCGTTCCGCGTGCTGCAGATAACGGCGCGTCCCTTCACCGTCATCTTCTCCGAGATCTCATCCTTCAATTGGCGCGAACTCGTGCTGAGGCTGCGGAAGAACTCGTGGTTGCCGCGAGTATTCTCGTTGGTACTGCTGGTCGACTTTACATCGTCGCTCTTCTCAGACTGGCTGGATTCGCTGGTCGGACTGCTGGAGTGAGTCGACGGCAAGGTCGTCATCGGCAAGAGTCTTCGGGGCGCCGGTATCGGTTTGCTCTCGGTCATCACCGATCGCGGCTTTGGTATCGGCTTCACCTCCATCACGGATTCTTCCACAGCGTAGCGTCGCTCCAGTAAGATAATTGTAGATATCCTCCGATGTTAACCATTGATCCTGAGACATATAAAAGTTTCTCTGATCCTTCGCGGCCCGAGTTAATGCAAACTCAAACGGAAAATTTTTTCCCGCCATTTATCAGGGTCATCTAAATACATGCATTTAAAAAAATATGATAACAGTTAAGAGTAGTTTAGCTAATAATAACTAAATGTTTTTACTTTTATTAGCAAAGAGGTTTTATTATTTAATTCTCGTAAGAGAGAAAGTTTTCCAAAGCTTCTCCAATGAAAAGTGCATTTTCCTAGTATCGCTATATTAACCGGCTGTCGCGCGCCCATTATTCGTTTCCAGGATTAATTAAATTGTTATTTCTCTGTACTGAACGCGTGACAAAACAAACGAACGACGCAAATAGAAAGGAAATTATGAATTGTCCCAGTGTGAGTCATCGTTCCGAAAGCCGATACCGACGCCCATAGTTTCCGGCTACTATTTCAACTGACCGGCAAGTGAGTATCACGTCCATCGTTCCATATCTGTACTTTAACTCTGTGCCAGACATCGAGCATTATCACATCCATCACCTTCGGTAGCACTTAAAATGAATTAAGTGTTCACATACATGCGCTTATGTGAAAAATTTTATACAAAAATTTGGATTCTCGAAATAGCTCGGATAAATGCATTTAACAATACACGGTTCCACGTCGCTGATCTTATTGTATGTTATTTACTTCTCTCTCTTTCTCTTGTAATATTACAAAAACTTTCTCGGACAAAGAGGATAGAAAAAAATTAGAAAAAGAGATGCGGAAAAGTTCAGCTAAAAAGAGAATCTATTGTGGAAGCGGCGCATATCTGACGCGTTCCAATGAAACTCATGATTCACAGTTAACTAACACGATCATCTGACTTGTATCAACTTCTTGAATTCTTTATTGGATTTATGGTATAAAACGATAAGTGACTCGTTATCTTTTAACAGGTCGAAACTTCCTTGAGATAAGAAAACATGAATTCTAAATATATGTATAAAAAAGAGCAGTGTTGACGCAATGGATTGATTATATCACCTGATATGATATCTGAAATAAATCGATAATTTTCGAAACAGTAAGAAAATTTTTATTGAGAGATTGGTGTACAATCGTGAAACGTTACGATTGTATAGCGAGCCTTGATGTGGGTTCCATCAATTATATAATAAATTTAATTATGCAACATGATGTTTGTAAGATATTATTAGTCGGTCTATTTCAGATACGCAGCTTATTATGAAACATCTAGAAAGTATTATTTGTGTAATTAACGGCGCATCATGTGGGCTCCACAATAGAGCTCGCAAACGCGTCACCGACAGTTCGCGCAAATTGTCATTAATTATTCTTGTGTCAAAAACACCTGTAGACGCGTCTGCTTTCGTGCCTTGCCGATGAGTAGTTTGCGTTCACGTTTCCTCTATGCGAATTGATGGAACTATCTTCGCGGAATAAAATAAATAAGAATTGCAGATTCACTTTAGAAATCCATAACTTATAGCATCGCGCGATTAAAATTTAAATTATATATTCCTCTACATTGTATTTTCCTTTTTTTTTTTCAGAATAGTGGATAATCGTTTTCGAGAATTATTAGTGGAGATTATAAATGTCGCTGTTTGTCCGTTAGTAACACAGGTCAAAAACCTACCTCGTCGTTGTTACTGTCACCGGTACCGGTTGTTCCTTGCTGCGGAGCTCTTCCTTTTCACGAATCACCGCTCCCGTTTACTCGCAGTGAGTCCCCTATCTAAAATCACAGCATTTCGTTTTCTTTTTTGCTTTATACGAGAGTTTCTTTCGAACTAAAACTCGACGCGGATTCGCATCTGTTTCACGATCATTCGTCTATATTCCGTCCACGATGCGGGTATTCACTATTTTTTTTTTCACTAGCACGTGACTCATTACTTGTTCACGCAAAAATTGCTAAATTGCACACTTTTCTGCATTTTTCACATTTATACTTAACTATATATAAATACCGCGCATTTACATGAATGAATCATGAAAGATATGATAAATTAGCAATATTTTTTTTTTTACAAAACAATAAGAACAAATATATTGAATCTCCTTTGAAGATAGAAACATTTGACAATTAATGATTATTTTATTATACGATATACGTTCGGTTTTTTTTAAATATAAAATTAAAATTTCAGGAGTCGTAAAAATAAGTTTTTTACGTGAAAAATAAGAGCCTAGTACGCGCTGGCCGAGAGATTAATGAGTTAAAGAGACACTTCGCGCGCGCGGCAACAAGCGGAGAAAGACGCGCGCGTGTGCTCTAACGCACGTACACATTGACGGGTGCAGGCACACAGACACAATGAACAAACTGTAGATTTCACAGTTTGCGAGCACAGGCCTTCTCCTTTCTCCTCGTGGATCTCGACGTTTCGGAGTGTATTTTTAGGATGCCCCCGCTCGGGGATGCCAAGTCGCGGTTTTTGCCGGTTCCGAGTCTGATTTTTGCGTAGAATTGCTGACGTTTACGTACGCGAAGATAAAGAGGACGTGAGAAATGATAAGATAAAAGAGGCCGAACGACGGCGTCCTCGTCCACCCGACGGCACAGCTCGTGCCTATGCACTGACGCGGCTGACGCGGCTCCGTTCTCCGTTGCCACACATCCATCGTCGGTGCTCCTCTCGGTGGTGGAAAGAGGCCGGAGAAGGGGAGCAGGCCAACGCCATCGCCAGGCACCAATTGCAACGGGCACCAGTGCTCCTGCACGTGGAATGTGTTATTCATTTTGTAGCTAAACTGTTTACAAAGTCGTACAATCCTGAAAGCGAAATTCTGCTAATTAGTTAAATAAATATAGAAAATCCCATTTAAACTTAATGTAGAATCATGTATTGAAAGTTATACAAATTCCACGCGATTAAATATTTTAATTCACGTTCCATAATCCCGGATTGACTGTTTTACTTAACAAAATAAATGCAAATTACAGATCCAGCGTCACACAATATTGTGAATCATTTCAATTGATACTTAATTAAAGGAGAAGTAACAACTGCACCATCTGTAAAATAGAAATATAGAAATTTCAATAAAATGTTGAACAAGGAGAGATGATGCTCTACGAAGAATATTTTAATGAAACCTTTATTAAGACTTTTATCATGCCAAAGACAAATGACGGCTTTGGCTATACAAACAGGTAAACGTTTTTCCCGGCGAGAGTCCTCTATGCAGATGCAAACTATACAATATATTGCTATAAAATTTCATGAATTAATATTAAAAAATGCAATAAAATTGCACAGGCGGATTTGAGATCGCAAAACGGAATACAAAGAAAATACTTATTTATGTATAACGTTTAAGTTAACTAATATTTTTACATATAAAAATATAATTTCTATTGTTTCAAATGGCTGCTTATTTTGCGCCATGAGTATATGACTATATGGGTATTACTGTCGCTTTCAATTACGATGCTTTATTAATTGCTTTTATGAAATTATTGCATTAATTAATAAGATTTTAGCATGTAATATTTGAACGAAGCATCACAGAATTGCACCTGCACCATCGAGCGACTTGCGCGGGTATCTCTACTATCTTAAATCACAATGGTGACGACAAGTTTAACTATTTATTCGTTAATTAGTTCCTTAAGATTGATCGTTACATATAAGCAGATACGCACGCACGCACGCACACACGTTTTAGCAGCCGTATACGTAAAAACGCGTGAGGAAACGATTCAATGACTGCCGATGATCTTGACGGATCTTTAATGACGCGATACAATGTTGCATCACGGATTTAAAAAGCACTTAGCGGAAGCGTCGATGAATCTCGGGATCGTAATTATAGATAAGACCGGTTCCTTTAATTTTAATTATCAAAATTGTCCTTGCTATTAAAACGATTAGAAAGAAAAAAAAAAGATAAAATGCAATGAATAAATAAAGAATAAATAAAGAAGAACAACATAAAATTTACACACTAAAGATATTAACTGCAGGATTTATATTTGCAAATAACGCGCGGCAACTTCTGAGATCATCGGCATTCACCATCGATAATCACACGAGGAAATTATATTCCCGCGGAGCGACTCGCTTTTATTATATAATTCCCCTTACCGTCATAAGATTAATTTACCGCGATCAATTCGAGTCGATCGCGCAAACCCGTAAAGAGTACCTACGTTTTCGGCGTGTTTCGCCGAATGCTTAGGCCATAAAATCGTAAAAAAATATTCAAGCGCGAGTTCGTAGGCGGAGTATTTGGTGTGGAGTGCCTCTGATTTTTTTTTTACCTTCTTTCTTTCTCGAGGGCTCGAGGCAAAAATTGGAACGCGCGTTTACTTTCGTATACTTTGCAGAAAAGAGTGAGATCGCTCGCGGTCTCCAGTCGGAAGTCGTGAGTGCGTGCGTTGCGTAGCGCTGCGTGTTTTTTTTTTTTTCGTTTTTATAAAGAGGAACGATCGACGGAATATCTACTATTATGTTGGAACACAGAGAGACAATCGTTAAACAATGCGACCAGCCCTCAACCGATAACGCAATTTTGCGTAAAATCCTTATGACGGAAATCAACAGACGTGCGTTTCTATTTCTACATTTATATATTTTTAAATGTCTATAGATGATCGAATTACATCATCGTAATTAAGTACTTAAGTAATTAAGTATCGTAATAAGTCATTTTCAATTAATTGAGCAGTGATTTCTCGCTTCTTTAATATGAGACAATATTGGTCCATGTGCAACAAAAACACTCTTTTTGTTTGTAATTGGGCATTCTTAAATGACAGAGAGAGAGAATAGAAACAAAAGGTTTTGCAAAATCTACCGGGTAAGGGCTGAGATAAACGATTCAATCTCCTCTCTTCGCTTTTATCCAAATTAATAATAGCTTTTTGACACCCCGTACCAATCTACTTTGTAAATAAAAAAATATTCAGATTCTATTAGAAACCCTAATTATACTGACGAATATATTTGTGGCGAAAATAATAATTTTTAAAGTTATCAAATTCATGAAATATAGTTTTCTCTGTAATATTCATATTACAGATTATTAAAGTCTTAGCGAAGCGTATATATATCAAATTGAAAATTAATATTATGTATATAATGATTTTTAATAATTAATCCAGTCCGGCGACGGATACGAGGCATCGTGAATCTGCCATGTAATTCGAAATCGTCAAACTATAATGATAGTTCTTCGAAATCGTTCACGATTGCAATATGTGATTCGAGAGCATAGGATAAAGAGACAGAGAGAGAGAGAAAGACAATGACATAGAAAGTTTAAGAGATTAATCCGAGGAAAAAATCTTTAGGCACACTCACACACATACACGTACATTTATATAATTATATATTTGTGTGTATATATTATGCATAGAGCGCAAGAGTCTTTATTTTTTTTTTTTTGGCAAGCAAAACGTGGCTTCGCACTTTTATTCGAATTCCTGCCGGGGCCAGCAAGGGTGACGTGATTTCTTCATTTTTAATTCTTTGCGCTTGAGCGTCATTTGCAGAAGAGCATAATTGATAAGATAAATAAAGACCATGTAAATAAATGAAACCAGAATGTAAGAGACAAACCAATACATATAATTCGGCAAAAATAATAATAAAATAATATAAATATCCTACTTATATTTTATTAATTTAGATATTTGTTAATGCTACTCTGTTTACAAGAAACATCGTTTACGCTCTTATGACAATAGAATTTGGCATAAGAAGTAATAAACGTTAAAAATGATTGAATTAGCGCAAAGAATTAATCTATAAAAATTACACATCCATTTCCGTATTAATTTCGATCAGATTTCGACAATGTCGATGCTCCAATCGCTTTGTACTCGCTCAGCCGATCAGTGTCTTGCAGAAAAAATGTCATAGTGCGAATATTCAAATCACCCTCGTAACGCCACCATCGTTCAGTATACGGACTCTTAAAATTGCTTATTTCTCTTTGTTCTTCGTACGTTTTCCCGCAGTGTTAGTTAATTATAATGTAATCGTTATGTCATAATTTAATAGCAAATATATTATCACATTTAGATTGTATTAATTTTTAAGACGACCGGCCGGACGTTTCTCGATGAACTCTTCGTCGCCTCGCAACTTTCGTACCAAATAAAAAAATCTATTAATGCCCAATCATTTTATGATACATCTTTCTATGTCGTTTGATTTCTTTTCTTCTATAACAGAAATAAAATGCGATAACTATAGTCACTTACGAATACAAATAAAAATCCTGCGAAGCTCCGCGTTCGGAATGTTTCACTTCCTCCGATAAATGCCAGCAGCAGTTCCAAGCAACCACGTTGTCATTCGTAGGTCAATATCTTTGCATTGAAACACTTGACTCTCTCATTCTTTATCCCGTCGATGTCGTTGATAAGATCTCGGGCTCGGGCGTAAATAACTGAGTTGCTTTGTTTCGTAGATTCCAACAATTAGCACTTAAGAGAAGCGCAAACGACGACATTCGCCGTAGACACGTCCGTCCGGCATGTTAGATTTAAATCTAAGAAACATTAATATAGAATATATTATCGTGTAGTTTATATAAGGTATACGTTAAGACACTTACTGCTACAGCAAAAATTCAACAATTAAAAGATTGTAACAACTAGTTCACGCTCGCAACGAACGCGGAAGCGGACGATCAGAGACTGAAAATCCCTGCGTTTGCGGACTTTTGCGAAACTCGCGATCTTTGCTGAATCTTTGAAACTACAAACAAAGAAAAACTTATAATAAAAGATAAAAACGAGGAAAGAAAATTTTCTTAAGAAAAAAGATTATCAAATAATACAACTAAAACTTCGAAATTATACTTCTATTCAATTAAAGAATTGTCTACGTTATACCGACTAAACATTTTAATATACTTAGCTCCCAGGTAGCATGGAACATTCCAGCAATATTGCAGCAATGCTCCGTATTATCTGGGTTATATCTTGAGTTTTGAGATAAAAGTACTTTTAATACCTAAGGCATTTTTTTATCTCTTTCACCGTAGGTCGGATAAAAAAATATCAGATTCGGCTCGGAAATGTAAGGAGTCGAGTTGCGCGATTTTCTGCAAACGAAGAAATCTGATCGCACGTTTCACATCCGAGGCAGCTTCCACCCCTCGCGTATCTCCCTTCCGCAGAACATCGTTCGTTCCCTTATAATCGGGGGTCACTTTGGCACGCATTTATTTTCTTTTTGTTCGTAATATCGGCACGGCGCCGCTGCTTATCAGTTATGAGCTCGTAATTATAATAATGCGAATAAATCTCGGTAGCACCTGAGACTGATCGCTCGGACGATACGATTAAAATGAGGTGTTCTCGTTAGGCGCGCACGCTTATATCATCGGGAAAACTACATTTTCGCAAATACTACTGCGAGAAACGCCAGAGGACCGCGTGTCAGCCGCGCGCGAAATTTCCCGCCGACTTTGCAAATCCTTGCGTCCTCGGGGAAACTTTCCTTTATCCCTATTACATATATAGATTCTTCGCGGGTTTGTTTTTTTTCCTGACGTACGCCGTACGGGACGCGCGCTTTATTCGAGTTGTGCTATGACTTTTGTGACCGAAATGAAAACTAAATAATCACTCCAAGTAAATACTAACGGCGGACGGAGCCAGTCACGCTAAATTGCGGACCTGTAATTAACAAGAAACCTCCTTCGTTATGGATGTACGTAAATTATGCGCGTCGCGACGCGCAACGATAAACTATTTCGTGATAAATATTCTGAATGTGCTAATGCGCTCAGCATACCTTCGAAACGACGTAATTGTAGATATGCGCGGAAGAAATGGAAAAAAGTAAGTCGCCCTCTCTTAACAGTCAAGGTAAGCGCATTGTGTAAAATCATGCATATAAAAAGTCGCAGTCGAGAAACCCGTTGCATCGTAGAGAGTGCCGCACCGTAAATGCGTTTTACGAATGTAAAATATTCCGATATATGTATCAAAAGCAAAGTAGCACGTATAAGTACACCAGCATGTGTATAACTTATAATTTTCGTTCAGTCGAGTCAGTATAGTCGAGTGAATTGTGCGCACACCCGGTTAAACCATCTGCTTTCGGATGAACGGGCCTACATCGTTATGTAATCCGGAATAAACGTTTTTCTTTTTTTTCTTTTTACCAACTTCCACGCATAATCGTAATCATCTTGGCTACTATAGTAGTCATCCGTATACCTAAAAGATAAAATATAATTTAATATTTAATATATATATAATTATGTAATATAATTAATTAAAATCTAAATCACATTTGCTCGTAATTGTGGCTTATTTCAAAATTTATGCTACTTGGCACGGAATGATCTACGGTTACTCGCGATACCTCTAGCGAAGATAATACCGACAATGATAACGTGTAATGAGCTGGACAAATTCAGTCGCTGAATGTCGTATAGTGATAATAAAGTTCTAGTTCGAAAAAAAAAATATTCACTTAACGTTCGACGAACGAATGTGTGTTCGAATGTGAAGCGTCAAAATATGCCGGGGGAGTGAAACCTTATGCCATGCAGCTCCGACTTCGCATCATCGTATACCTTGTAGTTTATCATAGTATTGTGTAGTAATGACTATAGCGTCTATATAGTAGAATGATATTCTCCGCGAGAATGTCACTCTCGACGAGACGACGAATCATCGTGGCGTGTCGTGGTGCACGTAATCCTCTCTCCCGTGCTACTTTACGTGAGGCGCCGTTAAAAATCGTTTATCGACTATAACGTATTTGTATGATACATTAAAAATTGACACATATTTCCATTACAATCGATCTCGTTCGCTTTCTCTCCCCTTCTCCTCCCCCCCCCCTCCCTCGCACGAGCAAGTGATCGATCGTCGGGGATGGTCTCTTGGATCCTAAAGAGAGAAACGAACGCGGGACATTTGTATCAATAGCGAACGGATACGTCCAACGAGCTTGAATTTTGCAGAAGGTGACAGTTATACTCTTTAACGAAAAAAAAAAGTACTGTACCTACTATATGTTACGGAGCGAATAGAAGCCTCAGTATAATTTAAGGATGTGTGATGTAAAATGAGTACAATGATACAGGAGCTCTACGAGGATGTCGTCATCGTCTGCAAAACAAAAACGCGTTAGGCTTCACCTCGCGTTACACGATACACTCTCTATCCGTTATAATACTTGCGTAATCATAAAATTGCATTAGTCCGTAAGTACTGACGAAAAAACCGATAACAGGCAACTCAGGCAACGATAACAATGTGTTCGTGTTAACAAGTATACTTAACAATTATACTTATAGCGATTCGTGCAGCGCGAGCGAACTATATGCTAGACACGTAACGTTAAAACGAATCTTCGTAAAATAGCACCTTTCCATCCCGGCCGGGGTCCTCGCGACATGTCGTGTCGTAACTCGGTGCTTTTATTGATCTCATTAACCGTTGGCCTGATTCGATCGAGTCTCGTGCATCCGCCACGATGTACGCGCGAGTGTATCGCGAGCTCTCGCTCGAATCTGTTTCAAGTACAAATATATCGCGTTATTTGCCCCTATGCGATGCTAAAAATAAAATTTTCATCTCGGAATTGAACACTAGGTCATAAAATTAAAGCAGGTTTTGACAAAAAAATTAACATAGACTTGAAAAATTAAACGTGAAATTACGACAAATTCTCAAAAAAAAAAAAAAATTAAGATTGAAATTAAAATTAAAGATGTAACGGTGTGTACGTCGGTAATTAATTAACGATCCAATAGTTAATGAGAAATATATAAAGCGACGATGTCATATTTAACGACGAGAATCCCCGGAACAGTACAGAGTTGCAGTCTTAAACTTTGCTGAATTGCAATTTCTTTTTTTCTCTTTTTTTTTTTAGTCACGGCGGTCAGTGCGGGAAGAGCGTAAAAGAGATGCGACGTCACGTCGCGCCGTGAATTCGTTTCTACTTTCAGTCTTTCTCCGCGATCCAATCTACGATTCTAGCACCATTTTGCAGCTTTCCCCGTTCGTCGTCATTGATCGACGCGAACGGGCGGTCTACCGATCGTTATACTTCATCGAATCGACGTAATGTAACACTTGGACGTTTACATAGCTAATACAAGATCTCGTTAGAATTCAAAGGTTACATTAAATTATCGACGTTCGCATGCAATAATCTATACGTTTCCTAACGTCTAAAAGGAGAAACCTTGCCGATGCTGATTTGGAAAACAATCCGTTCCGAGATCCGTGCTTCTTGATTGACTTTATTCTATTCATATGTCAAAATTTCGTAACTCTCTGTTCCTAACTTACCTCTCAAGTTGTTTTTTTTTTTCGTGAAATTATAAATAATCCTCAATTTTTCTCGAACTTAGGTTTAATTTTCACCTGATTGAGATTCTCCTTCGTTTGTCTGCCAAGTTCAGCACTGTACAAGCCTTCCTGTAAATTCTAATATATCTAGATCGCAGTATTGACAAAATGAGGACGTATGAAGGACAGGCCAGTCCCAGATTTCTTTTTCCGCAGGTCTCTCAGGGCCGTTGCTCTTCTCTTCGTTCTTCGTGGGCGTTTTCGCTAATTGGTCGCGTCTGGATTGGAGGACGGCGAGGACGCCGGGCTCTGTACCAGGTCAACGTCAGTGGTGTCCCTCGAGGAGGCCAACAGCGAGGGGGTTATCAGCATGCCGCGCGGGCTGAAGGTGTCGCAATAGAGATTCTCCTTTTTGTGCACTCGCCGTACGTGGCTGCGTAGATTGTCGCGACGTGCGCTCCGGTAGGCGCAATGTGGGCACAGATGCGGCTTCTCGCCCGTGTGCATGCGACGATGCTGTATCAGCTGTATCAGAGAGATACGGCGAATACAATTAATCTTCATGTGACAATTGAGATCTCTCTGTGGTAAAAGCAAGTAATATTTCAAGTACCTTCTTCAGTTGCACCGTGCGGAAGATACAGATATCGCAGCAGAAGTATCGGTCGTCACGATGCCTTCGCATGTGCCTGCTGAGATCGACCTCGGACGATCGGTCGGCACCGCAGACGGCGCAGCTCACCCTAGTCTCCGGCGCGGTGCCTCTCGCGTGCGCTCGCAGATGTCTTTGAAATGCCTTCTCGATCGTGCATGCATACGAGCACAATGAGCACCGATACTCCTCCCTCTCGTACCTGAGAACATTGCGAAACGGTAGTTGAAAGAATGCGACGGTATATTAAAAAAAAAAAAAGAAGAAAAATAAATATGCATTTCTCTCTTTTATTTCATTTACTTTAGATTTGAGTAATGATAAGAGTTTTATTCTATAACAATAATAAAATATTCGAGAGAATCTCTTTTTTGATAGAACACAGATTAGATAAAATTAGTTATGTGAAATTGTTTAAGTACCTATACCTGACGCGTTGCAAGGCCAGCGATCGTTTCTTCCCCGTAGGCGTCATCCCCTGAGCCACATGCGCCGCCACGTGGGTCTCCATCTCGCACCTGCTGCTCGTCGTGAAGTCACAGCCCGTGGACGGACACCTTTTGGTCTCCCCGGTCTCCGTGCCGGACAGAGCGGGATGGCAATCGGCTATGTGCTTCCTCAGCGCCGGTCTCGTCGGTGCCACCACATCACAGGAGCCGCACGAGTAGCCGCGATGAACGCTGCTCACGTTCGGACTGCTGCCTCTCGATCTTAAACAATGATAGTATTATTGTCACCAACATAATGATGATAATGTAATGCAATGTCGCAATTTTTATTTCAATAACAAATTTTATGAACTTGAAATCGAATCTGTCGCGAGCGCAAGGTTTCGCGTTGCGACAACTGCTGACGAAAGTAAATTAAGCAATCGAAAATGTATGATGTCTACACGGAGAGAATTTTATTGTAAAATTTACCCTGAAAATCACGTTAACGATAGGACAACATAGTATTTTGACGAATTATGTGTTTTTCGCTATTTTTTTAAATATATACTACAACAAAATTATTGTAGTGCACAGTAAAATTTGTCGAAATACTATATGTTGTCCCACGATTAACATGATTTTCAAGGTAAATTTTAAACGATAATTCTCTCCGTGTAGATTATGAAATTTATTAAGATATTTTGTCAATGTTGTATTGACAATTGCGTATCTTTAAAACAATATCGGACAATAGAAATTAGCACAACAAATCTTTCTTAGGGAAAATGATTTTTAAGAAATGCTAAATGTAAGATCGTGACTTGACTACGCTAAATTTTATTAATTCTACATACTTTTCAGTGTAGGATGAGTGCTCACTCTCGGAATCACTGTCGGAAGGAATATTGGGAACTTCCGTTGCTTCTAGTGCCGCAGTAGCGGCAGACAGTCTACCCAGCATCGCCGTGTAAGCACCCAGTACCCAACCGTTCAGAACTGGAGTCACTGTCCCTTCCTGAATAATGGTGAAATATTAGAAACACCGATTAAGAATGTAATTAGCACGTATTTATTACTGATCACGAAATCCTGATCACGAAGTATTGTGTTAAAGAATCACGATCGATTTGAATAAGTTACTTATGTTCGTGTATCAGAAAGTTTCGTGGACCGACCTTGTCGAGAGCCAAGCATGACATCGGATCGGGAAGCTTCGCGATTGATAGATTGTTGTTTGCCGATTGATGTGAGCTGTTTGTGCTACCAGTGTCGCTCTCGTCACCGGCATCTTCGTTGTCATTACTTTCGTTTGGCACGCAAGTCTGATTGGTACATGTAAAAAAAGAATACTCTGTGTTCGTATTTATAAATTAAAAATTTTAAAGCATGAAATTTTAAATGTTTTATATTCCGATTCTGATTTCACAATAGCTTAATTAATTCAAAATTATATGTCAATTTTTTGAAATTATGAATTATTTTTATAATACATTTTTTGTTCAATAGAAAATTAATTTAAAAGACTAATCCTAAATATCGAAGAGCTATCGGTTTTAATATTGTGTCGTACAATAATGAGTCTTACCTGATTTTCGTTTTGATCGGCCTTTTCGATGTTACCTTCGTTGTCGTCGCGCTGCTGAGGATCCTCATCCTCGCCGTTCGTGCTCTTCTCCCCATCCTCAGCGTCTTCGGCATTGGTGGATGCGATCGAGGCTGGTTTCGTGACCAGCTCCATCGGGACGTAGGGCGGCCCCGCGGCCGTCAGCGGCAGCGGCAGCATGTCGGGCCGGTGCAGAGCGCTCAGGGCGAACGCGGCCCTTGGCAGGATCTGCGTCGCGCCGGAAGGCAGAATCGGATGCCTTCGGGCGAGACGCGGGTCACCCCAAAGTTCACCCGCGACGTGAAGACTCCAGATCCCATATTCCATCTGGAATGGTGCGTTACGATTGTCCGTTGATAAGGATTCATGTAAATCGGTATATGCTGTAAGCGAAATTACGCAACAACTCCTGCGCCAATGTCGCAAGTGATGTTTCAAGCAACAATGGCGCAAAATAAACAAAAAAAAAACGCAGAATCGGCCTACATCGACCCCAAAATTTTCCACGGAGCAATAATTGCTGACTAAAACCCGCATGTTGTCGGAGGATAAAACTCACTGGCCAGCGGATTACATCGGAGTTTATAACTGAAAATAATTTTGTAGTTCAAAGCAACGTAAAATAAGGATCTAAACCCGTTTTATAGTAAGTAAAAAAAAAATAGTCGCACACAACACATAGTTTTGCTTTGAAATAATATGGTAAAAAAATAGCATATATACACGTGAAAAACACGTCTTTCGATAAGAACATTATGTAGAACATTATGTAGTTATCTTTCTCTTGCGGCTAAAATAATTTCCAAACGAGACGAGATGTGCGAAACTATTTTTATTCGCTGTAAATTTTAACTGTATCGTCTCGGTAAAATCGATCGCTGATTCGCGGGTTTGCGATTAAAATGAGATAAGTTTGTTCGGTTTTTTTTTAGATATAATCTGACGTGTTAAATAGATCTATCATTCTTTTAAATTGCCCTAGTATACTTATTATCTTATATTTATCTATCGGTATTGTTGGATTGTTAGTGATTACGAATGCAGAGAGAATTCGAATGTAAAATTAGAAATATACCCTGAAGCTAATAAAGATTGAATCGCTTGGAAACGGTGCTCTCGAGCCTCATTATGTTTGTATGGATAGCACGGTATAAAAAGGGCGAAGGGTAGGGAGCGAGAAGAGAGAGATTAGTGGTGGCCCTCGAATCAATACTTACGTGCAATTTTCAAGCGTGCCGACTATTTGTTACTTATATATAAAATTATTTGTACCGCTTTCTATCGCAAGAGCTGTGTGCGATTAATTAACTAAATCGTTATATATAATAAGAAATACATAAACATGTTTATCCAGCCTATTTGCAAATAGTGTACGATACTCATTTTGTCAATGCATTTCTCCAAATACGTTTTCGCATTTTATAGCTACTCTCCCGAGTATCCGTGAAGGATTATGTCAAGAAATATGTCAAGAGGAGTTGGGCAATAAAGTATCGGGGAGTAATTCGATCTCGAGTTACGAGGTCAAACGTCTCGGAGCGTGCTCGAAACGGAGATAACGATGCGGAAAAAAGTGTCACGCGATGAAAGATTATCTATTCCTAAAATTCTCTTCCTCCTCCGGCTTCATTTCCCTCTGTTAAGGACTCTCTTTCGGAAATGCGCGATCTCCGAACGCGAGTCGGAACGTATTCTGTATCGGCTTTTCTCGTTCTAAAATATCTCATATCTTTCTGTATCGCGATTGAGACGCTGTTATATTCTCGCACAAAGTTGTTCCTATGCGCGGATATACTACCGAACCGTCAGACTCTCACACTCGACATTCAATCTCTATTTCCTCAAATGTAAAACTCGCGGGGGGATTTATATATTCTCTCCCTCCTCGTGGACAATTTTACTTGCAAAGTTATCGTAAACAACGTCTAGTAGAAAAGCAAAGATAAAGCTCTTAGATATATTTGTAATTTACATAACATGTCGGTTGGAAGATCACGTGAAATGAGAGCATCGAAGTATTCGACGTTACAAAACGTCCTAAGAGGGCTTTCGTATCCCTCCAGCTTTGAATTAGGCAAACGAAGACACCTAAGACCATGTGTGTTCACCAGAGATTTAGAATGGAACTGGAGTCACCCCTCAAGATCAGATCGGAGTAAAATTTGATTCTGACAGAATACGACTGTCACCTTTATATTCATATCCTATAATGAGCTATCTTTGCTGTTAATTAATTTTTTTTTTGAAATTAAAATTTTTGTACATATCCGTAAAAATAGAAAATAAAATATACCATTTCGAGGGTGGCAACGGTAAGTAGATTTCGATTCGCGTTAATATCATTCTTCAAATCGTTATTCAAGAAAAAAGGAGAAGAGGGTGAACGCAAAAATTAAAACAAGCCGCAGAAACCGAACGCCGTCGTGAGAGATCATTGAAAAAAATCGCGTCTCGAGCGGAGAGTAGGAACGGTCGCGCGAAAATCGCAAGAATATCGAGGAGGTTCCCCCTTCTCTTGGAAGGGGGGGCGCCCCTATGGTGGCCTACCGCAACAATTCGGGCCGATCGTCATTACGCTGGAATCATCCCCCGCCAGTGCTCCCTCTCGTCGCCGGGCCGATCTCCACCTTACCGATCGAATGAGGGTTCACGCGCGTAGCGGCTCAGCACCGCCTCCCGTGCTACACACATGACGATTACGTTTCGACGACGACCGAAAAAGACGAGGAATTAAGACGAAGAGATGACGATAACGATATGCAGGGGACGGCGATAACGCGAGAAAGGACGTGGAGTCGCCGCGATCCGCGAGTATCAGAGCCGGGAAGAAACGAATACCGGGTTCCGGATACGTGCCGCTGTAGAGCGAACGAACTCGCGAGATTCCTGACCATTGGACCGACCCTCGTGCATGCATACTTTAGCATAACGTTCTCTATACAATATCCAGAAAGAGGGAAAGAGATACGGGGGACGGGGATAGGAGGAGGAGGGGGGTACCGCCGAGGGGAGGACGTTTCTCCTCGTCACCCCCTGGCGGCTTCGCCCTTTCTCTCTCTCTTTCTGTGTTTCTCTCTTTCGCACGCGCGTGCCCTCTCTTTCTCTCTCTTTCTCTCTCTCGTAACGCGCCGGGGGCCTCAGCAGTCGTCCTACCCCTCGCGCTGACCCCTTCCCCCTCCGCCCCGCCGCCATCGCTGCCGCGAATCGATTTGTTATTGTTTTTGTGTCTGCGGTCGTCGCGGCGGATGGAGTGAGCGGGGTTATATCGAGGGGTGGATGGGCAAGTGGTGAGTGGGGTGGGGTTGCCGGTGGTGCTGCTGCTGCTGCTGGTACGGCTGATGCTGGTGATGCTGCTGCCGCTACTGCTGCTGATGGTGGTGGTAGTAGTAGTGGTGGTGGTCGCGCTCGAGCTTCGAAGCCTCGGCTTCGGTTTTCGGGCCGGCAGAGAGGCGACCAGGGTGAATAAGCTGCTCCTGCCGCGAAGGGTGGAAAGGGGAGGCGGGAGAGAATCGCAAGGGAACGTGAAGGGAGAAAGAGAGAGAGAAAAGGGATAGATACGCGCGATTCCGATTCAGTGGCGTAGCCCAACGTGGGACGGGAAAAACGGAAAAATTTTGACTTCCATGTGCGGTATCGCGCTCGAAATTCTACCATCCCTTAATTGCTTCCGCGTTCAAAATCGCTATCGCTCGGCTGAGCGACGAGAAGCGGTCGAGACGTGTGACGACGTGGCTCTTACGAGGAATCGGCGGCCGACTGCGAAAAAAGGGCCGAGATCACGCCATTGGCATAGCCGCTGAAAAGAGCGAGATGAAACGTGAGAGGGTTGAGGATGGAAGCTGGCACAATGAGGAGGAGGAAACGAGCGAGGGTGCGGAGAAAGGGAGAAAATCCCTGCGAGGGAAAGGGCGAGGAGGGAGGCTGGAGCGGAGTAAAGGGGGACGGGGAGGGGGGGCAGGGAGGGGAAGAACGGCGGCGATCGCGTGGGTTAAACCGAGAGGGAACCTTGCGCGAGGATGGATGTAGAAGGGAGAGAAACAGCGCGGATCGGATTGCGTCCGTGGGTTGTATCGAGGGGTGGCGACAGAGATAGTCGGACGGAGGAGAAGCAAGAGAGGGAGACTGGAGAATAAAGGGAGGGAGAGAAAAGGGTATGAGAGAAAGAGAGAGGAGACGAGGTAGCAGGGGTAGGTAAGGGGAGGGACACGTCGGCATCGGCTTGACAGGTGACAACCGATCGGACCACTGACGTCACAGATCACTCGGCCGAGCGACGAACGCGCGCGCGCGCGCTCGCGCACGCACGCAGCACGCACAGACACGACTATACATCCCTCGAATATCCGCGGCTCTACGCTACGTGGCACGAGGTCAGAAGCCGTGTCTCACACTCGCGTACACCACTGTGCACCATTGACACACGTCACGTTCGGCACGTCACGTCGCGTGAAAGAGAGAGAGAAAAAAAAGGGGTAATCGCGCGTCGTTCCAGAGCGGGGCCGACGAGAGAGGAGCGAGAGAGAGAGAGAGAAACGCGAGGTGAAGCGAGAGAAGAACGAGAGATCGCGGACGGCGTAAGGAGGGAAGGCGGGAACGTGAGGCGCGTGAATTCTCGTTAACCGCGGCTCGGGGAGAGGACTTTCGGACGCGTGCGACCGAGAGGATTTTTCGCGCGACGCGAATAATCGCCGTTTCGCGACGTACAACTTGGATTTTTGGTATTTACCGGGTGTTAACGCCGGCCGATGGTCCCCGCGCGCGGCGCCTCTCTATCTGGTTACCATTACACTCGGATGTATGAAATGCGCCACGGGCATACAACCATCCCCCCACAATAGCCCTATTTATGATTGGGCAAAATTGCTTTCCATGCGCAGAATAAAATCTCGCGCGCGGGTCCAGGAAAAATCCGCGGGGCGCCGCGACGGGAGGCCGCGCGGCGCCGCCGCCGCTACTCGCGGCGATCGCGTAACCGTTTCTCCCGACGACGCGAGAACGCTCGTCGCGGGAAATACGCGGGCGGGTCGGCCGCGCGCGGCGACGCGCCCCATCGTGCCCGCGTGCCGCCGCGGCGTTCGGGCGCGTCGCCCGTTTTCCGCCAATTTTTCTCCGCACTTCCTCCACGCAGCCGATAAATTCGCCGAGAAATCAAACGCGGTCCGCCGCGGCCGCGCGCACTCGCGGCGCTGCGATGGCCGCCCGACTCGGCCAATCACCGTCGACCGTGCTAAGCAGTTCCTGAAAGTGCCGCGACGAGCCGTGGCGCGACGCGACGGTCAGCGCCGTGTGACGCGAGAATTATTCAAGTGGGGTTAAGATACGACTTTTCGGTCCAATTTCCAATCAATCCCGAGAGAGTTTCTCAGAGTTTTTGCCCCGACCCGCTTGTCTCGATTGGATTTTCTTTGTATTTCTCCACCTCCGAATCTATTAATTTTATTTCATGGGACAATTTAATTATCGCGACACAATTTATCGAGGATCGTGTACCGTCGATTAAACATATATCTGTTTATCGTTTATCCGTCGAACAGCGTGTGACATTTATATTCTTACCATGAAATCAAAAGAAGTGATGTAAACTTAAGTGATGATTATTAATATTTTATGAAGCGCACATTATTTAATCGCGCATTGTCGTCACGCTGTCAGGTTAAGTTAGGTTAGACGACAAATTGGGTAGATTACCTGTTCAATGTAAAATGTGATTTTTTTTTAATGATACACATATATATTTTATATAAGTACGCCCCGATATCTGAATAATTGTACAATAAGAAATTTAATAATAGAACATCGAAGCCAGTGGACACGCTGATCGATTGTCCAGGTCAGTTCCGACTGCGAGCTCCCCCTTCCCCTTCATCTATCCCTTTTGGATGTAGAACAGCTGGATGATCGCGCTTACTCACCTCACAATCTTTTCATTAATTCCGAATACATATATAACCTCCGAATCGTCATATCAGCTGATGGTACTCGGCTTTCTTCGCTATACGTAATTGTAAATTCGGAAATATATACAAAACGTGCGGGATCGCGTCCGGATTTTATCCTTTCGTCTCGACGCGTGCGTCTCTCGGGGGGATTCTCGAGACGGCCCGTCGGAGCGTCCCGTTCGAGAAGAGAGAGAGAAAGAGAGCGGCCGCAGTTCCAGAGCGCCGCCGGTAGGTTGGCAGCTATCAGTCGCGCATCCGCAACCGATACTGCACGCCGTTCGCGGCGCGCGGGGTCTCTGCGCGTCTAGTCTAGCGGGGTCAAGCCAGTTGGCAACAGACCATCGAGCGGGTCGCGTGCGCGAGTCCGTGGCCGCGTTCTCTGTTCTTCTTCCCCTTCCGCCGCCCCCGTGCGTTCCGTCTCTCCGTGCGCGTTTCTCGTCTGGCGTTTCGTTTCGCGTCGCACAGCGGCTCGTTCGAGTAGCGCGTCCCTCTTCACGTCGACGAGGAGGAGGAGGAGGAGGAGGAGATCGGCTGTCGTCGTCGTTGTCATCATCCGCGCGACGCTGCGCCGACGGTCGGCTGCCATGGGGCCCGTCGACGGGATTATTTGACCCACGGGAACGACTCCAGGCTCGTCGGTGGGATCGTGAGCAGACTCGCGTGAGCGCTACGAATCGGTAAATACGAGCTTGTACAAATTTCACCATTGTCATCGTCATCGCCTTTGTCATCGTCGTCATCATTGCCGTTGTCATTGTCCTCGTCGCCGTGGTCTCGTCGTCGTCGTCGCGCGACTCTCCCATCTGTTCTTTCTCCCTCTCTCCCTCTCTCTCTCTCTTTCTCCCGCACGCGTGTAGGTATACGTGTGACAGCGCGCTTGTTGTTTCACCCGTTCTCGTCCCCATTCCCGTTCCTCGATATACGAGAGCGAGGGCGCTCTCTTAAGAGAAAGCGTTTCCTCGCGACCGAAATCGTCGTCGTCGATTACCCCCCCGGACTCGATCGCGCGGAACGCAGCCCTATCGCTCCCGTACAGAAGCCGTATACACGTACGCGTAAGCGTTGACGTGCAAGTGCTCCTCGATGGAAACGTTGAGACGTTGCACGGGGCGCAGTCGACGTATCGCACGGCGAAATTTGTGCCAATCGACGCGCATTTGCAACACACATACACACACACATATACACGCCGCACGCTCGCATCATTTTACGTTTTCGCACGCGACGGATTTCGTGTCTGATTGTAAGAAGATTCGTTTTTTTGAACGACGACGCGTTCTTTAAATTCTTCCAAACTCAAAACGCGTTAGGTACATAATGTTTCTTTTGTCCAGTTCCGAAGCTTCGAGGTAATCTCCGCACGGAAGACTTTCTCTTTTAGACTCCGTTCCTCTCGATGATCCTTTCTAGAGAGACCTTAATCATTGGCTGATGCAAACAAAAAAGAAATTGTGCATGTCTCGGAACGTCCGACAAATACAGGCGTTGGGTCACGTTCTGGACATTTCCAGACATGCCAGGGCGTCGTGTTCCAGCTGTTCGTGACAGCTAGGTGGGGATACCTTTGTCCGCTCAGCGCTCTAGCCTGACGGCTGATTGTTATTTGTCCCCTCGGCAGTGCCCTCCTTCGGCTTTGGTTTCTCGACGCTGGATTTCGCTGGTGGATGGCGAGCAGAGTAGAGAGAGAGAGAGAGAGGGAGAATAGAGCGGAGAAAGGAGAGAGAAAGGGATAGCGCGTATTTTAACCCTTCTACCCTTATACGATAGCACATTTCTAGCGTGAGAAGAATATGAAACGTACTCGAACCCTCTTTGTGTTATGCTGAGAATCGAATTTAGTAGCGGCGTTTAAAGAACTGGAACATTTGTATATACATTCTCCGATGATCAAACAAACCTTTGTTCGTTACTTCCCTTTTGCTACTAATGGAATTTTTCGAGCGCATTTTTCGCGCCCCCTTGTGCGCCTCTCACCGACGTCAAAGGCGAAATTGGCGTTCACAGTGAATTTTATAAATGTTTTCAAGAGCTGATTTTTTTTATTTGCTAACACTCGAAAATTACTGAAACGTAAATCCTGCTCTTTTTTTTGGGTGTTTTTTTTTTAATTTATATCGTTCACGCAAAATGAAATTATTTAAAAAGCAAGATTCGATTAAACTGTTTACATCGTTAGGTCTATTTCGGTCGACTAAATCACTTTCTTGGAACGATGATAAAGTGCTTGCGCTTTGATAATGCCTATTAACATACACTCGAGACGATATTTCACAAAACATTATTATAATCGACTATGAGACAACAGAAAAAAAGCGTTCGCTTTAATTATTCACATTACAAATCAACGGAATTGTACCTTCCATTGTGTAAGAGAGCGAATAGCGTTTTATAAGCTAGAATTTTTAAGAACGTCGATCGATCTCTTTGTTTCTGTGATGTGCCTATATAAAGTTGAAATCGCAGTACCTGAGTAGCGATCATGTAACTTTTTTCCTACGACGGAAGATTTTTTTTCCATCATCTTTAAAATTTTCACTTTTCACGTTTCCGCTCTAGGAAAAAAGTTACATAACGCTCAGTGCCTGTTTAGTAGTTTTATCGAGTTGTTTGGCAAATAAACTACAATTCGGGAGCTCGTTGCTCTCTTTCTCTTTCTCGGTCTTTTAAGCCTCTTGAACTTTTATGGCTATGCAGTCGGGAGAAGAGAGTGCATCCCTCTTTCTCCCCTCTGGCTCGAGCCGTGTCAAAACAACACGGGGGCGTCGTCTCAGCCGTTCGTTGAACCCAGCTGTTTTGGATGTCTACCTAAAAAAATTCAAGGTGACGCCCGCGGTGCACGGTTGGTTTTGTTCCCCCTTCGATCGTTCTTCACGCGAATCCCAAGGAGTGGAGGTTTCGGTCTCGCGAAAGGGAGAAGAAGACTCTCTCGGCAGGAGATGAGATCCGTTAGTCTCGCCGCTTTCATGCAGGTTCGGGATTATCTTCAACTTTGAAAAATAAACTTGTGTATATAGAGTTATCTCGCGTATGCTCGGAGAGGAGATATCGGATGAGTTGTGTAAACATTCAAAAATTCGCACACGTCTCCGCGCGAATGGAACCGAAAGTGCAAAGTTTCGTGTATGCGCATGAATAATGTATCACCAGCAGCTTTTATAGCTTTATAACGCTGTGTAGCTATATATATGAATATACAGAGATTTAATTTCGGCGCGTGCCACACTGATTTCATGTGCGAGGTCTAATTGACGCGCGTCTCTTTGCGCAATTCGCAATCGCTCGATCTACTTGGACATTTTTCCACCGAACGTTACGCACGTACAAAAACGCGATAGAATTCTTAACTCCTGTAGGCCCAGATCCGTGCCACTTTCTGCTTAGGATGGCCTACTACTGTTAACTGTATAGCGTCGATAACAGTAATGGCTGGTTGTTCTCAGGGCGTTGAAGAAACGAAGAAAAAAAAAAAGAAGCGTCACGCGAGAAATCCGAGATCTCGCGCGTGTCCACGTGAGTTAAAATTGCGAATCGGCCTTGGTGGCGAGTGCCTATAAATACGAGGTTCGCTTATAGGCGATCCGCGGCCGAAGGTGCAGCGCGTTGCACCGTCGTCGTCGTCGTCCCTCGACAAGGCTGCACGCGCTAGGAAACGCGCTCCACGGTCTCTCTCTCTCTCTCTCTCACTCCTGTCCTCGGTCTTTTACACATTACGTAAGGCCCCGCGATATCAGGAGACGCGCGGTAGCGAACACAGAAATATACACGTATATGAGATACTCCGAAAACACTGGCCTCCTTTCGTGGCGTTATTGCTTTCACTGTACGTATATACCTAACCTACCTCTTGGCACGCGCGAGTTTTTCGTGAAAATATATACCGGGGCACTTGTATAATTGTCGAATAATTGCCGCGCCGCGAATGCGGAGTTCTTTATCTGAAATCTGACGAGCGCGAGATTGCATACGAAGAAGAGCGCGTACGCGCTCGTTGAGATTTTAAGTGTAAAACTCAGCTGTGTGCAAGTTGTGCAATGTTAAAGATCGAAAAGATACGATGTATCGCCTTCGGCGTTGTTGCTAAGGAGCAATCGAATCGTACTGTATATAGAAGCTAGTTGAGAGAACACTCGGTGAATTGTAGGACGTTCCGCGCACAGATTAGATAATTGAACTATAGATTTATTACCCTTCTCCCTCGTAATTCTAGAGTAGATTTCTTTGCTCCGACGAACAGCGAGAGATCACCCGGAGGGGGAATTTTTGTAAAAGGAATTGATTTAAGGCGACGTGATTATTTCTCTGTTGCCGACCGAATACAACCGTCGTTATCGTCGAAACGCATATACAATTACTTTCGTAGTCGTCTCTCCGTGCTGCGCACTCTGCGCACGTAGGCATGTGTTACCACGCGCAATCATGAAATTACAGTAGTGTTGGTTGCATAATATACAGGTAACCTAGATCTGCACCCACTGCTTCCCACCCGTTGACCTCGTTACCCTCCCCGGCCTCGGTTTGCCCTGCCTTTGCAGACAGAAACCTTTATTCGAAGCCGAAGATGTGTTCTCCGCATCTCGTGCGCGAGCGACGAAGCTTAATCAGGAAAGATAGTATAGGAAACGCAAAGTAGCAATGTGCGAGAGTTTAATCTTTCTTGAATACAAAGACGTGAAGCTTAAGATATAGGCGTATGCGGAATAAAAGTAGTAGCTAATTTTTGTATTTGTTCGCGTAAAATTTATATTTGACACAGCTGATCTTGTTACGGAAAGAGGTGTTTCTCGCGGAAGGTGAATTGTCTTATAAAATATATCCATCTAGCAGCTCTTGCGAAAGAAATCAGATCAATGATTCCTTTCTCTCCCCCGAACCATCGAAACTCGCTTTCACCGGTGCACGGGTGTTTTTTTTGTTTTTATTAAGTCGCCGCGTTACTAAACAACTGGAATCGAACAAAATATCTATTTCAAGTTTCGCGTTCAAGTCCTGTACGCCGCTTACCGTATTTACGTCACGGAATATCGCTGTAATTTTTTACAATTGAATAAGGATATACTCGGGACAGCACGAGGCAGCCAAGCTGCATTTTGCAGACTTGTATATCGACCTGAATATTCCCATTTAAGATCTTTCACAAACGAGTCCTCTCTTATTCAATTTTATTCTTATAATCAGACGTCTTACTCCGTGCAATAATAAATTTATTCTTTGTAAACCTCAAGAGAAAATTCGTAATTTCATCTAGAATTTTCTTGAAAGCCTTGCATTTTGCAAGAGAAATTACTTACATCATTATACTCGTCTTTCTAACTATCGGGACATAGCTTCGCCCGGAAACCGTGCTCCCCCTCACTACTTGGGCCAGTCGACCCAGTTTCGAGCTCTCGTTCGCTCGTAAAATGCGGAACGCCCGGTAGATAGGCGCTCCGGATTTTTTTTAGGTGACCTAGCTAGAAAGACATCGATTTTACTTGAATTCCGTAAGCAGGAAACTGGCCGTAGAACGCAACTGTAATCGGTTACGATTAGTCGACTTACCACGCGCAGATATTAAAGCTAAAGGTCAAGTCGAACGGTGATTATTACATTTTTCCTACAAGGAAAATTTCTTTATGAAAACGTTGATCTTGAAAATATCACACGAATCATTACAAGTCCAAACATTTGATCTGTGAAATCTGTTTGAAAAATTTCCTCGCGTGTAATCTGATACCGAGGATCACAAAACTTAAATGCGACTTAAATAGTGACGAGGTTTTTTTATCTTCAAGGGTTAAATGCACGCCGCGAATACGCACGATATTCTTGTCGATAGTGCCGTGTTTCGCCATCGTAAATGCCGACAAACCTACCGGAAGAGTGAGTTTATTTCTGGGCAGTCTTGAAAGCGTTCCTTTGCCAGTCGAAGAACGGACAAGATCGACGTACACATTGCGCGTTATTTCAAACAAACCTAACTCGTTTGATTATCATAATTTCTTTTCTATCGAAAGATTCGATACAGACAGAAATGTAACGGATATAAATTGCGCGAGCTCAGCTAAACGAAAAGGAATTTCGTTACACACGTCATTAACACGTTATTAACACGTGCATGCGAGTCACGTCTCTTTGCTGCGTTCTATTTTTTTTTTTCGAACTTTCGTATTCTGCCCTTTATCGTTCAAACTACCACACGGAGAGGTAAATGAAGATGACGGAATGATTATGTATGACGTGTCTTCATACAAAGCCGAGAGAACCTTTAACGCCTTCGTTATCCGCATCTGCAAGCGTGAACATCGCTTGCACGTTCAAAATAGATAATATACCTAGTTCAAAGGATAATCCCTGTTGCCGAGAAATTCGAATGAAATTTAAAATCTTAAATTAGAAACGCGATACATTTAACGCGGATGAATCTTAAGAATTAATTTAACATTTGACGTTTTTGTATCTTTCCTATTTGCATTTTTTTGTAATCGCGTCTATTTGCATTTATAACAGTCGTATCTCGATTCGGAGGAAGAACTCAGACGAAGAGGCTTGCCTCAAGTTCCGCTTCTCGTGGCTGAATAATCGTTTTCTTCGGCAAAGATCTCGCATAGGCTCCCTGAATCAGAATTAAGACCTAACCCGCGCGTGCGTGATTCATCGACTTCTGACTCATAAACGAGGCTAAACTCTCGTGCAGCGTCCACGTAACGTATATTAAATGCTCAACGCGTGAAACGCGTATCCTGGTGTACCCTGTACGGCCCTGGGGATCGCATGGGCCCGTGGTCAGCGCGAGCTGAAAATGGACGGTAACGTTTCTCGCAGGGATCCGCAGTGCGCGCTGGCTCGCCATGTTCTGACAGCGCGGCGACGCGATCAGCTGTTCGGCGACAGCGTCGCTCGCGCCCAGCTGTGAGCGGTGCGCTCAGCTGACGACGCCATCGATACACGCCGTCGCCCCCACCTCCCGCTACCCGACCAGGCCTCCCTCCTGCGCGCGAGCGTGCCCAGGAACGAATGTGAGCGCCGTGTCGCCTACGTTCATCCATTGTTCGCCGTTGACTCTTAAGTTGTGCAAATTAATGAGATATCGAAACGAAATTATTCGTTCTTATGTATGCTAATATCCCTCATCGATATTTATATTCATTATACTGCGTTGCGCAAACGTTAAACAGGCACACGATGTGCGAATACCAACGAATTAAAGTTATCTTTTAATTGCGAAATAATTACTGAAAATTTGGATCTCGTTCGGGCGAAGCGAATGCTCATGTGAGCTTGTTTCATCATAATCGCAGGGGACTTTTGTGCGTGATCGGGATGTCGCATTGCCGCGCGCGCGTATATAGCCCCTCGTTTTGTCTTTCGTTCGATAAGATTGAAAAGACGAAAAATCACGGCGAGACAGCCGGACGGCTGGCGGGTGTCTCGCTGACGTAACGTGGGCAGCGAGAGTGGATATTAAGAGACCTCGAGTTTCCGCTCGTGTGCTAGCTTTCCGTTTATGTAACGTAACGTTAAGCGCTCTCGCGACCCGTTCGATCGCGTGCACGCTCCACGATACGCTGAATAATTTTCTTTCGCCCGCTCGCCCGAGACCATCGCCTTTCGTTCGTTTCCCCAATAAACGTGCGGCTCGTCGAAAATCGAAGGCGGCCTCACTTGCCTGAGTTAACAATTTCTCGTGACTACGCAGGGACGTAGCCTGCAGGGATTAATTACGGGGACGGGGAATTATTCCGTTCTCGTGCTCCTTTTGTTCATTATACTTCTCCTTGCGCGTGCTAATCCTTTTTTTTCTACACGAATGATGAAACGTGATTGCGCGTTGCTACACTTCGGCAAACATTATCATCTGCAACAGGAAACATATTTATCTTGTTTGTCGGAACGATACAGAAATGTAATTGATAATCAATCGATGAAATTGGCTATTTAATCGGCAATAATACACTCGCAATAATATCGTGATTAGTCGAAACCGAGACAGTGGTATTTTTGGACAACTAAAGGACAAAGGTCTATTGGAGTTGTTCGACTCGTAATCTACGCAATTGCATTATCTCATCATAAATTAAAGGATTTCTGCCCATTAAACCGCGCGTTGCATCACAGTATTATTAGCATAAAAATGTCTGTGTGTGCCTTGCTGAGACTACAGCTAGAAGCTCACGAACAGGGACGTATCGTTAGTGCGGCTAGTTTTCATGCAAAAAAAAAATGTTATAATCGGAAACTCTTTCTACGAATTTAATCAGCATTGTTTTCTTTTTATTTTTACTTCGGTTACCGGGAATATTCTAAAACGAGAAAATGGGTTTCACGATGATAAGAACGGTCTCGTTTTTCTTGTACGCAGCATTCGAAATTCGAACTCGTCGAGTTTGCAGTTTTCATTCCCGCGATTTAAATGTGTGTCGCTTAAAAAAAAAAGCGTTAAACGTCCACTCATCAGGATCGTCAGCGAAAACTTGCGAATCGGCGATGCACGAGTCGCGTTGGCCCTACCGATGTTGTACTAACCGTTCAGGAAACCTGTAACCCGCCGCGGCAGGCCGCGAACTGCACCTTGTTTTCTTTCATCACGTGCTCTACGCGCGGTGGCTATAACCAGTCCTGCGGACGTGACACAACAACAAATTTAAAGGGACGACAAAAATCCAGGAGGCTCCTACGAGCCGTCTCGAGCACGTTGGCCCGTACGACGCGTACTCCCAGATCGCAAAGCGATCCCCGATCGCTCGGCGATGAGCTTCCGAGAACGACGACATTCGGAGGGGCCGATTTTATAAAAATTCTCGTGCTTACGTCCCATTTTGCAGGAGTGCCTGCACTTTGGCATTGTTATTTGTCACACTTATGCGACATTTACTACATTTATCGTTTTCTTTTTTTTAATTTTTATTAAAAATAATTTTAATGTATGTCGGGATGGTATAAAGCAATTTCTCTTTGTCGATTTTCTTCCTTCAATTTTTTTGAGCAATTTAGAGTGAATTTTTAAAAGATATATTTGTCATCTTTTCCTGCAAATTTTTAATTTTTAGTTTTTGGATACTTCGATAATCACAATGTTTGAATTAAAATTCCGTTTAAACAAAGGCTAATCTCGAATAGTACAGATAAAGGAAGAGAGATTTAATTAACTCACAATCAGTCTGATTGGCTCTAATTGGGAGAAAACAATGAAGAAATTGGACGTAGTAGCATATTATATAGATGACTTTCGTACTTTTCAAGAAAAATACAATTAATATAAATGTGTCAGAATATTTGTTTACTGTTAAATTTCATTTCCAATCTGTACTTTTCTTAAATTTTGTTTATTTTTAATCTCTCAATTTTTTTTTAATCGCTTTATCGATTTACTTTTCGATTTATCGCACCTATAGTATCTCGGTTAACTAATCTGCAGACTTTCTTTCGTGATGGTTCACGGATGTGATCAACATCGGTGCTTCTTGTATTACAGGTATGCACTGCCTAGGCGCAGTGACGGGAGGAGGCACCTCCAGCCCGAATGGGGCTGGCGGTCGGGGTGGTATTCTTAGTGTGTTTCGAGCCCTTGGAGTCCTTGTGTGCGAAGGGAGAATCCAGGGCCCTCCGCGTGGCTACAAAGAGGGCCCACACTGCGCACCGCCTATGCAGGCGGTACCGAACGACCACGTGTGCGAGGAGAACAACTATCTGGTACGTAACATATGGTGTCCCCGTTACTCTCCGTTGTTCCTAAGCGACCTACTTTTGCGCAGCTTTGCCAGCGGTATATACAAGCCAAGAAATTCGTTGAATCTACCACAATTAAACGGGACAATCTTAATTTTTATACAACAATGTTGAAATGCTATATATGAACAAAGATAACACATGAGTAAAGATATTAGATTAGATAATTATATATATTTGTATGCAAACTTTTTAATGATTAAATAATAAAAAACGTTACAGAAATCAAAATTCATGAAAAATGTACAAATTATAAAATTTACTTTTTTTTTTATTAAAAAATCTGGAATTTGGTTTTTAAAAATGATAACATATATTCATCATTTATGAAAAAATATTTTTTGCAGAAACTATGGCATGATTACTGTACATGTTACACAATAAAGACGATTTATCACATTTTTCTTATCTTTTGTACGAAAATATTGTCGTCTACATTTTTTTCTTTAATTTTTCAAGTGCAATCGATATCGAGTACTAATTCAAGACATCACGGAACGCCTCGCTATTGGATCGTACCTGTGCGTGGAGGTGCTTTTGTGCAGCGATTGTCCGTGTGGTTTGACAAAGTCCACCTGCAAATATCCCGTATACCCCGTGCCGTCCTTACCCATTTCACCATGGCAGAAATGCTCTTCGGAGATGTTACTGGAGTACTGGTGTATCTGCGTTGTCCCGAGCAAGTAAGTCGCGCTTTATTTCATTCTGTATCGCCAGGCGATTCCAGTTGCAAAATAAAAATTAAGAAGTGAAGGCAAGTATCAGTCACAGATAAAGATCCCAAGGTTGATCAATCTTAAATACGAATCCAAGAAGATATCGGAAAAACACACGAGATACGTGTATTTTAATCTTGATTTTATTTATTTATTCTGGAATTAACTTGCCTTCATTTCTTCAATTTGATTTTTTTGAGTCTCTGAGTTTTAATGACATTTCTAAATTTATCTACAAGTTTTTTTTTATATCATACCTATATTCGGTTGTTTTCAGGAGTCAAGAGCCAATGAATTTCCAAGGATTATACCAAGCAGTGCGTTCGCGGTTACACTTCAGCCAGGTTGCAGCGTGGTGGTCACGCAGCAACGGCGCGGAGCCGAGCTACATAGCCACCCGGATCGTATCGCACAATGAGGATAATCTCAGCAAGTTCCGAGAGACGTCGGTGGAGCATACCTTTCCTCTGGCTGGTAATGGCGACGGAAATTCCATCAAGGTACGTAAAATTATAAGATTGTATCACAAATTTATGCAAATCGTTTATACAACTGATAAAATTAAATTGACATCGATCTAATTATTGGCATAAATTCTCGTTTTAGGTGACGATGTGGGCACTGCCGCGGATGGAGGAGGTGCCCATACTCACGTGCTCGTTGCACCCGAAAAAGGAAAAAGACGAGGAGGATATCGCGAGGGCGTTAACGCCCACCAAAAGTACGCCGATGGGATCTGGCAGCGGTCAAAATCCAGAGGGTCTCGTCTTACCTGGTAATAAATTAATATTGAAAATCGTGAAAATCCATAATTATCGTGTTTACCTTTATTCAGAAGGATTTTATTCGATATACATAAGCCAAATATATATCGCTTTTTTCAATAGTTCTCGTGGACGACAGACTGCAAACCACTTGTAACAAATCTGGCAAGCATGACTGTCGTTGCGAAGAAGAGGACGCGTCCCCTTTGTCGCCTACCATCAGATCTAATGGCGAACGGAAGCGTCGTCGATCGCTTCCCTGTGGTCCGGCGGAGAGTCCTTGCGTGATCTCGCAACCGGCACCGTTGCCGTCCGTTCAAGAATACGCCCCGCAGGAGATAAGGGACAACACCAGCTCGAGTTTAATGAGAGGCTCCGCCGAGATGGCAAACAACAATCGTAGCGTCATGAGGACTCTCCAGAATAAATTAGAGAATAAGAACGAGGTGAGGACACATAACAATCGGAATTCGGATCTCGAACGTTGCTTCAAGATACATCTGAAGATCGAGGAACTCGAAGGCAATTTGGAGAAACGTTGCAAGCACACGATGACAGAAGTTGCGGAGATGACCAACTCAAAGAACGTCGATCGGATCGAAGAAGGCTACAACAGTCCCGCTAAGAACTCGGCTAATTTTGGAAGAGAACCCGGTGCCTCTTCGGATATCATATCCGCGGCAAAGAGTGGTGGGATATTGCACAATCTTAGTCCTTTCACACCCACGAGTTGGTCCTTCGTCTCCTCTTGGCAGAATAGCAATATGAATAGTAAGTTTCAAAGCTTTCGCGGTGCAAAGGAGGCTCGTTTTAACGATTCCGAAAAAAATTACAAGCCGCCGGCCGTCACATCCAATCATGCTCCGATCAATCCCTACGCTCAGCCCAATCCCTTCCACGAATCAAATCCCGGACCTTCGACGTTCGATAAATGGGCACAAAAAATGATGGACAATTCCGCTTGTATCGTACATCAGAGTTATCCGAAAAATGTTCACAAGATTGTCGCAGAAGCGCAAGTATCGGCCGGCCAAGACGCATTGGAGATTAACAAGGAAGATAGTATCAAGAGCGGTCAGAGAAAAACTGGGAAGCCGGACTTGAATCATTTAATGTGGAAATTGTCGGTTCCGGACGAGAAGGAGAAGCGGGAAGAAGGAGGATTACTGGACTGGTTCAGCAAAGTACCTGGAAGAGTTTTAGGCGTCGCGGCGACGAAGGGCTACGTTGACGTCAACAAAATGAAGAACGAGAACAGCCTGAAACAGCCGGAACAAAGCACCAACGAGATCAAGTTCAAGAATTGCAATCTCGAATTGAGTCAGCGGGAGGTCGACGAAGTGTTAGCGGTACTGCGTGCGAGGACACCGTCGGGACGTAGAAGGGCCACCGTTAAGAATGTGAGGAAACGCGGAGAGCGATCCGAAAGAGGCAGCGACGACGCGGCAGAGAAGATTACAGCAAGATGCACGAGTTGGGAGGAGGGGATAGTTCGGAGTAATTCGACAAGTCGCCACGTTGGAACGGTTCGATTTCGTACACTTAAATCTTGCGAGGATTGCAGCCGTGGGTTGTGCAAAAAGATAGATCATCAGGTACCGGAGGAACAGCCAAGCCCTCTGGATCGGGTCTACTACGACAAGAATGTTTATCGGCCCGCGCGCTCGAAACTCGCCGAAAGCGCTAACAAGTTAAACGAGGATCCGCAGGCGAAAACACATGCGAGCGAGGACGCGGATCGTTTGCGGAATGTTTCAACTAAAGCTGACGTGCTGCTCGGAGCTATTCTGCGGACCAGCAAGGACCGTAAGGATCTGTCAGATATTTCATCAAACGGGACCAGACCGAGGTCGACGACTAGTATTGACGATGACAGTAGCGAAGAGGATTCTCACTTTTCGAGCACTGAGAAGCTCGACCAGCAGGACCACAGAACAATCTCGTCCGGCGACGAGAAATCTTTGCCGCTGAATAAGAGATTCCATCGGCTCCGGCAGATGTTTAAGAAAGAAGTGGACAAGAGGATCGCTTTGATAGGGGAGGAGAGTTCCTCCTCGCCGGAGACTACTTCGCCGAGTCCTACGCTGCCGCAGCGCTTCAACGCGGCGTCGTTTCGCTACAACAACGAACAACCGAATCTGCATAGCGCGAGGTACAGCAAGACGAAACGGCGAATCGATTTCGCGAACTTCCCGGTGGCCACCGAGGAGAAGGAGGATGCTGCGACGTTCAGTACAAAAGACGCACATCAAAAGCCACGCAATACGCATAGTACAAATAATAATGATCGCGAATGCGACACCGAGGGCCTAAACAACCAGCAGAATCATTGCGAGAGGCTGCTACTCGAAGATAAGGAGGAACCTCTCGAGAGTAAAGAGCAAGACGAGAACGCGAAGGACATAGCTGCCCTTCAGAAGAACAATTTGATCACTCCGACTAATCCGCAGAGCGGACATTCGTCTTCCAAGCTACGAAGCAACAATTACAAGGACAGTATCTCGGAGACGGGAGACGACGAAGCGGTCGACAAGAGCGTGCCGTCTGCGCTCGAGCAGGAGAGATTCCGCAGATCCCTGGAGAACGCGGCGTCGATGGTATTCCATAGCAGGACTGGCTTGCCGTTGACCTCTAGTCCAGCGCCATTGAGGAGGGGCAGCTGTTGCTTCGATTATGACAGCAGCTTGAATTCCGTCTCCTCTAAGAGAAAGTACGAAGTTCAGCAGATAACGATACAATAATTGAGCGGCATCAATGAATAGTATTATATTTATAATATTATATATAATTTTTTAGATGAGTTATTTTTGTATAATAATTTTCTTCTTGAGAGTTTTTTTATTTGAAAGTTATAGCGAAACAAAGATATTAATTATTTCTTCGAATGATATAAAAATGGAAAGTAACTATAATTGAAAGTGTCGAAGATTAAGAGTTACAATATTTTTTATTGATGCCCTCGAATTAACATCGATTTTTTCCTCTAAAATAAATATTTCACGTTTTTAGCGCGTTATTCGAATTAAATACACCACCGAGTCCGGGCGCAGTCTCGCTGGAAGAAACCGATCGCGATGCGGAAATCATCGGTGAAGGCGAAGAGACACCTAAAAGGCGCTCAAGCTCCCGCCACCGACCACAGAGTCATGCTCTTCTAGGCAGCTTCGAGGAATCGGCGTTGAACGGTAGACTCGAACCGGTGTCCACGGTTCACGGTTTCACAGCGGAACTCGGGGCCAGCGGTTCCTTCTGCCCGAAACATCAGAAGCTTCCAGTCACTGTGTTTTTCTACACGCTCGGTGACAACGATAAAGTCTCCACACCATACCTTGTACGTTTTTCCAAACAAAAAATCGATTGCAATAATGTATCTTAAAGTCACGTTTTTAATAGTTTACGTTTTTTTTTTCACCGATATAAACTACCGACGGTAGTAAATAATTGTTCGATAACAATTAAAATATAACGGATTTCTTCTTTTCTTTCGTGCTGATGGTGATGATTTATTTTATTATTATAATTTTACAGGCTCATATTAATCTCGAGAAAAAGGGCTATCAGGTACCGAGAAGTGGCACCGTTCAAGTGACTCTTCTGAATCCGTTGGGTACAGTCGTTAAGATGTTCGTAGTATTGTACGACCTTACCGATATGCCGCCGCGATCTCATACTTTTTTACGTCAAAGAACACTGCGGGACAAAACACTACGCTACCTCGTTCACCTTAGGTATGTGCCGTTTGTATCTAAATAGTGTTTTAAAAATAGATCGTATGAGTAGTCAGGCTATTGCGAGCCAACGTATAAGTTATACATTCCATAAGATTGCCAATTGCAAATTTTAAAGAATTGAAAAATTGATATATATTTAATTGGCTTTTATGCCTAAATTATACATTAAATAATTATACATTAAATAAGATTGTCAATTGTAAATTTTAAAGAATTGAAAAATTTATATATATTTAATTAGGCTTTTATGCGTATGCCAGGAATAGCTTTAGAAATGAACTTGGAAAGAACTAACAGACTGAACGCACTGAATTTTTCTTCTAGATTTATGTCCAGCAAGTCAGGTCGAATTTACCTGCATACGGACATCCGTATGATCATCTGTCGGAAGTCGGATGTAGACACGGCGTCGGACTTGGGCTCGGAATCGCCGAAAGAACTCAGGAGTTACATCCACGGTCCTACAAATCCGAAATTTTCGCCAAGGTGCTGAGCCACGTGGTACTTTCCATGGGGCTGCTGCCAATCGTTCCGCCCGCCCAGTCCCTTTCAAGTCGAACTGTGATCGACAAATGATCGAATAAGATCAAATTAGAAATCAATTTTTGTTCTTTTAACCCTTTGCGGTTGACGATATGGACAATTTCTTAACGCTAAGCATAAAAAAAAGAAAAACAATTTAGATGTTGTAATTTATTATAATTTGTCACCGGCAGTAGTGGATATAAGTTAATTATGTTAATTATAATAATATTAAGATGATAAACGTAGTTCGCAAGATTATCGCGGTACATTATTTCTTTCTAAATTATTTTAGATCGCAAAGGGTTAAAAGAGATGGAGAATCGGAAAAAGTGCGAGAATACAATGAGGAATTTGTAAGATTACGATGGATTTATAACCGCTTATGTTGGAATAATTTATATTCGCAATGTATTTTTTTTTCTTTTTTTTCTTTTGCAAAATTATTCAGACCCCTTTTGCGCCGCCCGGCACAGAATTAACTCTTGCATATTGACAATTCCAACATAAATGGTTTGTAAAATTGACTCGAATATTGCGATTACACTCCCGGTCTCATTTCGATCCGTGGTTCGTGCTTGCAGTATAGAATGCTGCATATAAATACAATAGGATAAGTTTCGCGCAGTTTTTCGTTATAAATTTGTTTCTATATAGTAATAATAGCGATATATATATATTTATATATATATACTATATTTATATAATTCGAAAATTTTATTGAATTAAATCGATTAGTCTTTCTATTTTCGATCTAGCGTCTAATAATCATGAAAATGAAAACTCAATCGACTCGAAACTTACAACACTAGGAATTTACTTGGAAATTTTTCTTTGTCCTGTGCATCTATTGTAATTATTGCTATAGTGCATACCGGCAATCATTTAATTTACGGAGTTTATCGCAAGCTGGACGATCTCGTTGAGAGGCCATTTTTCTCAACTTATTGCTGTAAATATAGTCACGCGTAGAGAGTAAGTTGAGTAAAGAGTTTTTAAGCAGGATGATATATATATATACTGCCATTGTGTGTGTGTAGCACTCTACGTTTAAACGAAAAAAAAAAGTGATATGAGCGTGGAAAAACGTCGACGAATTCGGTCTCGCGTTCCCGGATATGGAGGATAAAATCGAGAAAGATCAAAACGTGTGATTGAATGGTATGTGCAATGAAAGAGTACAAAGTTATTCATGCGTATACTTCGTGTTTTCGCGCGGTGAATCATTGTAATTTCTGACGTGGAGAAAGAAAGGCCCGAGAAAAAGAAGATCAAAATTCTCTTTTCCCGGAAAAAACAAAAACGAAATGTGATTTTTGTGATTTGCGTGATTGTGATTGCTTTGTTTTCTTTTTTTTCCTTGCGATTCGACGAAACGCGAGAATGAACGCGAGCGACCGGAACTCGTGGGTTTTTCCCGGGAGTAAAAAAAAAAATAATTATTTACACGTATATATGTATATATACATAAACCAGAACACAATCTTTGTGTCCGTAGCACTGTGATGAATATTTTGATAGACTATAAAAAAAAAAAAGAGTAATTATTATTATTACAGAATAACTATTTCTGGATAGCAAACACGTCATAGATTTAATCGATTCAACTAATACGTCGTGCGAAGAAATATAACCGTGCGTAATTTACTAATTAGCCGCAAGATTGAGACATATGCCCGTTTTAAAGCAAACGAACGTGATGCAATTCGCGTTTTCCTTTATTTTTCTAAAGATGCTCCACGTAAATCGTGCGGGAGAATTACGCGAATGATCGGGAGAGCCTTATCTCTGATATATATCTTTCACCAGCGAGTATCTTATCTTTATGGTTTACAAAGATGCTCATGACGGCGCGACTCGTCACTTCTTTCTGTCTTTTTTTTTTTTCTTTATGAAGCAATTAAAATTAATTTCTTCGCGAAGGAAGAATACAATATGCCAGCAAACACAATCCTTTTTAATTATGTATCAAATATATCAGGGGTGGAATCTAGAATAAGATAAAAAGAAAATTTGTCATAAGCTCACAACGTAAGCTTTCAATGAAATATGATAATATATATATATTATTAATATATATCATCTTTCTTGTAATGTTGATAATTTAAATACAGTAATTTCTTGCGATTTATAAAAATTGCAACATTTAAAATCTTCATAGAATTGTTCATCTTTTACTTTATACTCGCAAAGGATGAAGGAAGTCATGAAGTCCACGTCATGAGTTTGCTGTGTCGAATGTTCGGTGAATGTTTTTAGTTAATTTTAATCAAATCGAATTTCGCACGAAATTGAAGTGTGTCGAAAGTGAGAGAACAAGGCTTCATTATCGTCCGCGTCTTTCTTACCGTCAATTAGAGGAAAAGGCAGCTTTCACTCCTCGAAATATAAATTAACTTTGTAGGATATCGCGATATATAAACGAAGTCGCTGTACGTATAAAGAGAGAGATTATTTTTAATTGTTATTTTCTAGCGGAGCAATTGGATAATCGTATATACGCATATAGCAATCAAAAGCATAATAACTGCACATTTAATTTCGGTTAAAAGAGAGAGAATTATTTCAATATTCCCTTCTTAACTGATTTTATATTTATTTTGTCTCGTCCTTTTTTTTTTAGAGGAATGAATACTTTCCTTACAAACGATTTTAATCAAACAAATTCCTTCACAATTATTTTTCTTTTCAGTTTCCAAAACCTTTTACGAACATGTGTTCGATATTTTTACATGTCCTCTATTTTAAAAATTTTATCAATTTCTTTTTTCTTTGAGGAACTTTTTACAATCGAAATTTCGATTTTTTTTTTTCATAGCAAACGTCGTGATATTATGTAATTTGCGCGCTTACGTTCGTAAAATCAGCAACAAAAGAAGGAAATAAATCTTGATTTTAGAATGATTTTCGATTATATAATGAATCACGAATTTGCAGCAGTCGAATTATTTTTCCTAATACACATAATTCTTTTATCGAGACCGAAACGTCGTATATTATTAATCCGATAGGCCGGTGAACATAAAATTTGTGCACTTTCTCGCACTCCGTCAGGTCGATTAGCTAGATGCGCGTGTTTTAAACGGAGATACATTGTACAGAACGCTACAGGGCGAGAGCAATATCGCGCGCCTCTTGTTTAACGAGAACGACTGTAACCGTTGTTAAAATACATTTTGTCGATGTTTTCTTTTTGAGAAATAAAGTAGAGTGTCGAGACGATAAAAGTTTATCATGGTAAATCGATCGTTGAAATTTAATTCGAGGAACAAATCCTATTATAGAGCTCGGATCCGTAGATAAAATTGCGAGCAGCGAGTATACCGTGTAGAGAGCGTATATAGTGAATGGCAAGGATATGTAAATATATAAATATATATCACTGCCGTGTTTGTTGTATATAATTTACGTAGGGTGGCAAGAGGCATCTCGCGGTGCGGTCCTCGCGTCGACGAGAGTTTCGATTAGCGATGCGAAGAATTGATACGTACGGCAGGTGTTATATTGCGTCGCTTTGGCAAAATATAAAGCAGCTCGACTCTCCTCGTGCGCGCAACATATACATTCGCCGTACTGTTGTACCAACGATAAACGATGACTCTCGTCATCGCGGCATCGACGACCGCTGCAAGGCCCATCATCACTTTCTTGCGCCACCCGTGCAGTGAAACACACAGGCGACCACATCTTACGGCGATTGTAACCGATATATTTCAGCTGTATTTTTCTGGCTTTTGGTCGAGATCTTGTTAGCGAAGTTTATTCGAGAAGTATAAGCAAATACATCAAACGATATGTAACATGGGAGGAGGTATACAGAGTATTATGAGACACCCCTTTGGAACATTCAGCTCCAATGTTCTTCCTTTTAAATGACACGCGCGCTTTCTCCTTCTGATTAGGATCGGAATGCTGCCTGCGATATAAATTAATGGAGGCGGATTTATAAGTTTAAAAACTTAAAAAGTTAGAGTCGTTAGGAGAAAACTATAGACGATTGTCAAAATTGAAATAAACGATAAGCTGTCAATATATATTTATATTTTACGTGCGCTCGACTGTGATTTACGATTCGAACGAAAAACGTCCTCGCTCCGGAACATGATAATACAAACAGAGGAAAGTGGAGATATATAATAACTAATATCTCTATAATAATAATGAATTTTTTCGTCGACAATATTTTTTTTCCGCAGACACACGCGGCAATGCGGCTACAGAGCGCAGTATACATTGGCTACTTTTTTTTTTTAAATAGAAAATAGACGAACGAAATTCTTTACCGAGCGAGCACCGCGGCAGGAGCGCAGGTCTCGCGAGTTAGTCACTCCGAGAATCCGCCAGGAGCTGATCGTGACGAGAGTCGAGAGGCGCGTCCGGGAGAACTCCGAGACGAGACGTCCGATTCACTCGCGGCCCGATATCGTGGCTTTCTCCATCGTGCTCCGATCGCGATTGTGACTGGCGAGTCGCGGGGAAGAAGCTGGTTGCGTGCGCGGCGTGAGCAGGTTGAAAACGTGAACCGTGTGGCTGTATTTCACGCGGTCCGTCACGTTCTCGCGAGCGCGCGGTGTGCGTGTGTGTGGACGATGAGAGGACCGGGGACGGCGACAGGTCGGCTCTGAGGTACGAAGCGTTCAGCGTCGTCGTCGTCGTCGTCGTCGCCGCCGTCGTCGTCACGATTGAATCAGCCGATCGTCGACGGGACGTTGGCGGTTGGGCGGGTGTGTCGCATACGAGGAGGAAAACACCGAGATTCCCCGTCGGTGGGCAACGCGCATGCGAGAACGAGCACGCACGGTGGTGGGCCTTTTGACGGATCCGTGACCGCTCGTGCGCTGCAATGGCGACGGCGCCTGGCGACTCGCCTACTTTCTAAGCTCTATCGAGGTGAGAGGCCGATCGCGCGCGCGCGCGTGTGTTCGTTCTATCGCCGCGTTCGGACCCACCACGGTCGGCGGCCGATCTCGATCGTCGACGAAAATCCTGGAATAAGGAACGCGTCGCGCCAGAAGATATAAGGGCGCCAACAGGGGGGGGTTCGCCCGTGCCTCGATCTAATCCGGAGCAGGACAGGACAGGACAGGACAGGACGTGGTGGCGATGCGATGCGGCAGGTAGTCCGCTGGCAGTGCAGCAGCCGAGCGTCGTCCCAGCGGTCCGGCCTATCCGGAGAATGCGCGGAACCGCCTCGCGGCCTTTCCACGCGGATGTGATCCTTCCGGCACGGCTCGTCGCCTCCTCCTCTTCCTCCTCCTCCTCGTCATCATCCCGCGATATTCAGCCGACGGTCCCGCCCGCCTTGCGCCTCCTCGATCGGTCGCCCTCGGGACGACGACGCAGCTGACAGATCTCGCAGCTCGGTCACGGCTCGATCTTTCACGCGGGTGCCGCGCGTGTGGATGTGGGCCCCTCTTTCCCAGCTGTAATGAGCCGCGTGAACTGATTGATCGGATTAACGTGACGCGGCACCCGTGAACGGTGCGCGTGTGACTCGTTCTTCTTGATTTTCCAACGCCTACGGTATCCGGGCTACGATCCCGGCCAGCCCTATTTGAACGGCCGTCAAACTTAAATTCGGCGTTTACGCGATCAGGTGTGTGACTGTGTGTCGACGCACGCAGCGTGAGGCTCGCTCGGTGGGGTGGCACGCGTTAAATGCGAGCGAGAGGAACGAGCGCGCGTCTCGTGGACAACGGCAGCGACGCGATTTGAGGAGGAGCCGTCGTCTCTCGACGGGTGGAGGGTCTCGTAAATCGGAGTCGGATTAGACCATCCCGGCCGAAACATGGGGAACTGCTTCAGCAGCCCGACGGACGTGGAGAAGGAGAAGCCGGACAGGATCGGCAATCCCAGCATAGAGGCGGTCGCGTCGCAGGTCAGCCCGGTGCCGACGCCGCCGCCGGACCCGATCAGGCCGATCCCGCAGATCCCGGACATGGACGTCGCGACCGCCAAGATATTCGTCGCGCTCTACGACTACGACGCGCGCACGGACGAGGATCTGAGCTTCAAGAAGGGTGAGCACTTGGAGATAATCAACGACACGCAGGGAGACTGGTGGCTGGCCAAGAGTAAAAGGACCAGGCAGGAGGGCTACATTCCCAGCAATTACGTCGCCAAATTGAAGTCAATCGAGGCGGAACCGTGAGTGTGGTTTTGTCATTTTTTTAATTCGTTCGTTCTAGGCGATTATTTTTATCTCGATATTCACGAAGCTGCGCGATGTTCGCGATAATATTATTTGTGCAGAATATTAATGATTTTTATTGCGGCCGGCAGGCACAGAATTTGACGTGATCCTTCTGCGAAATAATTCGCCGCGATTGATTCGCAGCAAAATAATCTTTTAGCCATTAATTAGGTGGGACGAGCAGAGAATCTGTTAAACGTCATAACGCTAATTTGCATTTACAGATGGTATTTCAGGAAGATTAAGCGAATCGAGGCCGAGAAAAAATTGCTACTGCCGGAAAACGATCATGGCGCGTTTCTGATAAGAGACTCCGAGAGCCGACACAATGATTACTCCCTTTCAGGTAACATCATAGAACGATAATAGAAACTACCGGTCGTGCGGTCGTAATGCCGACAGTGCGATAACAAATGAATGAGTAATGATCATGGCGAGATCGCGCGCGCGCGCGCGCGAGCGCGGTAGAATATCGTGCGGTCTATATATTACGTGCAAAATTGCGGGACCATTAAAGCGCCAAAGTGGAATGTATATCGATGATTGTTGCAGTACGTGACGGCGACACGGTCAAGCACTATCGTATTCGTCAATTGGACGAGGGCGGCTTTTTCATCGCCAGGCGAACCACGTTCCGAAATCTGCAGGATCTCGTGGAGCACTACAGCAAAGACGCGGACGGCCTGTGCGTTAATCTGTGCAAGCCTTGCGTGCAGGTAAGCTCTCCGAGTGACCGATTCAGCTTCTCGGTACTAATAACGGGGTGATAATTGATAGCTGGAAAATAATTCTACTACCACTCGCTGCTGCTATATAACAGTCGCGTAAGAGAAATTACGTGAGAATTGACGAGGGGGAGTTTAGACAGAGATTCGTCTCTAAATAAAAAAAAAAAACGTCGCACCGCGTCATCGGCAAAGTTTCATTTAACGCTGAGTTAGGCAGGTCTTTATCGATAATGAAACGGTACGTTATACGGGGAATTTACGTATAATGTTACACACAATGAGACAACACGTTTTGTTTATTTCCGAGAATGAGACAGCTTTTAGCGGAAATTCGTTGGCACTGAAATGCTGAATTGCATTAGATGGAGCTCAATTGAGACGCGCGATGAGAAGGAGCGATTACGAATGGCATTGCCGTAGAAGATCTCTTTAAAAATTACACACACCTATGCTCACGCGCGACAGATTACAGCGGAAGTCAAGTGAGATCGTACTGACGAATTGATAAATCGACTTTATATTTATTTCCTACCAATATTGTATAACACTGTCTAAACTCCAACACTTGCAACGATGCCGATCGATACTCTTTATTATTCGCCCTAATTAATAGTAACTCGATAATGGTGACACAATCTCGACCGACAGTATATTACATAATTATAAAATATATTATTATTGTTGATATTAACAAGATTAATATCTTTTACCTTTTTTTCTTGTTATTTCCTTTACTATTTCGTTATTGCTACTGGTGTGCAATACTTTGCATCATCAGCTGATTGAAGTTTGAAACGTTCCTGGAGCGCTTTTTTAAAAATGATTTGTCCCATTTCCAGCTTCGCACAGAGTAACTCGTAAGTGCCACAAACACAATACAAAATATTTCGGTCAAATGCACGCGCCGAATTATTTTGTATTGTGTTTGTGGCACTTACGAGTTACTCTGTGCGAAGCTGGAAATGGGACAAATCATTTTAAAACAATCACCCCAGGAACGTTCCGAACTTCAACCAGCTTGGGTCGTCGAGATATCATTCCGGATACAGAACATTTACAACATATCAATTACATCGATTACGTCCGTAATTTTCTGATTCAGTTTGATTATTCTTGGGAAAGTCGCGAGTAGGGAGACCGGGTCTAAATGATACTTAATTACACAGCAAACGAGGTATATTTACATCTATATTGTTACATATTGAAAAAAAAGAAAGAGATATCAGACTTTTTTTTGGAAGCACTGATAAGCACTTGTTGCGAAGTTCGATGTCTGAACAGATTGTGTTTGTTTGTCTGTTTATTGCTTGCCCTACCTCCCGGTGGATTTTCTTGGTAAATTGAATGTCCTAATATACGCCATAACACGTTCTTTCGATTCCTTTCTTTTTCTCGACGTAAAACGCTTCTATACATTTTTTATATTGTGTCTGGCCTGTATATATACAGCACAAGCCCGTTCTGTATGGGATTATGTTTCAAAAGCAGTAGATTGTCATTCACTTAGAGATATATCTCGTATAAAAAAAAAAAGCTCTGTACATTCGATGTAATTTCATATATTTACAACAATCTTATCTTCATCACTTCACACCGATTCATCTAGCCATCGTAGAACCTCGCGAGAGAGGTGTAACATATTATAGGTAAATATCAAGAAACCGAGATTGGCAGCACACACGAACGAGGAAACGACACTGTTTTTCGTTTCACCGCGAAATCACCGCTCTCGCTTGTGAATAACAATTTACGTACGAGCTCTTTCCATCTGTATACACGTATATATATAAGTTCATATAAGTATTGGCGCGAAAGCGAGAATTCGGCTCGGATGTATGTGTGCTCGAAATCTATATACAGGATGTCCCAAAAGGCGAGTTCCTACATATGTGTCTCATCCGTTATTCGAGAGGCGAACGAGCGTAACCGAGCATATGTGCATGCTATGTCCCGTTTAGATCGTATATGTACGCGTGTACCGAGTATTTCTGGGACTCGCGGCATGTTTTTTTTTTTTTATATTCTAGCTGCGACAATATTTGAGACATTCTGCATATTGTATCGCTCGTTATTTCATCTTTCTCTGAAAATGCATATCCATGTTGGAACACGATCTCTCGCGATCGTTTATCATCTCGGGAACGTTATTGGTTCTTTTACATGATTGCAGGACATGGACAAAAAAAAGTGGGTTTGTATCCGCGAACAGGGAAGTTAAAAAAGCGCTAGCGCTCTTTTTTTTTCACCTTGCGTAGAATATTGTCTTTTACGCTTAGTCATAGAATTTTTTTCTCATAAAGGAAACGAGACGAAATATAGTTCGCCATTTAATGCAGCCGATCAAAATCATCCTCCTTGCACCAAATCAAGTCTCGCGTGTCCGTCCCCTTGCCGACGACGGCTGATTCCGGGTCTGGCTTTGTTCAACAGGTTGAGAAACCCGTAACGGAGGGCCTTAGTCACCGTACGCGGGACCAATGGGAAATCGATCGTTCGTCGCTGAAATTCCTGAGGAAACTCGGACAGGGCCAATTCGGCGAGGTGTGGGAAGGCCTGTGGAACAACACCACCCCGGTGGCGATAAAGACGCTCAAGCCCGGCACCATGGATCCGAAAGACTTCCTCGCTGAAGCGCAGATTATGAAGAAACTCCGGCACGCTAAACTAATTCAATTGTACGCCGTGTGCACGATGGAGGAACCGATCTATATCATTACAGAATTGATGAGAAACGGCAGTTTATGGAATATTTACAAGGTACGATTTGATTCCCTCACTAATCCTTCTATCACTGTATTGTGTGATAAAAGTTTCTTGAATAATCACATGGGATATTTAAAATAATTCTATACAAAAATATTTGCGGTAATTTTATTTGCGATATTGTAGTATTTTTAAATTGAAGAATTGATCGATATTTTTTATTACTACTTTATTTTGAATTTTCTAAATTACATTGTTAACACCTTTATTATCTGGTAATGTTCTTGCTAAAAATCTGAAGATTTAGGAGCTTTGCACTCCAAAAGAGTTATCATATTTCTGCTATCCAAAAGAACAAATGTATTTCTCAATCGAGTCCAGTTTAAAATATGTAACATCTAGCTGCATATTTTACTTGCTCGTTAATCATTCAAAGTGCCATCCCGAAATACTACTACAAAATCGATAAAGCTAATATTTCTGCAGTCGTATCTTTACGTTACATTATCGTGTGGTAGCAATCGTGTTGTGATCTTTTAGGGAAAGGTAGAAGCCTAAAACTGCAGCAACTGATCGACATGGCCGCGCAAATAGCCGCTGGTATGGCGTACCTAGAGTCGCAGAATTACATTCATCGAGACTTGGCCGCCCGCAATGTTCTCGTAGCAGATGGAAATGTCGTTAAAATCGCGGACTTCGGCTTGGCTAGGCTCATCAAAGAAGACGAGTACGAGGCTAGAATAGGAGCGCGTTTCCCTATCAAGTGGACCGCCCCCGAAGCCGCTAATTACAGCAAATTTAGTATTAAATCCGACGTATGGTCGTTCGGTATCCTCCTTACCGAACTGGTCACATACGGCAGAATACCTTATCCAGGTGAGATTTTGAAAATAAAAACAATGCTGTTATATTCAATTTTTTAACCTTTGACTGAAGTCACATTTATTTTCAAAGTCATATTTAATAATTTTTAATGTGATCTCTATGATTTAGTTAATAAAATGAAAAAACGCATTTTGTTTTTCAGGTATGACGAACGCCGAGGTCCTTCATCAGGTGGAGCATGGCTACAGAATGCCGAGTCCACCCACCTGTCCCGACACGCTTTATAATATCATGCTCGAGTGCTGGAACAAGGATCCTATGAAGAGACCGACTTTCGAGACGCTTCAGTGGAAACTCGAGGACTTCTTCACCATGGAAGGTTCCGAGTACAAGGAAGCGTCCGCGTATTGAACAGAGAATATCGAACTCTTCTTCCATATTGCTCCATTAACGGATACGATAATCGTGCCGTCGTCGTTACATCGACGGCGATCGTTATGGTCTTCTTTGATCTATTTGTGACGCTAGTTTCCGGTACTTCTGGACGAGTACCGCAACTTTTATACTCGAACGATCATTTTACGCGAACGATCAATAGATGATATCTATATAGGTTTAACGGTAACGTTTTTTTTCTTTTCTCTCGTCCCTTTTCTTTATGTCTCTCTCTATAGTTTTTCTTCTTTCTTTTTTTTACGTTCTCGTCTTCGCACATTCTGTCTGCCATAAATCTCGAATATTTGTACATTTTTATCTATATGACTTGACATACATTGGCATTTTGATAGCTTTACCAGGAGCGGCGACGAGGTTTTAGATATCGTTTTAGACCGCAGTAAGGATGTTGTACACGTAGACGTTAAATGGCCTTTGTAAAATCGTTTGTAAGTGTCAGTTGGTGTGAGGTAGACCTCGATCATCAGGGTGATAATTCCGGGTGATGATGATGGTAGTAGTAGCGATGTAATATATTCGTGTACAATATATACGTTGTACTTCCTGTATTACAATTCTCATTACACGCGCATACCTCTATGATGTGACGGAGAGTCGGTCTCTTGAATGAAATCGAGCCGACAGTAACGTTAGAGACGAAACGAGACGGACCATAAATGCACAATTTTATCATTCCTTTTTATTTTCTTCTCGCTCGAGCGTAACACGAATTAATTACGACGTACTCCCGCGAGGCGGATATACGAAAGTCGTCGACGAAAACGATTTCGCGCCGCGCCGCATGTGCGTGTATGTGTGCAAAGAGAGATCGGAGGATATATAAATCCGGTCCGTCCAAGGCAACGCGGAAGACTGTCCTGTGGTGACTGTGTCGAACGACGTCATATCCTTTCGTCTATCCCGTCTGCTTATCTAGGAACGCGGTAAATACTGACACAAACTGCCAGCTAACGTTTTTCTAAGGTACACTTGTTACTTATAACGTGTAAGATCACATTTTGGAAGTATACGCGTGAGAGTGTGCATCTGTCGAATATCTCTACACGCATGAGAAATGTACGATATTTACTGTGGAGGCGAAAAAAAAAATCAGTTTACCGTCGTATCTTTTAGTACTCTGTGAAGAGAATGTACATCACGAATTACGTCATCTTCGTTAATCATCATTCGGACATGTTCATGTTATCGAATTCGTCATTTTTATATATTTTTATATATATAGCGTGTCTAATGTTTTATTATACTCATTTATCGCGACTTTTCACGTTTGTGAATGACTCAAACTTGAGAGTAATTATTATGCGTATAAATAAAAAAAAATTAAGCCGATAATATTAGATTATACTTTATAAGTGTATGACTCCATAACGGTAAATGATGTGTAAAATTATATACATATTTTAGCAATATTTTGATCCAATTTAATACATATGCGTAAATATGTACGGAATGTGCCAAAATCATAGCCATTCCTTTTGTCTACTGATTCTTCTATGAATTTAGAGTCGATTTTTCCATGATCGAAAAAAAAAAAATATATATATATCGGTTTTAAACCTTCTTCTGACGTTGTTCGATGCTTAACTCCTACGTAAATTCCGAGGCATTTGTTAGACTTTTTTGGTAGTGTAACTTTTTTACAAGTCAGGAAACCAGTCTGACGCCTTAACTCTGAAACTGGAGGATCAGGTAATTCGGTGAAATTACATTTCTAATAAGCCTTATAAAATGGAGACATGTGGGATGAGAACTCAAATCTGGGACTGATTACGAATTAACGTGCCCGTACACTGAGTCATTCGCATCACCGAAGTCGAAAATATATATCATTGGAAAATATTTTCCAAACAACTTATGCAATCTAATTAAATTAAATGTTTTATAATGATACAAAGACTCTAAATAATTTTATTATTTTAGTTGAAGGACTTTTGTAGCAAGATCGACTCTAATTTCATCAGACAAAAAGCCCCGGGGATTTGATGTACATACAAAACATCTTGACATACGTACGAGTATGTATGTACACACAATATCAATTCTCTAGCACTCATCTTCTGTTCTGAGATCAGAGCTGTGTTAATAGTACCAAATTAATCGCAAATTTCAAAGAAATGCGTGCTTACGGACGGTCTCATCATCGGATGATACCTTTGTAATACCGTTATTTTTTAGATTAACAATACATCGACCAACTTCCTTCATAAGATCATTTCTTTAAATTAAGTCTTGTTTTATATTTCTTTGAGAAATTTTAATTTAGTAAAAGAAAACATTATTTATAAGAGAAAACGTGTTAAAACAAATAATTTTATATTTTAAAGCGGAAAAATTTATTAAATCGTATGCATAAAATCTGTTGAGGATTATAAGTTGTGACAAACATTGCACTAAGAAATAAGATAAAAATACTATCAACTATATGTAATAATAATGAAATGTAATGCAACGATTACAAGCACAAAACGGATGAAAGTTTACTGGAGCTACTGTTAATTTTTATCCAGACAAACTCTTTTTCTGTAATTAGAAGGGAAAACGATTTCTCTATCGAATAATTATGTAATAGGAATCTGTGGCGAGTGAAAATAAAAATACTTTAGATGTATAAGAAATAATTGATAAAATAAACGCAACAGTTTTGTTTATGAAAATGAGATTATTCTCAAACCTTTTCCTAAGAATTATTCTATAGACAAGTACATATTTAAAAAAGAAAAGAAAAATGTTTCTATGATATATCAAAAGCTTTAACATTTTGATACAAGCAAGATACCAATTTGTCCTTAATGATAATTCTGTGTAATATATAAAAAAATATTAATCGAGTTATTAAAAAAAATATTTGATTTGAATATAATATTATACAATTACATATTTTCTCAAATAAAATTATGTATATTTTTATATCAATCCAAGAAAACTATCCAAGATAACTGTTTATAATTTTTATTAAATTATATATAATATGAGCTTATTTTCCAATTACGTTTCATTGCGATATCAGAGAGAAGCGTGAGAGCGGCCACGCCGGACCTTTTGGATGGGACCGGCGATCTCCCCCGGACATTAGCGCCCCACGTCCACGTTTTCAATAAAGAAACTACGTACCACGTCTATCTTATAACATTGTCGATCAAATTATAGCACGAGAACGTGGTTCGTGCTAATTGTGCTATGTTCACAAATTGTGAATAAATAGATCACGTTTATTTTGCGATGTTGCTGATGAAATGACATTCCAATTCATGTTTGTACTACATCCACAAATTGTAGGTGAAGAATGTGGCATATATGTATGATGCACGATTAGCACGGACACGAACCACGTCCACGTGCCTAGCCAGCGCGCCTTATCAGAGGCTCAAAAATTCTCGCCGATACGCGAAAAACATGTTGAGCAAAGAGGTGGCACGGAATCCTAACCAGCGCGCGTATCGACAGAAACTTGTCGGTAAGGTGGAAAGCTGTTGAACGAAGAGGCACGGAATCTCCCACTCTCATACGGCGCGTAAGCCCCGCCTCTCAGCGCAAAAGCAGCATATATGCGTTGGTGGGGGCAGTAGGCTCCTCCTCCATGGCGCGCTGGCGGCCTCCGCCCCGAATACCTCTGCCACCTACTTGTTAACTGTGCGCTCCTGATACTTATTATTCGATTTAAACGAAGTTTCTGACGCTGCGAAAGCCGGCTTTTGCTTAACCTCTCATCTCTATATGTACTTTTAACAACATTTATGATCCTTTGTGCATCTGCACAGATGCATAATTAAATTTAAACTATTATTTAATTATATAATGTAACATTAAAATTACTCCAAG